CACAACAGAAACAACAACAACAACATCAAACACTTGCAGCACCACTAAAAAAAAAAAAATCCAAAAATAAAACCCACAACCGAGCGGTACTCATGTTTACTTTTTCCAAAATCAAAATTCCAAAATTCCAAGTTGCTAAAGAAGAAGATGTTGAAGAATCGGTGAAAAGTTGGATAAATGTCTCTCTCTCTCTCTCTCTCTCTCTCTCTGTCCTTTCTGTCTCTCTCGCTCTCTCAGACTGTCTCTCTCTCTCTATCTCTCACACACACACACTGTCTCTCTCGCTCTGTCTCTCTGCCTAACTCTATCTCTGTCTAAGCTGTATCATCCTAAGCCCATTCAAAAATGAAAAATTAAATTAAAAAAAAAAAACCAAGAAAAACTAAATACAAAGAATACAACAACTTTGCTCATCCGTTCCGTTTCTTTGTCCGTTCTCTGTATTCTCTGATTTCATTATCTCTATATGTTTATTTATCGAACGTTTTGCTTTCGTTATTTCTCTTTCTCTCTGTTTATGTATCTTTCTCTCCCCATTTTGTATCTTTTTACTGTTTCATTTTATTTCTTTTTATTTTTACTTTTTTCTTTTGTGCGTTTTTCCTTCCGTTTTTTATTTTTGTGTTTGGTTTTTTAGTCAGTGCATCCGAAGATGAAGAGCGCCTGGTGCGTGACCTCTTTCGAGGCTACAATAAACTCATACGACCCGTACAGAATATGACACAAAAAGTTGGAGTAAGATTTGGTTTGGCGTTCGTACAGCTAATCAATGTCGTAAGTGTTCACAAAAATCAAATTTTCCAAAGACAAAAACCCATAAAATAATAAGAATATATCTATAAAAAAAAAAAACGTAACCAGAAAAAAAAACTAACATTAGTAGAGTGTAAATGTATTTTCGTGTTTGAATTCTTCAGTTTCGTTGTTGCCACACACACACACACACTAACACTAACACGCAGCCAGCCTCCAGTCACGCCCATGTTTGAGTTATGGGCGTGGCATGGGGCGTTGGAGGCATACCAAAAAAAAGTATGAGTTTCGTTTTATTTAATGCTTTTGTAAATAAAATTACGTAAACCGTTGCCTTGACTTTGACTTTTTGTCTTTGTATGTTTCGTAGTGCTGAAGAAATACAGTTACATGCAAACAAAAAAAAAACCAAAAAAAAAACAAAAAAAAAAACTAATTCCGAATACTAACCCTAAAGAATTAAGTTTAAACAAGCCAACAAAACTAACTAACTAACTAACACAACTAAGAGTTAACCAAATGCGAAATAATTGTCTTAACTATCCCTTCCCGCCCAATCTCTCTCTCTCTCTCTCTCTCCCTATCTCAAACTCGATTCGATTTCGATTCGTTTCGAATCCCCAATATAAATCGAATTCGTCCTCGTACCGTTATCTCTCACGTAACCACCACCAAACCACCAAAAAAAAAAAAAAACAACAACCAAATAACCAACCACTACCAAACCACCAAAACCATCACCATATGATATCACCATTAAAACAAAATACAAACCGAATATTCCCGAACTGAACCGAACCGAATCACAAGAATGAGAAAAATCAAATTATGAAATCAAACGTTTGGTTACGTTTGGTTTGGTACGACTACCAGCTGCAGTGGGATGAGGCCGACTATGGCGGCATCGGGGTGCTACGTCTGCCCCCCGACAAGGTTTGGAAGCCGGACATTGTGCTCTTCAATAAGTGAGTAAATGGCCATTACAATATAACAGTACTAGTACTACTCCCAACTACTCTCTCTCTCTCTCTGAACTCTGTACACTAACCAAACCAACCAAATAACAACATTAAAAAAAAAACGTAGTAGGCGAAAGTAATCCACAGCTTTCCAGCAGGCGATCTTTCTCGTTGTTCTCCATATGCATAGCCCTAAGACTAACATTTCCATCTTCTATCCTGATAACTATATTCCCTGCCCCACAACAGTGCCGATGGCAACTACGAGGTGCGCTACAAGTCCAACGTGCTCATCTATCCCACTGGCGAGGTGCTGTGGGTGCCACCGGCCATCTACCAGAGCTCCTGCACCATAGATGTCACCTACTTCCCCTTTGACCAGCAGACCTGCATTATGAAGTTCGGTTCGTGGACCTTCAACGGCGATCAGGTGTCGCTGGCCCTCTACAACAACAAGAACTTTGTGGATTTATCCGATTACTGGAAGTCGGGCACCTGGGACATCATCGAGGTGCCCGCCTACCTCAATGTCTACGACGGCGACAGCACCCATCCCACCGAGACGGACATCACCTTCTACATCATCATTCGGCGCAAGACCCTCTTCTATACGGTGAATTTGATTCTGCCCACGGTGCTGATTTCCTTCCTCTGTGTGCTGGTCTTCTATCTGCCAGCGGAGGCGGGCGAAAAGGTGGGTTCAAGGCACGTAAAAATGTTAGCTGTAGATTGACTGGAACTTTCTCTGCTAAGGTAACACTTGGCATTAGTATTCTCCTGTCACTGGTTGTGTTCCTGTTGCTCGTGTCGAAGATTCTGCCGCCCACATCGCTGGTGCTGCCACTGATCGCCAAGTATCTGCTGTTCACCTTCATCATGAACACGGTCTCCATTCTGGTGACGGTGATCATCATCAACTGGAACTTCCGTGGGCCGCGCACCCACCGCATGCCCATGTACATACGCTCCGTATTTCTGCACTATCTGCCCGCCCTGCTGTTCATGAAGCGGCCGCGGAAGACCCGCCTACGCTGGATGATGGAAATGCCGGGCATGAGCATGCCGGCCCATCCGCATCCCTCGTACGGCTCGCCAGCGGAGCTGCCCAAGCATATCAGCGCCATTGGTGGCAAGCAGTCCAAAATGGAGGTCATGGAGCTGTCCGATTTGCATCATCCGAACTGTAAGATCAACCGTAAGGTCAACAGCGGCGCCGAATTGGGCCTAGGCGATGGCTGTCGTCGCGAGAGTGAGTCGTCCGACTCCATTCTGCTCTCGCCCGAGGCGAGCAAGGCCACCGAGGCGGTTGAGTTCATAGCCGAACATTTGCGCAACGAGGATCTCTACATACAGGTGAGTGGCGTCTGCATACAGATGCGGAATATTCGACAGCAATTTGATATATATCTTATGCTTGTGGTGTAGACCCGCGAGGATTGGAAGTACGTGGCCATGGTGATCGATCGCCTGCAGTTGTATATTTTCTTCATTGTCACAACTGCCGGCACTGTTGGCATTCTCATGGATGCTCCACATATCTTCGAGTACGTCGATCAGGATCGCATTATCGAGATCTACAGGGGAAAGTAAGTCGTGGGTTGGAGAAGGAAAACAGCTCGGGGACGAGCAAAATTGAAATGGTTAACAGCATTGCAAACGCAACAATAATAAGCAAAAAAAAACAAGGAATGAGAAAAGAGAAATTAATGAGAAAATTGCAACAATTAGAGCGGATTTTTAGATTTTACTAATTAAAACGAAAAACGATAAACGAATAATGGCTTGAGACAAAATTAACCTTAAAACAAAAAACACTAATACAACTAACTAAGCTAAAGTAACACATACACAAGAATTGGCAGGGGGAGGTACACTAAACTAAAACTAAAAGCAAATAGTTCATTCAGCAACAAATGTTTAACAAATAAATCAAAAACAACAACAAACCTAGTGGAATTGTGCGTAAATTTATAATTTAAAGATAACAAAACTTAGCTAATATATATACTAAAAATCTAGAACCAGAGAGAGTTTAGTTTAAGTGCAATATTACAGCGAGTGGATGGATGGAGGATGTTTGTGTCAGAACTTTTTGTTATGTTGAAGTCACCGAAGAGGAAGATAACACCTAAACTTAAGTAAAACAATTTTACATTTAAGCATTGGAATCCACACTAAAAATTCACAATTTGTAAATGCTTCACATTCGATCACACAACGGCTACCACAAAGCTACCACATAGAGATGTCTCTCGTCTAAGCAGGTAGAGGCCCCAAAATGAAAATCCAATAAAAATGCAAAGTTAATTAATAGAAAATTAATTTATGTGAGTCGCCGCGTATTACGCGCTCGGCCAATTGGCTATGATTTTATTGACCAACTGCGGGAATGTCGATTCAAATGAGAATCATTTGTTGCTGTTGTTGCCACAACAAAGATCAAAGTGCTGTAGGGGGAGATCTATCGAGTCGATAGCTGGGCAGGTATCTATGGAATGGTTAGCCAATTATGTAAGCACGATTCTTAACTCATCTTGGCCATATGTGGCTGCCCCCGGCATCGAGTTGTTACTGTTAGAAGCGTCTCCAGTTAAGTCACAGAAAATTCGCACATTAATCATACGCCCACGTACAGGCAGGCAGGCTGATGTGAATTCTGTCATCTGCAATCAGACTCCAAAGATAGCCCAGAGCTAAGACATTAATCGTAATGAACTAAACACACAGCCAGCCAGGAATTCCCTGCCGCCTCGAGGTTCCTGCTTGGCGGTTATCATACCAGAGGGGCTGACCATGGTGGACGGGGGGCGTCATAATTAAATCACACACAAAAACCAACAGAGCCTAGGCTAAGGCAACTAAAAAAAAACTAACTAGTACGCGCTGTGTTATTGACTTACAATCGTCGCTGATTACCAAGCAAAAACAACAAAAGCAACAGCAACAGCAGCAACCACAGCAGATACGCGAGTACGTGTTCAGATACAATATCTATCTGTATATCTTAGTGTACAGCTATGTACAGCTTCTCATCTATGGCTACATCAAAGGTTGCAGCATCACGACGATGACGATGACGAGCGAACGACCGACCGACCGACCGACCGACTGGGCCCAAAACTCGTCTCGTCTTGGCTGACTCAAAGCCTCGGCATGTCTACGACCGAAACACTGCGAATGACGCCGCCGCTTAGGGGCTGCTCAGTCTCTGTCTCCGGATCTGGTATAAATGCGCCAAGGGAGAACATTTGGGCATCATTCGATTTTCTGATTTTGCAACGAAGACGTCGCTGGCACCCGCCTTCGACTTCGACATCGACATCCAGCTCCAACTCCGGACTTAGTGGATAAATCATTTTCGTCAGGCGAAACCGGTAATATATATTTCGACTTCGTCTCGTTTCGATTCGTGTTTGTGCCTGCCCGTGTGTTTGTGTGTGTGTGCGGGAAAACTCGGAAAATCCGCGCTCAGTTGGAAACCCAGCAGAAATGGTGAGTCCGTTGCTCGTTCCGCCCGAACCGGGAAGTGTTGATTGAATGCCCCCCTCCGATCTGTTCTCTGTTGCAGCGCTGTCTCCTGCCTCTGGTGGCCGCGCTGCTCATCGTGGGCGGCGTCCACGCGGATGTCTCCCACCTGGACACAGATCTGCAAGAGGATGGCTACCACTACAAGCAGCCATCGGTGCCCTTCCCGCAGCCTGGCAGCGGCAATGAGATCGACGATTCGGGCATAGGACCGGGTCCAGCTCCATCGGCGCCAGGTCCCTCATACGGACCTCCACAGCCTCAACCTCAACCTCCACGTCCGCAGCCACAGCCCACTGCTCCAGGACCCTCGTATGGACCACCACAGACGCTGCCACCTGCACCGCGTCCGCAACCCACACAGCCAGCTCCATCTTACGGACCACCACAGACGCTACCACCTGCGCCACGTCCTCAACCCACACAGCCAGCTCCATCCTATGGTCCTCCAAAGACACAGCCTCCGCCACCACCGCGTCCTCAACCCACACAGCCAGCTCCATCCTATGGTCCTCCTCAGACGCTGCCACCTGCACCGCGTCCTCAACCTACACAGCCAGCTCCATCTTACGGACCACCACAAACGCAGCCACCTGCACCGCGTCCTCAACCCACACAACCAGCTCCATCGTACGGACCTCCCCAGACGCAGCCTCCGCCACCACCGCGTCCACAGCCGCCATCCCCACAACCTGGTCCGGAGTACTTGCCTCCTGACCAGCCCAAGCCTCGTCCCACACCATCGCGTCCACAGCCACCACCACCAAGGCCACAGCCTCAACCCACTCCAGGATATGGACCACCACCAAGACCACAGCCACAGCCTCAACCCACTCCCGGATATGGACCACCACCAAGACCACAGCCTCAACCTCAACCCACTCCCGGATATGGACCACCCGCAAGGCCACAGCCTCAGCCTCAACCCACACCCGGATATGGGCCACCACCACCTGCGCCCGGACCAGCACCCACAGCTCCAGCCCCCTCGTATGGGCCACCACAAACGCAGCCACCTCGACCTCAACCACCTCGCCCACAGCCTCCACGCCCACAGCCTCCAAAGCCACAGCCGGGATCTGAGTATCTGCCCCCACCGGGAGAGAATGAGGTGACTCCTCCACAGCCACAGCCTACGGCTCCAGTTCCGGATTACAACCCACCACCCGGCCCTACTTATCAGCCACGCCCCCCTTCACCACCAGCACCGCCAGCGCCCACCTATCAGCCACGTCCACCTGCACCTCCTGCACCGCCAGCACCCACATATCAGCCCCGTCCTCCTGCACCACCTGCACCACCCACTCAGGAGTACGGACCACCGCCAACCAGCCCCGGGGAGGAGGATGAGGCGGGCTCCCTGGGACCCGATGGCTACAACTACAACAAGCCAGCCAAGCCGTTCACCTTCTAGAATCCAAAAAATTCGACTTCTATAATTCTGTACGCGTACTCGTAGTATGTTTAGCCACAAATTAGACCCCACACCCACTTGCCCCAACCCCCACCTGGCGAAGAAATCTAAATCCAAATAAAAGACACAAATTTACACCAAAATCAAAAGCCCCAAAACTTGTTGGATAAATATCAGTCAGTCACTCACTCGGGGGATTTAGATTCAATGTCCAAGCGATGCTATCAGCCTTCTGTCGCGTCGCTTCTGACAGGCGACGACGAGTAGAAGATTCATGGCGACGGTCATTAGAGCCGAACAGAGGCAGATGGCACTGGCCAAATATCAGCGGTTCAAGTGCAATTGTAATCGCTGGCCACCGCCTGAAAACTCTCCAGTGGTTAGTCGGTCCAGCTGGTAGGTCAAATCAATCAAACCGGGGGGGCGCCATAAATCAGAATCAGACGTATCGTCTTTGTGCCACAGGCGGAAATTCCGAGAGCGTCAAGCAGCCGTGAAACGTTCTCTCAGGTTAGCCAATGTTTAGTTTATGCTTTGGCGAATCTATAAACCTATTATGACTATGTGCACTTTTATATACGATATGAAAGCCCATAACGACTGCAATTGCCAGTGCCGGAGAGGTATAGCCATAGCCATAGCCGGTAACTGCAATGGCAACATTAACTCGCCTCCCATACATGGGTGCTGCATTCAAGGTGCCTGCCTGCCGTCAGAGTGCCCCAAGTTGAGCCAAAATAAATATGAACGAGCGTATCGATCGCTCAACGCAGATCGCCGATCAACGACTCTATTCCCACAAGCTGTCGCCAGGCAGCAGTCATGCAGTCATCAGGTTCATCAGTCATTTACTCAATATGTCAGTCGCTTAGTCAATAAATTGTCTGGTAGCCATGGCAACTTCATTAGGCTGCCCAAAAATATAAAAATAAAATAAGAAAAACTGCAGCAGCAGCAGCAGTTGTGAATTGTGCAATCATTTTCCACTCTTGGTTGCATAGGGTCTCTCTCCCTCTGTGCGGGGCATGCTACTAATTACATAAGCATCTAGTACGAAACGGCCTTCAATATTGCTGGACTCCAACGCGACTCCTAGCGCCCTAGCAGCAGTCGCCCTGGCCGACCGACCGACCCAACGGATTGCCATTTGATTAACGTCTTAACGAGTAGCTTGGGTGTGATTTATGTTGTTAACGCGGCGGCGGCGGCAGCGGCGGCTCTCTGCAGCAGCTGCACTAAGATCTGTGCAGTGCAACTTTTTGCGTGATTTATGGATTACAGCATATTGTACTGGTACGTCGTACGTCGTACTTGGTGGCACTTGAAAAGATTTTGGGCCTGACAAAAGATTCGCCACGCATTGTTTGTCTGTTGGCTTTGCTTCGATAATTAAGTGAGATGTTTTTCAGATGACCCCATCTCTGAAATAGATATAGATATAAAAGTTGAAAATCAATAACAAGAACAAGTTCATTTGCCAGCAAATCAACCTGCTGACCTTAGCTAATTTCACAGATGTTTCCAGCCTTAGCTGCGGTGGGGGTGAATGACAGACGTAGTTTTTGTGAGAGATTGTTGAGAGCCCATCCGGGTGTAAATTTCCCAAACAAGTTATTAATATTCTGTTCGGTTCTGTAGTCATTGGCGCGCCATCAAACGAATTAAACAACACGCAAATGTAAATGCGAGTATTAAATATTAAATCATTCTATATACATACGAAAACAAGACACAAAAAATAATTCTTACCCGAAGGCGAAATTCCCCAACGCATCATCTCCTATCTCCCATCACATCCCATCCTCCTTCTTCGTCGTCGTCGATCATCTCAAATTTCTAATTAATTCTTCAAAAATTATTCCGACAGCAGCTAATCGAAATTATTAATGGACATATTATAATTATGACTTAATAGACATTCAATAAAGTCACACAGAGTGATTTATGCCGCAGCCGAAAGAGAGAACGATTAACACACCTGTTCCTTCCATTACGCATACGCAATGTGATTCACGTCAAAATGATTGTGCAGTGCGTTTGCCGGCCCACTTCACTTGACTCTATGGTATATCAATCACAGGCGAAATTGCCCTTGGCATCGTTTCAACTGTTTGTTTTTTTTTCTTTCGTTTTTTTTCTATTCTTCTCATATTTGTAATGCTTTTTGTCTGCTGTCTATTCGATTGTACAAAAAGGCAGCAGCAGCACTCGCAACGCATTTAAACGGTTTCCAGCAAACATTGCGTACGATGATTTGTGTAGACGGGGGCCACAGGCCCAAAGAAATATGAAATCTGCCCATCAACAATGTTCAAGTGGAGCAGCCGGCACAGAGCGGCAAAAACTACAGAAATCATTCACGCATGCAACTGGTTTTCAGTTTGCACAAGCATGATTGAGTGACTGAACGAGTTGGCAGCAGAAACGTATGCTATGGCAACGGTCTATCGAAAACAGAAGTGTGAGCTTCAATTTCAGATAAATTTATTGCATACTCTTCGGTAAGTTAATTAACGTTGGTTGAGTTTTAAGCTAACAAAAAGCTTAGCTTTGGATTCGACTTTGAGTTGCGCATTGGAGTCTGATGAAGCTTATAATGGAGATCATAATGATGGATAGAATGGATAATCAGATCCAGTATAATATTTATTTGTGTTCAATCAGATCAAATATTCCCTTTCCACCGGGCGATTGTAAATTAATTTGTTTGATTTATTATTAAAATAAATAAATATATTTAAATTGTATAAGAACAAAAATTAGTTAAACAAAAATTAAATACTGTGCCACAATACGTCTTTAGAATTTTGTAAAGCTTTTTTTTTATTCATACACCTAGGTCACCTTTTTCAGCGTCCAAATATAAAACAAAACTCTGCCCACTAAGGTTAACCACTCTTTACATTCGCAGTCTATTTTTAAATAATTCCCATGAAGATCACTAATCCACGTATACTTTGATTTAATCCAACTGATGTCTCAATTAATGGCTCTGCTTGCGAAATAAATCGATTTCTGTATAATTCATTTGCTGATACTCGTACCACTTCCTCATTCGATTGACCGATATTGCACCCCAAGCCCCTACATAAGCCCTCCTCTGGCCCAGTCCCAGTCCCAGGTTCAGGTTCAGGTTCAGGTTGAGGCGTCGCATGCTCGCATCGAATTAACAATAAATTAATCAATTGCTTAATAGATGTTTAACAACTGTTAACCTTCCTGGCAAGCATTCGAAGTGGCTGCAAATAAATCAAAATCTGTGCAAAAAAAAAACAAACAACAGCAACATCGACGATTTGCTGGCGATTGGCAGCAGTGTATTTGTTGATTAAAAACGTTGCGATTCTTGAGCGTGAAAAAAATCGTTTAGCTGCCAAAATTGGCAATTACTCGCTGTGCCGTCGCCGCCGCCGCTCGTGGCCATAATGAATAGCCAGACAATAATACGGCTTAGCCTTTTGGTCGGAACGTGCATGGCGTGGATAAAAGAAAGAAGAGAAGGAGTCGGGGGATGATTGCCTTTGTAAATGATTCCATAGATTTGCAGATGGCTGTGGGCGCCAGTGATTAGCATAATACCAAGGCATTGGCATGCTCTATTAAAATTAAAAATTTAATTACAAAACGAACGAAGAAAAAACGCCAACATTAATCAGAGTCAAGCGACACGACACGCACCACATAAATGCATGGAAAATACTACTACAGAGGCGACAAAATATGAAGACAACTAGATTAGAGACTCCATTTGAGTGATCTCCGGTCCGGTCCAGTTCGATTCATTCATTCACAGACAATGAAGCCCCAGAGGGCGGCTTTGTCACGCAAATATTTTTTTTTTTGGTTAATGCCTCGACAGTTTCGCTTCTGACTGACTGACTGTTGGTTGGACTGCTGGTGTGAAGCTATTAACGGCAAATATTCGATGGCAACGTCCCTCGATGTGGGTCGTTGTGTTTTAAGCACTGACAGCACTTGTCAAACCAATCCATAATAGATGTCAAAATATCAGCTGGCAACTCGATTGTAGCCGCACGCAGTGACAATGGGGATCTTCAGTTTGGACAAAAATGCAAATGCAGAAGCAAAGTCAACACACAAAAAGCAATCCAATCCAATCCGATTGAAAAGGCACAAATACACACAGTAGAAACATATAGATACACGTAGATCTCTGGTTAATCCAATGCTTACAATCTCTTTACAAATTTTGACCTTGGCCTTACACGCAAACAAATAAAACAAACAAAGCGCAGCAAACGGCATATCCACATCGACAACAATGTCATAGCAGTTAGTTAAACTCAAATATGAACACGAAAGACACACAAATATACATATCTAGTGGATGTGCCACAGGCAATGGAGCCATTGACTCACTGCAGATGAAACCAAGAAGAATCTTACAGACAGAGCCCATTGCCTTACCATCGCGGCAGACAGAGCGGCGGGCCGCAACAAGAACCCTCATCATCATCATCAAGACAATCATCGGCATTATCGTTTTGCCAAAAAAAACCAAATAAACAGGTTCTCCTAATGGCCATTAGGCAGATAGTCAGAGTCAGAGCCAGATTCACATAATAATCAGCATTTTCATTTGTGCAAATTGACTCGAATGGCTTATACGACAGTATAAACTATATATATATATATATTTTTATTTACTTCATATATAGATATAAGCATTTAAATCGATTCGCTATCTAGTAGATACCTAGAACGGGTTAACTGCCTTCAGTGTCAGGGTTGGTTCGTCACCGATCTAGATCTAGCATGAATGAAGTCGAACTGACTGATTGGATTGGTTTAAGATGCCTCACAGATTGTGGTCTAATCTCATTAGCTGTGTTTACACTTTTATGGTAGCAATTTGTCAGAATTTGAGTTGAACCAACTGCTAATCGGTTACAGCATCTTTTGCCTCTAGGCTTATAGAGTATTTTTTGGGGTATGCTGAAGTAGGAAGTCGTTGCGACTCCATCTATGGTTATTGTCATAGATCAACAATAAACAAATAAACTCTTAAAAGTCTACGATTTTTTGTGATAGGAAGAAGTTCTTCTTTGAAACGTTTTTTATATTTTTTAATTCCTACTTTACACTCACAAATAGCTTAACGATTCTTAAATGGCTTACTACTTTCAGATGTGACTCGTATTGACTAAGTTCTAGCTTAAAAACTACGAAAAAAATCAATTAGGTTTTTATGGGTCGTATAAAATGTGATTTTATATTTTTTGCATTCACTATTTTGAGAATATTCTCAGAGATCAAGCTCTTTTATGAGCGTCAGCAGACTTACCCCTATCAATTATTATTGATTATAGTTGCAAACAAAGTTCAAAGTGCCAGCCAACACACATGGTTTTAACGGTGGCACGAGCCAGCCAAAAAAAGGTGCCAAAAGCGGGTAAATGATTTTGGCTTAAAGCCACCGACGTCGCGCGTCTTTGCCCCTCAGGCGGCCATCGATTTTATTTGTTGTTGTTGTTGCTGCAAAGCAAATTAGGAGAAAACAGAATTAAAAACTAATTATTAATTATTAAGTTAAACAATGATTAGATGACTCTGTCTGTTCTCTGTTCGTCTTTTGTCGGCTGAATTCTCATTCAGAGTCGCCTCCTTTCCATTCTCATGACCATTCCCATTTCGCTTTATTTTATTTAGATTCTGGCTAATTTCAATAATTAATTTATGCTTCCCATTAAATGTGAACGTTCTTCTTTTGCGGCTGTGGCGGCGGCTTTCACTGGGCGCGTGTGCCCGTCCCACCGCGTCGGTGTGTCTGTGCCAGTCACAGGATTGATTGGAACCAGAAATTATCTAACGAGAAATCGGACTCGACGCTCTGCCTCGACTGACCGTCAAACAAATCATGACAAACAACCAAACAACTTTTTGTTCATCCCGAGAGAGATCTGCTTTTGGCATCAGTGTAGGTCAAGTTTCTGATGAACGATAATTGTTTAATAATTTATTTCACTCCCCCGGAAACGAGACTGAGCATCAACCATTTGTTGGCTATTTAAAGACAATTTATTGAGGCAGTTATAAATCTGTCAAGTGCCCCCCAAACATGTCGAGCTGTTGCAATAAATATTTCTGTGCCTAGATCATGCCATTACCCCGCACAAAGGCTACCCACAACTTTGGCAATTATGCCACAGTTCGCCATTGTCTCAGTGGCAGATGATATATTTGTTTTGCTTTTTTTTGCGTAATTTATTGAATATTCATAATGTTGACGCGCTCTGGCGCTGGTTCTGGGCACTGGCTTTGGCCTGTTTCGCGGTGAATGTGCGGAAGCTTGAACAAATAATAAAATTCCTCAAAAATATTTACGAAGTATTGTATTTGAGAATCTTCATGAAAAGAAGTGACAGGAATGTGTCTGGCTTGAGAATCTTAACGCAGGCGAAGCCAATCTTACGATAATTTTGCTGCAAAGTATATAAAAAGAACTTAGATTGAGCCTTGACTTGAGCATTACGTATAAAGATCGTATTTTTTTTTGTGTTTTTATTTCTACACTGAGAGAAAATTGTATATTAAAAAGAAACACACCCACTTTTAAATGCAAGATGCGGTTTTTGAATCGAATTCATTTCGATTTAATGGATATTTAAATATCAAACACTTTAAAAATAATATTTAAATTTAATTTAAATATACAAATATTTTATTTAAATATTTTTCATATTTCCACTCTCGGTGCATAAATATTTAAACCTCAGTGTAACTATTCGATTCCCTGGGCTTTTTGTCTCTGGGTGTATTTCTAAAAAACGACTGCTTAAAATGTTTAATTTCTTTTTGCTATTCACATGCGCCGCCTTTTATTTAAATGTCAAACAAGAAACCGGCAGCTAGAAAACGGGGAGTGTCTTACCCCCAGCACACAAATCTCTTGGTGACAAAATTGGTTTAAGAAATTGAGATCTTTTGTAGTTCTGGTTATCAGGTGCCAAGGATCGCATGTAAACACACGCACAATCGTACACAAAACCGACTCGTGTTTGGGCCCCACCCGGACAACAGGTCGTATGCGTAATATATGGGAATGCCTAGAACAAAAAAAACCAGATACAATCGAACCCCGACCCAGGCACGTGAAGTCTAATCGATTCTCGATAGCGAGCAGAGTCATAAATAAAGACAATTTTCGATTGCCGGCATTTAGTTAAGAGTCTCTGGCGAATAGCGGCTTATGGCTTTTGATTCACTTGGGCTCTGATGCTGTATGCCGTATGCAAATACGAGCAAAAAGTCGTCCGACGCTTTGGTTCCGGCCAAACATATAGAAACGATGATGGAAAGATCAAAAAACATAATTAACTCGCGATATTAATTTCGATTTATTGGCATTCGCATAAATAAAAGTCAGTTGGCTTAAATGTTATTATCGCTGAACTACATTTATTGTGTTGTGGAATAGTGGGGATTGTGGCCCCATAAATCTGCCACGCCCTTGATTGATTTATGCAGACACACGCAGATAGAACGTTGCTTTTTCGATATATAAATGACACATTTTGCAAGTCAAATATCGTTGACGCAATAGACAATGGCCAAAACAGACAATAATGGATGCTTTGTTGTGGATCACGAAATTTATGAAACACAGAGGCGAAACCTAACACTCCAGTCAGCCAACAACCAGCGGACCAAAAGCATTATTAATTACATTTTAAATTTTCTAATAACCGTAAAAATACAAAATAAATTGTTTTTTTTTTTTGCGGTATATGAAAAATGTTGCATAAAATTCGTCTAGGTGTCTCATCTAGTGGCCCGTTGACAAACACATTCTATCAATCAATGCAGGTGAAAGGCAGCCAAAAAGTGATGTCACAGCCATCACCAGGCTAGAGCTCAGAGTATTTTTAAGTGGGTATTTGATATAAAATATGTACATATATTCATGGGTAACAGCTTTACAATGTTTGTTGGTTGAAAATAGCTTTACCATTTCCTGTGTTTGTGCCACTTAATCTCCGTGGCCTAGCCTTGATATCGAACAAATCATTTTTATTGGCACTGCATCTTTTTTTGGGTCTCCACTCGAGTGGCTTCATTCACTTGACTCGACTGTGGCAGGTGAATGTATTTCCCCACACACACACACACACACAGCACACGCACACGCACGAAAAACGGAAATGATGTATGCCCCCGAAAGCCGTTAAATTTGCTTATTGTTGCCACTGCTGAGGTCAAGTGAAGATACAAACAAGCGGACAGCCAGACAACCAGACAGACAAATGATGGAACGATCAAATGTATGAATGGAGAGGGCTACCAGCCAGACAATCTCCTCCCGACATGCAAACCAAGTCCAAATCGCTTGCAGATACAATTATTAATGTCGAAGTGACTTTATTTTTGTGTCCACATCAACTCGAGTGTAGAATTTCGCATAATTAGTTGAGTGCTCTCTTCAGGGGAAAAATATTATTCTAGCAAAAATGTTATGCAAATTATTTCACGCGCAGGAGCCGCAAAAAAAACAAAAGACTTAGGCAACGAACTTCTTTCTGAGCCACGCGTCGTTTGATGAGATACAGAGCGCGTTCTAAAGAGAGGTGCGGGTGGGGTGGAGTATCTGCCGGAATGCTCTGCTCTTTAAATGCTTTGTTAACTTGTCCGTCTGTGCGTCATGTGACTCGTGACGACAACCCAAGTGATTGTCTAAAGGGTCCAAGCACCAACTGAACAACCACCACACCACACCACCACACCAACCAACCAACCACTCTTCTAGCCGTCGCAGTCTCTCTTCATTTGATTCCATTTCGTTTCGTTTCATTTAATTTAAATTTTGATTTGATTCGTTGTTGTTTTTGTTGGGTTGGTGGGGCGCGGGGGGCTGCAGATTCTGCTGCTTAATATAATATTTTGTTGCTGCCTTATTTCTAACGCGTTGTGCGGTTTTCGGTTTGGAGTTTTGGTGTCTCATCGGGTTTTTGGCGGTCGTCGTCGTCGTATCTTTGGCCAGACTCTCTAAGACCCACGTACCGAACTGAAACGAACCGGACGGACCGAACAGACCGACCGTCCCCAGACCAGATGTAGTATAAATTTCCTACCAACTGACCAGCTCATCATCATTTGTGCTTTGAACTTCTTAAGTGTAAATTGCTCGTCCGCTCATCTGCTCGAGAAAATTTCGTGAAACATACACAAAATTAAATAAATAAATACAAATAAAAATGGTAAAAGGAAAAAGGATAATGAATCCCTAAGTGCATTTAGTTCTAAGAAGGATATAGACTGAAACCACAATAAATCCAAAAGTGATGTGTCAAATGGAAAATAAAACCAAAATTAAAAAAACAAAAATAAACATTCGATTGGAGTGCCCGGACCAACCCTCAACTCAAGTGTACAACTGTCCGGGGCTGGAGTGTCTCTCGGGACTTTTTTTGTTTCACACCCCAGTGGCTCCATAAATAGAATGCCCAAAAATCTCCTCTCCTGATTTCCTCCTCTCTTCTTCGCCAGAAATTCTTCTTGCTGTTGGCCTTGGCCCTTGTGGGCGTTGTTGCTGGTGCCCAGCTGCCGGATTCGGCCACACAGGGACCCAATCCCCAGGATATTGCCACCCCAGAACCGGAATACATTGACATCGACGAGCCACTACCAGCGGCCGCCGCCCCTGCCGCTGCACCGCGGCCAGTGTTTGCTGCTGCCCCCCCAGGGCAGTGATTGCTGCACCAATCGCTCGTCCCATTGCCCGTCCCGTGGCACAGCAGACCTTCGTCCAGCAGCAGCAGCCCTTCATCCAGCAGCAGCAGCAGCCGATTGCCCAGCGCGTCCAGTACCTGGCTCCTCAGGTGGTGCCACAGCAGCAGCAGCAGCAGCTGGTGGGACACTCGTTCAACAGCAGGAGCGGCTACCAGTACCGTCGTCCAGTCTATGTAAGACGCTTCTACCGCCTGCGCCGCTACTAAGATGGAGCAGCGATATATCATATATATCCCATATATATTTTTAATACATGTTCGATAATATCCTAATAATCTATCCCTCTATATTTTGCTGTTTTCTTTCTTCTACCCGCATCCGCACCCCACACTTCACCTGCCCGAAACGACTCTCCAAACCCAAATCTCCAATCCACTGCTCGAATCAAGCATTAACCTATATCCAAAATACCACGCACACGCCACATTACCACCGCACTGAAACCCTTCTACAAATCTATCCAACTATCGAACATATCGAACTATCTAACCACCAATCCTAATCCTAGAACGAAAACGAAAATGTAAATCAAAACGAAACATCAAAGAACCAACGAACGAGCAGCCAAGATCAAAAAGCATAAAGAGCAAAAGTACAAAGAGACAAATGATGTTCTAAAGACAAAGATCGCAACAAAAAAAAAACCCAAGTATTCAGTTATTGTTGAATGTTCCAAGTAAAGTACGTACGAGTAAATAAACGTAAATTATTTGTAAAAATGATAAACAAAATCTCGTATCGAATATTTCATTCAAAAGCCAAGGCCAATGCCAAAAGGGGGGCATCGCAATTTAATTATAATATTCACAGCTCATCAACGCACGATTAAGTGTGTCGAAAGATGTACAATGTACATACAAAGATTCGTTCTCAATTTGATGGGGGGACTAGGACTGGGACTATCATCTATCATTAATCATGGAATCAAGAATTTTTTTATTTCCAAGCTGATATGGACATTTGCATACGGAAGCTCTGGGGTACTCGTACTCGTACCTTTCTGCGCACTTGAGGTCGGTCGCCTTATTACCCATCCAATTCGATGGTAAGGTCTGGGAAATAATTTCCGTCTGTGTTGCGTGGCAGATTTGGTGGTGTGATGTGCATGTGTGGCTTCTTTGGGCGAATTAGAAATAATTATTTATGCAGGTTCATGCATGAGTCTTGACGGCTCGTAAACCGAAACTCTAGCCAAAAAACACAGAACAAAATAAAATAAATAGAAATACATAAATCTACTGAAAATACTTTCAAAATACATTAAATTTAACCGGTTTAAGCTTTAGCTAAACCTGCTAAATTGTCTCCAAAAATTAAAAAAAAAAAAAACACACACACAAAAGATAGATATTATTTGAAGTGTAAACACTCCATTTTAAGAGGTTCAATCCGCACGGGTGGCCAATGAGACAATACGCATTTGATTGATGGATTGATTGTCAATTTGATTGCCTTGCTGCCTCGGCTTCAATTCAGGGGCATTAACAGACTCGACTCTTTTTTTCTACGAACTATGACAAACTGGGTCTCTCACTCGCTCGCTTGCTGTCCGCTCCTTTGTGTGCCATCGAATCGATGACAGCTTCTTTGGCGATGGCGATGGCGATGGCGATGACGCTTCCGTCTCGTGTTGTACTGGGGACTCCTCGATCAGTCAAGTGGCAATTATAATTTGCGGCCTTGCCACTTTGTTATTAATTACACAAATTGTTACATCAGGCCCCTTCCCCTGTCGCATTGTCATGGCAATGGATTATGAAAAATGATATCTCTGGCTTCGATAAACCTATGGCGGAATAAATTAAACTTCAATTAACATGATTTTTGCGCATCTACTAATTCTGAGCATTATATTGTTTTTGCTCTATTATTTTAATTATTTTCATAATTTGTAAGCCTGCCTAAAGCTAATTTTTGGTAACAAAACTGTTATACTCGTACTGAAACTTTTCAAGTCATACTTTTCGGCTGATATATTTCGAACTATTATATATACCCAAAAGTTGGCCGTTAAATGTGGAACTAGTGACGAAAGCTGACCAACTAAAACGACCAAGTCAAAATAACACTTAAAAAGTTAATAAAAATGTCCAAATAAAAAAAAAATTAATATATTAAAAATAGGAAAATATATATTCATAAATAATACAAGTAATATTATTAAATACCTTTTTTGGTAAGTAAATCCGATATTTATTACCCTGCAATAAAAAATAAATAAAAAATGTATAAATATTTATATACAAAAATGTAAAGGCATAGTAGTTAAAAATAAATATAAATTATAAACAATTATAAATTATAAAAATAATTATTTCATTTATTAATATTAAGTTTTAAGCTCGATTTTCTGCATAGTTCTATAATAATTCATACAATATTAAAATCATCGAGAAAATCTTAATATAAAATTAAATAATTTATTTATTTATGCTACAAATTTGTTCTCCGCTCTCTAGAATTACCACATCCTCCAACTACTGTTCTACTATATACAAATACAAATGCATCAATGAAATTACCATACCAAAAAAGCGAAAACGAGGAAACAAATAGTTTCGTTTCATTAGTGGCAGTCTTAAAAAGATCTTAAACAGGCTAGGCGAGTGAGCCTGAACCCGCGTCGGGTCATCAGTTTGGGCTTTCTAAAATCAATGATGAGCTCGATAATTTATGGGGCATGTTTATTTAAACGGCGCTACTAAGAGCAACAACCGTATACGCGTATACGCGCTCCTAAGTAAATCATTTTTGAGGCACTTAAACAAAGATAAGCGTAATAATCGAATTAATTGGCGGGTGGCAGTGGCAGTGGCAGGGTAGCAGAAGAAACGGGTTCCCCTCCTCCATACACCCATCCATAATCAGCTATTAGATCATGCAATCTGATTTGCATAAAAGCAATTCATTTTGTCAACACAAACACGCTGATTCCATTCCCAGAGTGTTCTTCTTCGTCCAAAAATGTTGAACTTCCTGATCGCATTAGTTTCACTTTCTATCTCCATCAGCGTGGGAGGGTTCTAAAAGTCGTTTAGGGGGGGTCGAGGGCATATCTTCACACCTTCAACAATGCCAGCGATTGTCTGTGGAGCCATCAAGTATTGCCATAAATTATAAGCCGTCGTTTATTGAAGCTCAACCACAATTCGGGCCATAAAATTAGAGCTTATGGCCGTTTCGGGTGCCCAGCTTCAATTACTCACTCGCGCTCCACGCTGTTCGGCAATAAATCAAGCCGGAATTGGCCAGCAGAGCATTACTCAGTGGCATAATCGGACGTCTCAAAATAGCCACCGCTGGATCGGGGTCTCCCGTGAATGAAACTGTTCTGCCGCCACATTCGCTGATATTTTTAGACGCCTCAAGTGTAATTATGCTGTCTCTTAGCACTCTTGAGTCGAGTTCGTGGCCTGGTTCGTACTTCTGATAGGATTTTCCCCCAAAACCAATTCAAGTTCAAGTTCAAGAGCAGGATGTGGGCTTTCATTGTGTTAGGGTTTATTCGTTTTCGAAACTTAATAAATAACTATAGTATATACACGTGACATTGGCAGACGACAATAAAATGGCTAAGGATGGAAAGGTTCTTGGGGTGGTTCCTCCTAGAAGAGGAATGGCTGGGCGGGAGCATCGTAGTGGTACCCATCATCGCTGTGCGGCTCCACGATCTCCTGGGGCGGCAGATAGCTGTTCACGGGCTCCTCCAGCGGCGCGGCATAGGAGGGGATTGGAATCTTGAAGGTCGGCTTCGATGGTGGCAGATAATCCGGCTCGGGCTGCTCTACCACGGGTGCCACGGATGGTGGCAGGTAAGCAGGCTGGGGTGGCACAACTTTCACGATGGGAGCTGGAGGTGGCAGATAGGCTGGCTTAGGAGAAGGCACGACCCTCACAACTGGCGGTGGGGGTGGTAGATAGGAGGGCTTGGGAGTCACAACATTCACAGCTGGCGGTGGGGGTGGCAGATAGGAGGGTTTAGGCGTCACAACCCTCACAACTGGCGGTGGGGGCGGCAGGTAAGAGGGCTTGGGTGTCCTGACAACAGGGATCTGCGGCTTCACTGATGGCTGCGGAGGCAAGTAAACCGGCGTAGGCTTGGTCACCGGCTTCACCGGTGGCAAGTAAGACGGAACTGGAGCAATAACACGTGCTGTCACGGGTTCCGGTGGCAGATAGGCAGGACCGGGTGTTGGTAATTCGAAGGGAATACTGGGTGCATCGTAGTTGTAGCCCGGATGATCGTGGTGATGATCATGATCAAACAGATGCGAAACATCGGCGGCCACCAGCGTAAGGCCACAGACAGCAAGGACCAGGAGCAGTTTCTGTATGGCAAGATAGAGAGAGAGAGACAGATGTATCTAGCTGTTAGGACACTCTCTCTATGGATCTCTTGAGATGCTGTAGACAAACCATTTTATTATCCAAGCGTTCTATTTCCTCAGTGGACGATACGTTCTCGCTGCGACGACTGCTACGCCCGAAATGATACAGTTTCCGGCAAGTGCTTCTTTATTTATACAGTTAGAGCTGCCGCGAGAACCATACGCGGTGGCAGACTCTAAAGCGGTCTGGGGTCTACGCCGACGCTGCGTAGTCGTCAGAGACGATATGGCATCTCAGACTACAGTCCAGATGATGGCTAGTCGGCTGTCAGCCAAGCGGCGTTTAGCATTAAGACACATTGGCAGCACAGCCGGTATTCGGTGCGGAATTCGCTATTCGGCATTTCATTGTTTTATTGAATCGAATATCTTAATTCGCAGTCATCGCTCGTTGCGTTTGCTTTTGTTTTTGGAGAGATCTCTTTATGGCCAACAGTCATCAAACTTGTTGGGTTTTATGATAGCTGCTGCGCTTGCCAACCAATTGGGAATCATTTTTGTGGGAGAGCCCCAAAACAACAAAACAAAAACAGCCTATTTAGGTGTCACTTTCAGTTGGAGGTGGGTCAAATCTTCTTTGAACTTCTTTAACATCCTGTTTTGCATGAGTACTTTGACGCACATTGAAGGAAGAGTATCTATTGATTCGTTTTAGTGTTCAATCTGCCCCAGTTCACGCTTGCCCCATCTCTGGGCTAACATTGAAAGAGGTCAGAGACTGTCGTTTGATGGCTGGAGGTTCGCGATTAGCGATTATCGATTTTTGTGCGTTAGTTCGAGTATTTATGTAACAGAAACCGACAGCATCCAACAATCAATATCTATATATATCTCTAGCCCGCACTGAACATCATTTTTCATTCCTAAAGACAATAATTATAGACTGCTGCAGGTGCCGATGTTCAAGCCAGACCAAAAGACCAATAGCTAATGCTGAAGCTACTTCGGTTGATTGGCCGCAATTCGATTTTGGGGGTCGCGCATGGCCAGATCCAATTTCCAAGCCGTAGAGCCTGTCTCTGTGCGTCCCTTTTTGTTCAGGGGGTCGAACCTCTGGCTAAATGTCTTTAATAGGTTCGACCTTGACTCTGTCGACTGTCGGCTGTCGAAAGAGTCACTCAAACAATGGATTGGTGAAATATTTGTTGTTGTTTGTTTTTTAAAATGATTTTAATTTGCAAAACTTAAAACTAGATGCAGTATTTATGAGGTTTGTGTATCGTAGGGGGGTGTGTGCGTGTTCGATGGGTGTGGCCTATTGCCTGAAGCGACGCAGCGGCGGCTTGTACTGGTAGCCGTGCTCGGGAACGTGGACGTGGCTCTCCGACTGCAGGGGCAGGGCGTACGATGGAATGGGGATGTGAAAGTCAATCTCTGGCTGATGCTGGTGATGCTCCTCCGCATGGTTAGGTGGCAGGTAGCTCGACTCTGGCCTGGGGGCGGGTGGCAGGTAGCTCGACTCTGGCCTGGACGCCGGGGGCGGTGGCGGCGGTGGCAGACTGGGAGCGACCTTGGGAGGCAGGTATCTGGCCACGGGCTCCTCGGCGGGCAGATACTTGTTGGCCGGTGGAGCGGGTGGCAGATAATTAGTTTCCGGTTTGGCAGGAGGCAAGTAGCTTGGCTGGGGTGCAACTACCGGGGGTGGAGGTGGAGGCGGCAGGCTGGGAGCGACCTTAGGGGGCAGATACTTGGGCGCAGGCGCGGGAGGCAGATACTTGGGTGCAGGAGCGGGAGGCAGATACTTGGGTGCAGGTGCAGGAGGCAGATACTTGGGTGCAGGTGCAGGCGGCAGATATTTGGGTGCAGGTGCAGGAGGCAGATACTTCACTTCCGGCTCGGAAGGTGGCAAGTAGCTGGCCTTGGGCGGAGGTGGCGGTGGAGGTGGCAGCGACGCCTTGGGTGGCAGATACTTCTGGCGGGGCTTCTCCGCTGGCGGCAGATAGCTGCTCTTAGGAGCCGGCGCTGGTCCTGCATAGCTGTAGCCGCTGGGTATATTGAACTTGGGCTCCTGCTCCACATGATGGTGATGGTGGTGTGGCTCCTCCGGTTGGTAGTGCAGATCTATGTGCAGACCGTGGTGCCCATGATGACTGTCGTGCGAATGCGCATGAGCATCGTAGTGGTAATCGTGCTCATGATGATCGTGATGATCGTGATGATCGTGATGATCGTGCTCGTGATGGTGGCCACCATGTCCACCGCTACCACCAAACAGATGCGATACATCCGCCCGGACACAGACAGCAGCCAGGCCTGCCAGGGCCAACAGGATCAGCATGGATTTCTATAAGAGACGGGAATGATTAAAACTCCACTTCGGATCGAGGAGGTGCCGAGTGTCATCCATTTACCATTCCGTGGGGTTGTATTCCTGTGTTGCGTTGATGATGTTGCTGCCGTTTGCTCACGGCTTCGAGTAATGTCATTATCGTTGATGGTCGCGTCTTTTATACTCCGATCGATCGCAGCGGCTTCCTCGAACTCGAACTCCATCGTCGGGTTCGATCTGTTGGGCAGCAATCAGCATAAGGCACAAAGGCCAGCGGTGCATAATTTTCGGTTCGGTTTTCTTCACACTTTTCTTGGTTTTCATGAACTTGTGATCCATCCACTCGTCGGATGGCAATTATCGGCGTGTGGTATCTTTTCCCCCCCAATTAATGCTACTTTTGGCTTTAATTAGGCGCACAACAAAAGCTTCGTCCGGCAGCCACCGGTGGTCCATCAGTGGCGCCTCATGAATATGTAGTGGATGCGTCGCCGAAATTTCTATCGTGAAACGTGAGACAATTGGCGGTGATTGACTCTGCCTTATCCCACATAATGCAACAGATATCAATGTGGTTCAATGGGGGGAATTAATGGGGTTAACAAAACAGCATTTATTATACGTTGTCTCCTAATTATATAATCCTAAGCCTAAACGATTCAAACAAACAAACAACAGTGTAGCAGCGGGGTTGGGGGATAGTTCAGGGTTCAGTGCAGTTCCTAGAACACAAACGACTTGGCGGGCACCTCGTAGTGGTATCCATGATCTTCCTCTGGCTCTGGCTCTGGCTGAGGTGGCGGCAGGTAGGTGGGTGCTGGCGTTGGGGCAGGAGTCGTTGTTGTTGTTGTTGTGGTTGTCGTTCTTGGCGGTGGAGGTGGCAGATAGGTGGGGGCAGGCGTGGGAGCCGGTGTGGTCGTCGTTGTGGTCGGTGGAGGAGGAGGCAAATAGGTTGGTGCTGGCGTTGGAGCAGGTGTCGTTGTTGTGGTCGTGGTTGTTGTTGTTGTTGTTGGTGGCGGTGGAGGCAGATACGTTGGCACTGGCTTCGGTGGCAGGTAGGTTGGGGGTGGCGTGGGTGTTTCTGTTGTGCTGACCACTATTACAAATGGCACCACCGGCTTGGGATAGTCATAGCCATAGCCATGTTCCTCCTGCTGCTGCTCCCCCAGGAGTTGTTCCAGCGGCAAATGCGAGACATCTCCGGCAACCAGAGCCAGCATGCCAAAGGCGGCCAAAATGATGAATTTCTGGCACAAGATGACACAATTGAAGATCGTTAACGTGTCGTGGTGTCGGGGTATCGGGATTTAAGGATTTGTAGACTCACCATGGCTATTATATGTTATCGTATGTTACACCTTGAGCTCGTTGACCACAAATGATTGACCAATACCATGTGTAGCTGTTTATTTATAGTCGAAAATTCTAAGACCAAGTCCATGGGCCTGCTCTCCAAAGGCCAATTATTATCATTTAAATCGATATCGAGCTTAGAGCTTAGAGCGATTCATGGCAGCATCAGCACCAGCATCGGCACCGCCGTAAGCATTCTTTGTATCGGTAAAAATGTATCTGTCTCAGTTTCGCTTTCAGTATTTGTATCGCGGTATCTGTGTCCATGTTTGTATGAATGATTATCGCCACAATGCTGTTGTTGTTAGTGCTGCTGCTGCTGCTGCTGCGCCTCCATCTTCGCTTCAGAGAGCCATTATATGTATTTTTATGAGCCCCCCACTGTGTGCGGCTTTTCATCAGCGTCGTCACTCAGCGTTGGCTCAAGCAGCGCTTCAGTTTCTCGTCATTGTCTGGTGGTGTCAAAGTGAGCCTCTGCTTCCGACCCAACCACTGCTGACCCAGAGCAGAGAAGAGAAGCTGAACTGCGTTAGTTCCGCAGCTGGCAGCGTTGTAAGCGCGATCCGCTAGCTGTCATAAATCATTTAGACTTCATTTATAATAATTATGGCGCGCGCTGCCATATGCAGCAGCAGCTCAAGAAGTCTCCAGTGGAGTGGAGTGAAGTGGACTGGCCAGCTTCAGTTTCATGGACAATGACGGACAATGAAGCTGTCTCTCTAAGACATTAGACATGAGCTTGCGGAAGCAATTCCAATTCCAGCTTACAAATCAATACAACAATCGTAGGCGGCGATGGTAGTTGCAGCTGGAGATGGGGAATCTATTTTAAAACATTTGACAAATTTCCCATCTCTTTAACGGCAGTGTTTAATCCACTAATTAGTTGGATTAGAGTGTCGCGTCGCTAATCGCGATTTAGTAAACAAAAACAGTGACAGAGTCGCGTCTCAACTATCACTTTTTGTTTCATTCTTCGGTGGATCTGATATAATTTATGCGGGTTGTTGAACCGCCCCAAACGATGCTGGATCGATCCAATCCGGCTGATCGATTGTCAAGTGCTGCAAACTGGACGTGCTGGCGTGTGCGGTGCTCGCCTTTTGCCAATAATCCGCGTAATTTATGCCGTTTATGAAATAAATTGTCGTTCTTTATGGGCATTAGTCTTCAATGGCTAGGCCTGCGTCTCTTCATTTCTAGCTACAGACCGAGCTGAGACTTGTGCAAATTTTCAAAGCAGACCCCCGGAACCGGTTTGGGATTAGAAGATATATTTTGTCAAGCATAAACATTTTTTTTTTAGCAAGACGCCAAGTCTACTACAAACCATAAACACAGATGGAATCTCGTTCTAAACCGAGTCCAAGGCAAGTCTTAAGCGTAAGCCCTGCCCAAGGGCTTCTGGTGAAAGGAAGGCAGCTAGATCTTAGGGGGGGATTTCAATTTTATTATCTTTATACAGAAAACTTTGGTACAAAATTCGAGGGAAACAAGGTAGGGGTCTCAGCTCTTGAATCGCCTGCTGGGCACTTGGTACTTGTAGCCGTGAATGCTGCTGCCACTTTTACTGGCCACCAGCTTGGAGGCGGATGTTAGCTGGGATTCCACTGGCTCTTCGGCTTGGCCTAGCTCCGCATCGGATGGGGCTACGGGTATGGCATCCTGGGGAAACTCCTCGCCCGTGGGGAACTCATTGCTGACCTCCAACTCCAGCTGGGTGACCTTGGGCACGTCGTAGACGAAGCCATTACCAGAGCGCACCAGCTGAGAGACATCCGATGTGGCGGAATGCAGACAAACCGTCAACAGCAGCAGCAGCAGCAACGGGCCAAAAATGGAGAGACGCTGTAGGGAACGAGTACGAGAGCGTGAGGCGAATGTGTGGCAAGAGGCTAATGACAAGCGCGCTTACCATGTTTCGACTGTGTGTGATCTTGACTGGGGGAATGGAATGGCTCTAAGAATGGAGTTGGATTTCGGTCGCTTCCAGCGTTCAAAACGTTGCTCAAGCGAATGCAAGCGCCGGCATTCAGACCCCAACTATTTATACTTCTATATGTTCACCTCATTTGGCCAGATTTTGCCTCACTTTATTAATTACGCCAAAGCCGATCACGAGATGACGATGTTGCTGTTGCTGGTGCTCTCTGCCAGAAGCAGAGAATGGAGGCCCTAGATAAACAAGCAAAGATACAACGCTTCTGGCTGCTGGCTGCTGGCTGCTAGCTGCTAGCTGTTTGCTGCTGCCGATGCGAGCACTACAAATAAAATGCTACAACATCTCCATCTCCATCTGCTACGCCGTCGCCTCATTGCCAAGGTCAAGACTTGTTTTGTGGGGTCAAGTGTCAGTGCGTTGCCGCAGACCCATACACAAGCCTTTGTCTTAGTCGCATTTGTTTGATACTCGCATTGATTTGTATCTTGAATTAATGATTCTATGCGCTGAGAGCCGTTGACGGATTTGTCTCTGCCCCCAGCCACCACGTGAGCCGCAGTAAATCCCCCCACCCCATGCAAATCAATAATTATGCAGCCCGAGCCCCGAGCATATAAAGAACATAAAAACAACTGCTTCCATACGTTTCCGTTTCATTAGTGCTTCACGACTGGGCAGATGCAGATCCATCGATTCTAGAACAATTTATCTATGCAAACCAATGAGTGGACAAGCCAAGACTGATTGAACTATCAGCAGATTCGATGGAGCGGGGGTGTATCCGTATTCCACTTGCTTCTATGTATTATAATCGGATCTAAATGAATGCATAGCGACACACCCACTAAGCAAAGTTGATTCTGATTAACTGAAGAATCGACTCACTTGCCCTATATTGTGCAGCGAATATTTTCTAGACTCCACATCGAAATCTTCGAACCTATTATTTGGTCATTTAAAAAAATAATTATTTTTACATGAATTCTACATAAACTAATGGTACATACACTACTCTTTGCCAGCTTGTAGCTAGCTGGCATATTTTTAGGCTGCGAGCATCTGGTTCTTGAAGTATATAATTATTTTTGTTTAGAAATTATTGCATACTTGCAATACTTCCATACTTGAGGGAAGCTCCTAAAGGTTTACAAGATTAAAAAACATTGTAAACAGCCATTTAAATTACATTGAGAAAAACGAAAGAGCATGCTATTGAAATTAAGAAAAAACAGTATGCAAAGAGAACTGAAAACAGTTGGAGTTACCTATCTCTTTCTCTCTCTCTCTTACCTTTTGCGAAAGATTCTTGTGGCATTACGTTTTCCTTGCTGTATTTGCTGTTCCTCTTTACGTCGAAAGAAGAAGCGGGACCGTTAGGTTTCGTAACCTCGCGAACCAACGATATACGAAACGAAAACGAAAACGCAAACGCACACGCAAAGGAACTCGAAAAAATGTTCGGTATATTAATATAAGGGGAGGCCCAACAGGACTGAAGTTCAAGCTGACACACCAACGAGAGAGAGTCAGATCACCAAGATTTGGAATGCCTCACCCTACAATGCAACACTTGAGATTAGAGAGCGTCGGCACGCTAACAACTCGCTCCTTCCTTGTTGCTTTGCTTCCTAACTGTAACGCGTATTGCTTGATGGAGTGGGAAAGGGACAAAACTAAGTGTCTGTACATTTTGCATTTTTTGCACACACAAACCACACACACATTGACAGAGATCATGTGACCAAACGCAAAAAAAAATAGATGTATAGAATAGTTTTATATTTTGAATATTAAATTAATAACGCACTAGTTACACTTCACTTTCACTTGTTTCCTTATTTTTCTTCGCCGCTCTGCCTTTTGTATGCCATTTTGCCGACGGCCCGCCCCTCTTGATCAGAAGCTTTTCCTTGCAATAATAAAACACAATATTTGGACAATTTTTATTTTTAACCACTGCACTACGCCACTATTTGTACTACCACACTGCACCACTACTTTAACCGTTGGATTTTGTATACTTTTCCCGTTTTTCGCGGCCCGAATCGCGGAGCTGAACTAAAAGCGCGCGCTTGGACCGGGTGAAAAAATTAACGTGTGAGAGCGGTGCGAGTTCCATGCTCTTCCTTTTTTCCTTTTCTTTCTAATTGCTCTCTCATGGGAATTTGACATTTGTTTCTCCTATTTTTGTTCTCCCTCTCCAACTCCAAGAGAGCGAAGGTTTGTGCGTTTGATGAGAGACCACTTGACCGTAGCGGTACAGTGTTATGCGGGAGCGGGGTTTAAGTGATACGTTGCCATGTGATGGGATGTTATGCTAAGCCACCTACGCCACTGTACAATTGTCACATCACAGTGATGTAATGTACGAGTAAAATAGACGAAACATGCATTTTCAATTCGATTGATTTCTGTTTATTTTGACAGTTATTCCAAGTGGATTGGTCTTTCCTGCGAAAGCCCAAACCACTGCATTCACCATTCGTTCAAAGATATGCCTAATACTTAATGAAGATTCTTTATATTTACAAAAAGCCTAAGTAGTCTAATAGTCGAACGATGGCTGGGGATCGTTGGGGTAGCTGTAGCCCTTGGGACCCTGAGGCTGCACGTACACTGGTGGGGGAGGAGTGTACACGACCTTCTTCACGGGTGCCGGTGGGGGTGGAGGAGGAGGAGTATAGACCACCTTCTGCACAGGTGCGGGCGGCAGATACTCGACCTTGGGTGGTGCTGGCTTCACGTAGACCGGTGGTGGAGGAGGTGTGTAGACAACCTTCTTAACGGGTGCTGGTGGGGGTGGAGGTGGAGTGTACACGACCTTCTTGACAGGTGCAGGAGGCAGGTATTCAACCTTGGGTGGTGCGGGCTTCACATAGACTGGTGCCGCGGGCTTCACATAGACTGGTGCCGCAGGCTTCACGTAGACTGGAGCCGCAGGCTTCACGTAGACTGGCGCCGCAGGCTTCACGTAGACTGGTGCGGGAGTCACAACCTTCTGGATGACAACTGCTGGAGCGGGCTTCTCATAGGCTTCGAACTTGACCGAGGGCTGTCCGTAGTGGTAACCGTCTTCCTTCAGGATGCCAGCTGGTGCTGGTGGCGGAGGAGGAGGAGTGTACACAACCTTCTTCACGGGTGCGGGAGGGGGTGGGGGTGGAGTGTACACAACCTTCTTCACGGGTGCGGGAGGGGGTGGGGGTGGAGTGTACACGACCTTCTTCACAGGTGCAGGAGGCAGGTATTCGACCTTGGGTGGGGCGGGCTTCACATAGACTGGTGGTGGAGGAGGTGTGTAGACCACCTTCTTCACGGGTGCTGGAGGGGGTGGGGGTGGAGTGTAAACGACCTTCTTCACGGGTGCAGGAGGCAGGTATTCAACCTTGGGTGGTGCGGGCTTCACATAGACTGGTGCCGCGGGCTTCACGTAGACTGGAGCCGCAGGCTTCACGTAGACTGGCGCCGCAGGCTTCACGTAGACTGGTGCGGGAGTCACAACCTTCTGGATGACAACTGCTGGAGCGGGCTTCTCATAGGCTTCGAACTTGACCGAGGGCTGTCCGTAGTGGTAACCGTCTTCCTTCAGGATGCCAGCTGGTGCTGGTGGCGGAGGAGGAGGAGTGTACACAACCTTCTTCACGGGTGCGGGTGGGGGTGGGGGAGGAGTGTACACGACCTTCTTCACAGGTGCAGGAGGCAGGTACTCAACCTTGGGTGGTGCTGGCTTCACGTAGACCGGCGGTGGGGGAGGAGTGTACACGACCTTCTTAACGGGTGCTGGAGGGGGTGGGGGAGGGGTGTACACGACCTTCTTCACGGGTGCAGGAGGCAGGTACTCGGCCTTGGGTGGGGCGGGCTTAACGTACACTGGTGCGGGGGCGGGCTTCACGTACACTGGTGCAGGGGCAGTCTCCACGGGCTTCTCGTAGGTTTCAAACTTGACCGAAGGCTCGCCATAATGGTAGCCATCCTCCTTCAGGTCACCGGCTGGAACAGCAGGGGTGTACACCTTGGCTGGAGGAGCAGTGTAGACGGGGCGAGGAGGCGTTGGCTTGGGGGCCTGGTAGATGACGGTGGGTGGAGCGGACTCCCTCGGCACATATGGCACATCGATCACGACTGGATTCGACGGGGCATTGTAGACGTAGCCATCCTCCTGCAGGTTGTTGCTGTTCGAGAACAGATGCGAGACATCGGCACTGGCGACGGCCACCAGGGCGAGAGCGATGAGAAGTTTCTGCAAATGAAACCATCAGAGATCACACGATCAGTATCAGTAAGTAATTGTAATCCACAATCGGGGGAATATCCGAGACTATCCCGGCGATAGTTATGTTCCACAGCTAATGTTAATACATATTTCACGGTTATTGTTCACTTTTCACTATTTTTTTTTTATTGTATTTATTATCCTTGCTATCCATTCGCTCCGCTTACCATTTTTGCTCAGAATCAAATCCACACGACGAATGCAGAAATGTGACTGTGGCGAAGCATCGCGCATCGACAATTATTTATAGTTCAGCGCCTCAGGATGGGCGAAAATGTTTTACGGCAGAAGATTCTCGACAGAGACGCCCCGAAAAACTTAACAGAACCTGCTTGGAGCTGGCTAACCGGCTGCTGCTGGGGCGCGCTGCTTTTCTGCCTTTGCCCAAAAACGACACCCATAAAAACTCATCTCGTTCGCTGTCCAGGCGCGTCCCAGGCGTTATACATTTTAGCACCACCAATACAACAGCAAAAATGAAGTAGTTTAGCCCAAAAAAAAAAAAAAAACCCCCCTACTACCAAAAAGATATGCAAAAGACGTAAATGAGCTTGAATTTAATATGATTCGGGATGGACTTTAATAAAAATCATAGCTAAAATAAAGAACAAAAAACACAAAGCGAACCCCCAAAAATATCTATATAATAACTTAGAACCAGAGACAACTAACTGTCTGTGGTTTGTGAGTGGTTTGAACAAAATGTTTTTTAAATTTAAATTCAAGAAAAACCGGTGAAATATGCACGAACAATATATCTACATATGAATGTATGTATGCATATGGGGTATCGGGAATGATCATAGATAGAGAGTGTCCCGCATGGGTGAGCATAGCCAATCATGCTCGATAATTTCGGCAAATATTTGTAGAACACATCGATAGCCAGTAGGGGGTACAGACAAACATACAGACCGACAAACAGACAGACAGATAGACCCTCATGTGTCGCGCCTATCGCGATGATGAAGCCACTTGGCACTTAACGACACAGACAATGGCACTCTTTCTTCTTCTTTCCGCGCAGAAATAAATCTAAGCTTAGAATCCACTGGAGTCATGGGCTGGGCATAAATTAATTTCACATTGATGTGTTCTATTCCACAAGAAACTGTTTTAAGAATGTTTTATTTATGAGAGCATTGAGAGATTTGCATAAATTCTCAAAAAAGTTCCGCTTGAAACAATGTCAGGCTCTCTCTCTCTCTCTCTTTCACTCTCTGTCCCTCCTAAGTACCGCAATTATTCACTGCACTGCAGCTGTAGTGACCAAGGTCGGAGCTTCACGCAATATCATCAATCCAGAGATCTGTGAATCAACTACAGATGGGGAAACAGTCTCCAGTAGAGCAGCCTTCAACCGGTTAGTGATGCAGTTCCCTTCTTTACAATGACCTTTGCCTTGGCTTGCGGTTTGTGGCAAGGACAGAGAGACGATAACCACTTTCCCTCATGCTCCTGACCCACTGTTCGCCTGGATTCCTGTTATTTCTGGACACGCAAGCAAAAACTTGCTTTTAAATTGATTTTTAAGACATTTGCATGCTTTGTTTTTAATTAAATTTAAATTTAATTAATACGAATCTGGAACTCCGATCGCATGCGGAATTCTTTAAAGTCTACAGTTAATGCCGTTAGGCGAATTGATTACCTAAATTAATTGTCGCTTGTGTCTACAATGCATCATTATATTTCATTCCAACAAAGTTCAAAGTTTGTTAATGACGTTTAAGTCTAACGGCTTGCCAGCACACTCCCTCCACCTAGAGTTGGCTAGGTCGATCGTTGAACTAAGCGTAATTTATAATATTTATGCTGTTTTTATTTTTATAGATTTTTTTGGGGGGTTTTTTCTACTTAATTTTTTAATTTATTACGCAATCTTTAGGGCGTATCTTTGAGATAAACACACGCGTTAACAAAGTCGCCACAGCTATCGATAAAATCTGGTTTCAGTAATATCAAACGATGCGTACGTCATGCCTTAGATCCCAGTCTTCGTCACTCTCGAGTGATCATAAAACGTTATGCTATAGTCACTGGAAATTTGAGATTTTTACTCACGCTAAATGGCTTTAAGCGGACTCATCTTACAGGCCAATTTGTTCGGGGTTCGATGTGTGTATTGACCTGATCTATCTTACCCATGTTACCTCAAAGTTTCCGGCATTTAAATGAGTTCTCAGACATCATTCGTACGCTAAATATACTACGTATACTCGTCTCGTATAAATTCAGCTCTGATTACTTCATCCGAAATCACTTTTGTTGGCGCTTTAATTAGATGGATCTTTGAGTAAATGCCACACAACGGTAAACTGGTTTAAAGTCTGAATATACAAACACACACAAACAAAATAATATCATAATAAACAAATCTTTGAAATGGTATTTTTGTTGAATTAACCAAATATGTGCAGAAGACGCGTAGGACGCTGCAGACATGACGCAGATCGGAAATTGCACAAACCGTAGAACCGAGAAATGTAGATTGACCGAATCGTAAAACTCATTCCGATATTAGTTAGTTAGCCATAAGCTGCTATCCCATCCCGAAACGAAACCTGTTCAATTAGTTTAGTGAATGCTTTAGAATTTAGTGTATACATATAAATTCTCATATTAGGCATAATTAAGAACAAGTTTCTGTTCTATTCTATTCATATTTCTGTGTGTGACTTATTCTCCTGATAAAAAACCACAAATTCCAGCCTCGCTTAATGCAAATAATTTCTTAAACTCTGTTTATCAATCCCCCATAGCATAGTAGACACACCATCTAATGCTATACATTAATCTTCTGGCAAGGGGAGGGAGATAAAGACGGCGAGCTGTGAACATCAATTAGCTAGCTGCTGGCAACGGAAGCCAAGTAAAAATACTCACTGGATGTTTGGCAACCTTTTTGCAATTTATAAAAAAACATTACTATAACAAGAGAAAATAAACACAAACAGCAAAGCAAATAAAAAGTTAAAGTTCATTAAAAATACAACAAAAAATTATATCAAGCTGTGTATAAATCAGCATAAAGAGCACATAAATTTGGTAATAATTTGAAACGAATCTGTGCAACAAAATATATAATTTTTACTCGGCAACAAATAAGAATGCTGGCTGGTTTTATTTATACAACTTTTATCTTTTATGACTAGGTTACACACAGTTAATAAAGTCTTAAACTCCGCTCCCTTGGGGCTAAGCTCTACCCCCAATTTAAAATAGATTTAGCCAGACAATACAGCCTGAAAGTATGCATAATATAAGTCTGCATAATGTAGACTGTAGAATGTAGAAATGCAAAATTTGTTGGCGTCCCGGTCAATAATCTGTATCAAAATCCGGTTAGTTTGAGACAAAACAACAACTTTACTTTACAAATAAATACCTTAATACAATAAATACTTTAATACAATACTTAATAATCATGAAAACATTTTATTCTGAAATTTCTGAGAGTTAAATTTGTCTGATCTTGTTTTTAGGGGGAACCTTGGACAATCAATTACTTGAACCTTTTGGATACAAGTTGTCTCGAATAATGAGAGCTTTGGAGAGGGCCTCAGCCCCAGCCACAACCCGTCTAACCGTTTTATGATCGTACCTTATGGGTATTAAATGTAAATCCAATAAATCTCATCATTTCGTAATTGTTTAAATGGAAGAGTATATTTGGGTATGGAAACTGAGCTAATCGCCTACAGCCCCAACTGAATGTAGACTGTATCTCTCATATCTGTAAGCATTAGACAGAGTATCTCTTTGGCTTTACTTTTATCCACACGAATTTCCCGCTGCTTTTTATTGTGTACATTTAAAAAGTGAATGAATACTATGTCTGGAAATAAGATTTAATGGATTTTATTGCCTTGTTTCGCTGCTCCCAGCTCACATTGATTCCCCCTCAAAAAATTGTTTTATTGCAGATCTCTGAAGCCAACCATCTCCAAACCTGCTTGTTATACCATAAATGAGTCGCAGTGGCATCTTCCAGTTCGCTTACAATTCCCCCACCCCATACATATGCAAATCTATATCGAAATATACTAAGTATTTATTTGGGCCGTCTTATAAATACCAAATATCAAGCACGCAAACAAAACAGTTCAATTGTTCGACTTCGTCTGGATCAACATGGTGGTGGGTATTTCTGGAGTCTGGACTTTTTCTGCCGACAGAAATGATCGGAATTTCTCTTTTTCCGCTAGCGCGTTCTATTTTTGGCTTTTACTGTGGCCTCGAGCCTGCTGCTCCTGGGCCTCGCTGATGCAACTTCGCTATCGAGGACTTACCTGCCGCCACAAGTGCAAGTGCAACAGATCGTTTCCCAGCCGCAGGTGCAGCTGGTGCAGTTGCAGCAGCGTCCTGTGCTTCAATCTGTGGTGCAACGTCCTATAATTCAGTCTGTGGTGCAGCAACGTCCTGTTATACAATCAGTGGTGCAGCAGCGTCCTGTTATTCAGACTGTGGTGCAGCAACGTCCTGTTATACAATCAGTGGTACAGCAGCGTCCTGTTATTCAGACTTTGGTGCAGCAACGTCCTGTGATTGAGTCTGTGCTGGTGCCACAGCGCACTTATCTACCTCCTGCGCCGAGAGTGGTATCGGTTTACAGGCCTGCTCCTCAAGTGATCTCTATACCAAGGGTCCAGCAGCAGATCATCTCCCGTCCCCAGGTGTTGGTGCAGCGTCCAGTGCTATTGCCGCAGCGTACTTATCTGCCACCCGCCCCAAGGTTGGTGTCGATTGAACGTCCAGCTCCCCAGCAGCTGATTTCAATTGCTGCGCCCAGGCGCACCTATCTGCCACCCCAGGGAGCTGCATCATCCTTGAGCGAGCAGTACGAAGAGCCCGAAGAAATCTAATGAAAAAATTCCGTCAAACCAACTCGACGCGACGACTGGTTTGTGGTTTAACCCACACACACCGCAAACTATATTCTAATGCTAATTCCCGATTGGAACCGAACAGAACAGAGAAATGCAAAAATACATTTGATATGTTTATTTTGCATATAATGACGCGATCCACAACGGATTTGCATATTCCAGAATTTTGGTATTAGACAATAAAGAAAGCGCTGAAAAAACAACGAGTATCACATTTTATTTAAGACCAGTCCTAATTGGGTGTCCCAAATCTCACAAACTTTGCATGATTATGTTAAGAAGGGCCACAGAAGACGTTAACCTTTGCGGAGGGAGACGACGACTCTGCCATGAAGGGGGAAATGCTTTGAACAGTCTGCTGTTTGCTCTTGAGCCTTCCGCTATGATCTATCCATCAGCCAGCTAATCAATCAACGTATCAATTGGCACATTAAGTCATTAACTTTGGCATTAAATTTTGTGCCAACAAGCAGCTGAAGTTAATGGTTAAAGCTAATCTTTTGATGGCTTATGACCTGATAACCATCCAAATGTTTTTTGGCCTGGATTGGCGTGTTTCGACAACTCCCTGAATAGAGCCCCAGCTACTGTTTGGGCCACTGGCTGCCATTTAATGTATCGCCAGCTCAGTGTATAGTTGCAAACAGTGTGGGTGCCTAATCGAGTTAAATTTACATTTACTCAAACATAAAGCAAAAGCAAAAATATCAGGTTTGTGATTATTTGGATTTTGGGCAAAAAAAAAGAATGCTGTGCTATGGGTATCCTTATGAATATTTATAATCGCATAGCATAGCATAGAGTCGGTTCGTTCTCAGCCGATTGACAGGCAAAAAATTAGAGTTTTTTAAGCCACACACTCCGTACCGTACACCCGAGATCGAGTCTGTGTGGAGTGGGGTGGATAGTAGAGACGAGCGAGACATCTGGTGCCGCGGTTGAAGGTATTTGGCTAATTAAACAAATTTTTGTGTCTACAAAATGCGGAGAAAAATGTTTTGGGGGGTTCTATTGATTTATGATATGGCAGCACTTCCGTTTAAAATCCGCAGATTCGGCGACTCGTATAAAAGTACAGGAGCCACAGCGTAGAGATATTATTCGATTCGTTGCCCCATCAGCACACAGATCCTCATCGAAATGGTAAGGATTTAGCTGCTCTGTTCCACCACAATCTTTGACCTGCGGATTACCGTTCTAATTCCCACAGAAATTCCTCGTCCTGGCTCTGGCTTTGGTTGGCTGCGTGGCCGCCGATGCAGGCTACAACTATGCCGCACCCGCACCTGCTCCTGTGAGGTCGTATGCGGCCCCTCAGGTCCAGCAACATTTTGCCGCCTCCGCTCCGGCTCCAGTGTTCCAGGCTGCTGCTGCATCTGCTCCAGCCCCATCTAGAAGCTACGTGCCTCCTGCACCTGCCGCCTCCGCACCAGTCCAGACCATCGCCCCGGCTCCTGGTCCAGTTCCAGTTGCCGCTCCTGCACCCGCTCCTGTCTTCCAGCCTGCTGCCTCTGCGCCAGCTCCAGCCCGCAGCTATGTGCCGCCAGCAGCAATTGCTGCCCCCGTTCCAGTGCACCACGCTGCTGCCTCCGCTCCCGTCCAGTCATTCGCTGCCCCTGCCCCTGCGCCCGCTCCCGTGCAGTCCTTTGCCCCTGCCCCATCCTTCCAGGCTCCTGAGCCAGCACCAGCCTTCGAGGCCGCCGCCTCTGCCCCAGCTCCAGCTCGCTCCGGCTACGACTACAGCCAGCCCCAGTCCAGCCAGGGCTACAGATACAGGACCGTGCGTCGTCGCGTCCTGAGGCACCGTGCTTAAGATGGACCCAACCCCCCCCCCCACACCTCCCAGAAAAAATAAACGATTATAGTACATAAATTCTAAAGAACTTTTACTTTCTGTGGGGGTAATGATTTACTTTTTACACACAATCTATTTCATTCTATGGCTCAGCGCTACAAGCTTAAAATTATATTTTTCATTTGCATTCATTTATAATATCATTAATTGTATAATCAAATGAATTGGTGAGAATACAGTAAAAATAATAATGATGATATTAGTAAATAAAATCACGAATAAATTATTATATTTTAAGTTTTTTTGTATATCCGTATATTAAATTTATTATTATAGTTTTTTTTTAATCATTTAAATCTAATTTAATGTTTAATGTTGTCTATTTTTATACCCGTACTCAAAAAAGAGTTAAGGGGTATTTTGTATTTGTGGTAAAAGTGGATGTGAGCAACGCAGAGAAGGAAACGTTTCCGACCCCATAAAGTATATATATTCTTGATCAGCATCAATAGCCGAGTCGATATAGCCATGTCCGTCTGTCCGTCTCGTCTTCCGCCTCTACAAAGGACGAAAATCTGTGGCAGGCACATTTTTAAAGATACGATAAAACTAAAAACGCAGTATCGTAGAGAATGCCCATATCTACAAAATTGCCGAATCTGAATTAGATCGGATCATAATTTTAGCCAGAATGAAGAAATTCATTTTCAGTTGATTCCCCGTCTCCCCCTGCATGAAACACGCTATTGATTCTCTTTCTCGCTCGCACACTCTGCCGCGTTCTGTGCGCGAGCGACCCCTAGCGGAGGAGATGTAGAATCTAAATGGAACATGTACAATATTCATGTTAGATGTATAATATACATTGTAGATGTAGATATAAGATGTAGCAAACAAATGTAAAATGTAAAATATTTTTTTTTTCTAAAAAATTTAAAAAATGCTCAAAAATGTATATACTGACTGTGTACGGGTATAAGTGGAGTCGCGTCCCCAGAAGCGACTCGCACGTTCCATCTCGTTAATTATTATATTTTCGAAACTTTAAGCATATTTTTGTTTGGACAAAGCCTTCGCAAAATGGCAGATAAAGTTATCGAAGAATCTCTCTGGCTTGAGCATAGGATCAAAAACCCCACTTATCACTGAGGAATGGGAGGCGTGTGTGGAGCGCACTTAGATCGATAAATTCTAGCGCTTTGATCTTTGACAAATTTACGGCGTACTTTCGCTGTGCCTTGCTGGAATCTTCATTTGAATTTAAATTGCTAGCATTCAAGTCATTCAATGAGAACAAATGGGTCACATAAAGCATCAAATGAATTTCTCACGCTCCCGCCAACAGGTTTCTCACTTTCAGTTTCGGTTTCGTTGGGTTTTCGGGGGCTCGAATGCATTTGAAATGGATCCCCAAACATTGTATAAATGTTGCAACTAGAGCGGATAAGCTTCAATGGCATTTGTACAATGGTGAGAGATCAATTGAGAACGGATCAACGACTAAGTCTCGGCTAATCCTTTCGGTTACTTTTATTCCACAGAAACTCGTCTGTGTCCTGCTGCTGTGCGTCCTGGCGATTGCCTGCCTTCCAGATGTTTCCCCTGCGAAACACCACAAGCATCAGCGGCACCACGATGACGACGAGCATCATTATCTGCCACCGTCAGAGGAAAAGGAGGAACTGGAGCAGCCCTTCTACAAGAAGGAGAAGCACACCAGTGAGCGCGTCGTATACCACAAGGAGGAGGAACATGACGAGGAACCCAAGAAAGAGCGCGTGGATCACTACCATCACTACGACAAGAAGCCGCAGGTGAAGACCGAACACATCCACTACAAGCACGACAAGCCGCATGTCCGCACGGATCACAGCGGGGATCTGTTCACTCCGGCGGCCACTCAAGTCGTCTATAGGCGTCGCCGTCCCCACCGCGTCACCTATGCCAGTGCCCCCAACTCCGTGTTTCACACGCACACCCAGATCAACGTCCAATCGCAGGACTCGGAGCTCAATTCACTCATCCGACCAGATCCGCCGGGAGGACAGCAACTGCCAGCCGGAGCACAAGCGTCCACGGGAGCTCAGGCTCCCACAGGTGCTGGTTTCCTGCCCAACTGCCAGTTTACAGGAATTCCTGGCAATAATCCACCGGGCTGTGGTCCGTCGGATCCACTTGGAGCTCAGCTACCCGCCAGTGCCTTGGCTCCGGGTGCTGGACTGCCTGCCAATCCAGGAGCACTTCCCATTCCAGCCGGTGGACAGTTGGCTGTGCAGGGCAATGGCCAACGCCCGCAGAAACCCTCTCGTCCAGGCGGCGGCTATGGCAGGAACAACTTCTTTTTCGATCCCTCGCTGGCTGCTCAGCTGGGCGCTGCAGGGTTCCCAGCTGTTGGCGGTGCTCAATTGGCTGCTGGTCAAGGAGCCCCCAACCAGAATCAGTTTGATCCCTCATTCGGCGCTCAGTTAGGCGCCTCGGGTCAAGCTGCTGGAGCTGCTGGCGGTCCCTTCGATCCATCATTTGGCGCTGCCGCTCAACGACCGGCGGGAGCACAGGCACCCATCGCTGCCTATGCACCGTTCCAGAATCAGTTTGATCCCAATGCACAGCTCGGAGGTCAGCTGAACGCTGCCCAACAGCCAAATCAATTCGGAAACCCTGCTTTGGGCGCTCAACTTGGAGCTGGTCAGGCGCCGCTTCAGAATCAATTTGATCCAACTTTGGGCGCTCAACTGGGAACTGGTCAGAGACCGAATGCTCCGCTTGGGGCTCAGCTTGGTGCTGCTCAGGCACCGCTTCAGAATCAATTCGATCCAGCTTTAGGTGCCCAACTGGCAGCGGGTCAAGTGGTGCCACGTTTGCGCTCTGGACGTCCGCGCAATCGTTCCAACTACCAAGGTCTAAACGTGCTCAATGGCAATGTCTTTGGGCAGCCGCATCTGCAGGGACCGACGAATGCTTTGGGCAACCAACAGGACACCAACATCATCGATGGCAACTTCTACAGCGATCCCAGCGTGCACCATGGCCATGGCCATCATCGTGCCCTAGTCTCCGTCAATGGCAATCAACGGTCTGTGCTCGTAGCGGACGATGATGATTATGTGGATGACGACACCGATCCCACTTTCCCACTGGGTTTTGCCGCAAGCAATCCACAGGCTTCCTATGTGGTTGCCCCCAAAAAAGGCAGCAAGTCCAGCTTCAACAGGCGCAGCAGCACAAAGGATAATGACTTTGACTTGGGCGCAGCTGCCTCGGAGTACGATACGGACTACCGCGAGGATGGCTATCACTACAAGAAGCCCAAACACTCGTTTGAGTTTTGAATTTTGCATACAAAATCAATATTATAATTACACAAAAATAAATTATACTTAGCAGCATTTGCCACAAGGGGCAGTCCAACAATATGATGTGGCATACTCTTGGGCTCTCCATCGCTCGCTCGAAACTTCCTTTTCCAGTTGAGGCTTTGCTTTAAAGCTTTATCATTTGCATTTAGCTTTTGATGTGTGCTTTACACAGGTTAACATGAACTTTTTTTCCAAGTTTATTGGAGTAAAATATTTTCTTCTTCTTTTGGAGGCACATTTTTAACTTACTTTCGATTTCCCTCTGACTAACTAGAACTTTGAAAATTGATTCTCAACATAACCTTAACCCTAAGAGTTCTGTGGCGAATTCTGTCATAAAAATTAATGGTACAAAAAAATACACGTGGCAGACCAGTTTGGGCATGAAGCATAGACAATGACTTTACTGCTGCTTTTATTTTAAATGGAAAAATAACATTAAGATCCATAAGGAAAGGAAACTAGTTCAGCGCTTCAATAGAAACCCATACTAGTGCACTTCAGATACTCAGAAAAAAAAAAGATAAAAGATTCATATAGCGTGAGGGAGGGGGGGATGGTGGGAGGGAGGGATGGAGAGGAAATCACACACATGGGCAAAATGAATTGTCGACATAAATTTATGCGATAATTTAGATTCGATTCTCATGCAAATCCAATAAACTAAAATCGAAAATACAAATAAAATAAAATCTATTGTTTCATTGGAAGTGACGAGGCATGGATGCATAGACATATACATAGGAAAAGAAGAAGAAACTGAAACTGAAACTCAACCGACAAACAAACAGTTTCAATGGTACAGCAACAGCCCTCTTTGAGCATGTATTGACCTGGCTAAGAGACCACCTTTTGAGTATGTAAGACAAGACTTGGATAAACAAACGATTTGGCTATTTTTTTTTTGTATGAATACACACGTATTTTTGGCAACGAGGGCGGGCCCGAAACTGAATGGTTATATTCGCCAATCAATGTCAATATTTGACTGCAATCTCCTAAATCAAATGTAGGCGATTGTCCATTATCTGGTTAGCCTTAGGTCACAGCGTATAGATGTGACCGCCAGTTGGAGGCTTTTGACCCAATACCCTGCAGCTGCAGCAGCAGCAGCAGCAGAAGCGCGGCTAATAGAAAGCTCTTAGTTTTCGGACCATAAATCAGCGCAGTTCGCCTCCCCCCTTAGAAATTAACTCACTTAAGTGAGTCCACAAAAAAAGGGGTACAAGTAGCATTAAATTAAAATAATTAATGGCAAACTTTCAGAGATCACACAAAACTCTCCAGAGCAAGAACACATAGAGCGTGGTCAGCGGTGGAGAGCGTGGTGGGGCTTTGCATAAAATTAACAAAAAGGAGGGAACTGCGGAGAGAGACAAACAAAAAAAAAAAACCTGACCCAGCTACGAGTCGCGGCTCGTGGCTCTGCGGCGGCTGATTACAGAGTTATAAATTTTGGTAACAATCTGTGCGATTTTTTGCCCGCTTATATTGTAGCTATGCAGAGCGAGTGAGCGTAGAGATGGGAAGATGTGGAGCTGTGGAGTTCAATGATCCGCCCGCTTCTTTTGGTACGATTTTGCCATTGGCTTTAATGTTTCTCCAGCTGCGAATTACAGCATGATATTTACGTTCAATGATTGTAAAGAAATTGGGTGGGGGGAATAGGATCTGTTGCTCTGATCTAATCCGATCCCATGTATATGGGATCGCCTTGCGTCATACATATATTAAACATAGCCAGAATGAGGGCCCCCAAAAAGATGATTAATTCTCAGACATAATTAATTTTAGACAGCCAACAACTAAAAATATAATTTCAAGCCTCAATCGCACTTCAATTTCCCATCAACCATACAGCACACCACTCAAAAAACCGCCGGCCGCTGGCCACAAAAGAATCAGAATCGAAATTGGATTTACATTGCCAAGCGATTGGAAAGGAACTTGCTGCCACGCGTATACATTATTTATGGTGGGCTCCCAAAGCCGTGCGTTAAAAGTGTGCGCAAGTTTTTTTTTCTTCTTTCAATCTTCCACTCTTCTAAGATTTTATTTGGTATTTTTTTTTTTGAAGATTTTTGGTTTTTGTTTTGTCTTCTTTGCGGCGGTGGAGATGCGCTGCATGGCGATGGGGGGCACTTTCTAGTCGCCGACTGAGAACTGGTTTCCCGAATGATTTATCATACATTTAAGTTTTTGGTGGACAAAAAAAAGAGCATCTAAAACAGCTAAAACAAAAGCTGAATTTATCATGAAAGACTAAAACGTGTACTTGGCAAGTGTAGATTATGTGCACAACATAACGAAAAGTGTATGCTCTTTCCGCTTAAAATGCTCTTCATGAGCCCTCTCTTCTTTCAGATGAAATGCTAAGGATAGGAACCCAAGTCTACCATTAAACCAATTATAATTTCATTCTCTTTACGGAATAATAAAGGCATAAATGAACTTGCGCGTGTAAGTGTGTGGGGGCCACAAACAAAGGAAAGGCTACTTCTTGCCACGAGAAAGAAGTTTACCGTCTCTTAAGCTCATAGACAGCGCAAAAATCAAATGGTTTTAAATATTAATTAGAATAGGATTTGCATAAATTAAGGCCACAGCGAAATGGTTTTTGTTAGACAGAGCGACGCGGCCACTGGGATTATGCAAAAAAAAAAAACCAACAACTCAACACACTTAAGTCTCAAATAAAAAGGGGGATCGCTCCATTATCCGATCGGATAGTACAATCACAGATCTCCTTTCGCTGTTCCGCTCGCCTAGTTTCTATTTGTGGGATCTACGCTAATTTTCGGGTGCCCACGTTCACTTATTAAACAGAGTTTGACAATATTTATATTGTGTCTGACCATTATGGGACCTTTTTTTTTGTTCGGGCTGCTGCTGCTGCTGTCATTCTATGGGGGACTGGGGGCTGTGGCTGCCATTCACTAATTTGCATATTTTTGCGATTTCAGCATAAACATCAATTCCGAAATGGCACTTTTAAGTGTTCAGACCGGGTCGGGTCTGGTCTGGCTTCCCGGGCAGCCGATGCTGATGCCGATGTCGATTCCGAGATGCTGCCTTGCCTGCTGCTGATGGATAATAATAATGTTGATGACAATAATGCGTTGGTCTGATCGCCTGATCGTGATCTATTGACTGCCAGCAGCAGCATGTGCGTGTAGAACGCTTATAGACTGTAGAACTGGACCAGAGTAGACCACAATAGAATATGCCAGAATAGAGCAGTCTTTTAGATTTGGCGGGAGATTGAAATGTAAATTAGCAAAGCCATAAATTGTGCTCGTTAATAGTAGTTTGTGAGTCTAGTTTTAGTGCTGCACATAACACACAGGAAATGAAATGATTTACTTCATTGTTTCAGCAGATTCTCAGCCAAAACTAGAAATGTAAGACTCTTAATCTTAATGCATTTGGAAATAGAATAGGATAAATTATACAATTGTTATTTGATACTTCGGTTTGCCGAACTCTTTTTTTATGGCTCAACTTAATTAGCAGAAACTGGTGCCATAAACGGATCCACATATAGAGATCTTCTCTATGGTTCAACTTTCGTCTAGAGGCGCCGAACTGTGGCGCGTGACAACCATCCATCACCATCACCAATCCTCCTCATCTCTGACTCCCAGTGGGCCACCATTTCGGGCTACCGCCGAGATTGTCGAGTGTTTCCATCGACCTCGACTTTCCAAACTGTACATAGACCCATCCATCTATAATAATAAAAAACATTCATGCTTAATTTATGCTGTATATTTCGTAGAATCAATAAGCATCTGTTAGTCATCTGTTTATCCTTCAATCATACGGAACCGATTAGTTCTTAACACCTCTAACGAGCCTTGCTTCTCATGGCTGTGTGATTTTGGCTATCGATCCGTTGCATAGATACTTCAACATTGCCAAATCTTTCTCCTACTTGGAAGGGGATCATTAATCATGGGCTTTGGCTACTGCTGCATAAGACAATTGCTACTCGTATGCTTGCTTTATTTTTTAACAAGTGGATCGGTGGTATAAGTAGCGATAATTGATAGATTGTTGGGAGGTGTTCATTGGATTTAGTGAAGACATTTTATGTATTTCTTGGGAAGAATGAACAGTTTGGGACCCAACAAGCTTCGGTTCAAACGAGTCGATGTAACTAAGGGATATCAAATACGAGTGCCAGGATATTGCATCAGGACTGGATAAAATTTGAATTATGGGAGCGAGGGCCGCCTCTGACAGCAGCTCCGTTTTCTTGGCTAGCTAAGTCGGTCCCCAGAATCGAACTGTGGTAACAACATACACATATGTAATGGTAATTCTATATTCTTTGATGTAACTTAGTTGTTGTCTTCTTATTTCGATGAGGGATACGCAACAGATTTTTCACTCTTTGTTTGTTTTTGATTCTTGAAAATAGTCACAATAGGCGAAAATTTGATATCCGGCATTCAGTTTACAAAAAGTTGCCTAATTCTTAGGCAAACAGCACAATTATATCATCTTTTTCCATAGACTGAATGGCTTGCTTTGGCAGTTCCTATTTGTTGATTAATGAACAGCGACAACGACATGACGACAAACAATGAGCAGATGCTGCTCGGCGGCCTGTCTTTGGATACTATGGAAGTGAGCGAATTTGATTGAAACGAATAACTCTCATCATTTGAATCTAAATCGAGCGCAATTTTTGGCGGCGTCTTGAATGGAACAAAGCCAGCGCTACTAACAACAGCAAGCAAGCTGGCACAAATAGGTGTAAACAACACGAGAGAGCAAAGTTGTTTTGAACACACGTTAACTCGAATGTGTGTGTGTTTGTGTGTGTGAGCGCTCGACTTGTCCAAAACGTTGATGTCCATCAAAATCTTTTGCATATACTTAAATAAAATAATTAAGAGAGTCCGTGCGAGCGCTTTTGTCCATTAAACATTTTATTCCATTTTGCAGCTTCTCTCGCTTCGGCTTTTTTGTGCAAGTGTAAGCGTCGCTGTTACCGTCGCAGCCACTGATCGTGTTAGCCGAGCGCTTAGAACCTCTGCAGAGCCAAAAGCCGTGCGAATTTACAGCGCGCTGCCGAAGATGGGCCGAACGTGGGCTGCGACGTCAGCTTTGCCGTCAGCGTCGACACAAAATCTGCGAGCTCTGTAATGTGCGGCGGTGGCGAAGAGCGGAGAATTTGTATAAATACCAAAAGGTTCTGCGTATTCATCATTAGAGTTTCGGTTTTACTGGTGTGAACAAGCAGCTCAACGGACAAGATGGTACGCAGTGTAAGCCTTAGGGCAAATCAGTCTATGGACATACCATATACTCGTAGATTTCGTTACCCTCCAAAAACATTTGGAGACGAGAAAACGCAAAGACTTTAAAGGACTATTCTCAAACGTGGTTTCCTGTGTGTTTTACAGAAATTCTTCCTGATCGCTTTTGCCGTGATCGCAGCCGTGGCCGCTGATGTCAGCCACCTGCCCTCCAACGAGTACTTGCCCCCTGTGGTGCAGGAGTCGCAGATCATCGCTGCCCCCAGCAACGATTATCTTCCCCCCATCCAGGCCGAGGCAGCCCCTGCCCATGAGCTTGCCGATGATGGCTACCGTTACAAGACCCACAAGCGTGTGGTCCTCCGCCGTCACCGTCGTGATGTGAGCCACCTGCCCTCCAACGAGTACCTGCCCCCAGTTGCCGCTCCTTCCAACGAGTACCTGCCCCCCGTACAGGTGGCCGCTCCTGCTCCCATCCCAGTCCAGATCGCTGCCCCCATCCAGGTTGCCGCTCCTGCTCCAGTTGAGATTGAGGCTGCCCCAGCCCATGAGCTCGCTGATGATGGTTACCGCTACAAGACCAATCGTCGCGTTGTCTACCGTCGCCACCGTCGTGATGTCAACGAGCTGTCCAACGAGTACCTGCCCCCCGTCCAGGAGGCCGTCGCTCCTTCCAACGAGTACTTGGCCCCTGCTGTCGATACCGTCTTGGCTGATGATGGCTACCGTTACAAGACCAACAAGCGTGTGGTGATCCGTCGTCATCGTCGTGATGTCAACGAGCTCTCCAACGAGTACCTGCCCCCCGTCCAGGAGGCCGTCGCTCCTTCCAACGAGTACTTGGCCCCTGCTGTCGATACCGTCTTGGCTGATGATGGCTACCGTTACAAGACCAACAAGCGTGTGGTGATCCGTCGTCATCGTCGTGATGTCAACGAGCTCTCCAACGAGTACCTGCCCCCGTCCAGGAGGCCGTCGCTCCTTCCAACGAGTACTTGGCCCCTGCTGTCGATACCGTCTTGGCTGATGATGGCTACCGTTACAAGACCAACAAGCGTGTGGTGATCCGTCGTCATCGTCGTGATGTCAACGAGCTGTCCAACGAGTACCTGCCCCCTGTCCAGGAGGCCGTCGCTCCTTCCAACGAGTACTTGGCTCCTGCTGTCGATACCGTCTTGGCTGATGATGGCTACCGTTACAAGACCAACAAGCGTGTTGTGATCCGTCGTCATCGTCGTGATGTCAACGAGCTGTCCAACGAGTACCTGCCCCCTGTCCAGGAGGCCGTCGCTCCTTCCAACGAGTACTTGGCTCCTGCTGTCGATACCGTCTTGGCTGATGATGGCTACCGTTACAAGACCAACAAGCGTGTTGTGATCCGTCGTCATCGTCGTGATGTCAACGAGCTGTCCAACGAGTACCTGCCCCCTGTCCAGGAGGCCGTCGCTCCTTCCAACGAGTACTTGGCTCCAGCTGTCGATACCGTCTTGGCTGATGATGGTTACCGTTACAAGACCAACAAGCGTGTGGTGATCCGTCGTCATCGTCGTGATGTCAACGAGCTCTCCAACGAGTACCTGCCCCCCGTCCAGGAGGCCATCGCTCCTTCCAACGAGTACTTGGCTCCCGTTGCCAACACCGTTGAGGTCGCTCCCGCTCACATCTTGGCCGATGATGGCTACCGTTACAAGACCCACAAGCGTGTTGTGATCCGTCGTCATTAAACCATGCGAGATCTGTTCCACCAAGTGATTGATTTGTACTCATTTTGGAGTGCAAACTATATTATAAGAATAACTTTCCTTTTCATTGAAGAAATATAATAATACGAAAACGAATACATACATTTTTCTTGTCTGTTAATTTGGGCTTTCAAAATGTTTGAGAACTTATCAAAATATTCTAATTTTTGGTTTAAAATTAGGGCGTTCTTTGATAAAATAAAATATCTTGTTTTCATGTGTTATTGCAGGGCAGCTCGTTGTAACCACTCGCTGTTACGACTCGCAGTGAGCGCTGTCAGAGCAGTGGAAGATGATACTCCAGGCAGGATTATCTTATTGATTTCAATTAAATTGACTTCTGATTATTTCGAACACGAGTTCGAACACCACACCAGTTGTGAAACTATACTCTTACGAGTATAGAAAGCAAACAATTGTGAAACGAAAAGACATTTAGACCGGTTGTGGGAGGGTATATTCGTTTTATAAAGCGGCTTAATGGTAATCAACTCCACGGTATTGCAACTGTTTCGATTTGAAGCGCTATTACATTGTACTTAAATTGAGTTCAAATATGTCTGTGATCAAGTTTGATTTCATCTGTTTTAATGTCTAATTAAGTATTGCAAGAGTGTATAGGCATTGGTGCTAGGCCCCAGACTTCATTCAAGCCATCTTCTTAGACAGTCAGAGCAGAGCTTTGTTTCTCTTTCGACATTGAGATCAGATCGTGATTTATTTCCGTACGTACGAGTATGCTGATCTTTTTTGGCAATACGTTGAGTATCTGAAAACGGAACGAGTGTTTTTATTTTTTGTTTCGGCCTCTTCTCTGCCATATCCGACTACTCATCATCATGTTTTATTGAGGAGTCAGAGAACTCGATTAATAAAAAGTTGATTAAACCGAAATTTAATTATAAGTAATTAAGCAAATGGAGCTCGCGGATCAGGCAGTGGCACGCGTTCGTCTGAGAGAAATTCGCGAGTGCAGTTGGACGGAACAATGGAACCTGATCTTCGATATTGGGGACTCGGGCTATATTGGCTATTAAATTGATGTTTCATTGCCGAACTCTCGCGGGGAAAGAGGGGGACGCCCCAGTGCCCCCCGGCAAAAGCAAAAGCACACGCGGCGGCGTCGACTCGACTAGACCGACACCGAAACCCGTTGCAAACCTGATTGCAAAAACTATAATGGATATGTTTTGGCGGTGTCACTACATACTAAATTCATAAATTAAGAAGCCAAATGCTAATTTGGTATAGCACTGGCCCGGTGATTAGGATCATATAAATAAGCAGCAGAACTTTGGCTAAGGCATCACTTCCATTTGCATTCTACAATCAACTGGACAGCCGACCAAGCCAGCAAAATGGTACGAGTACCGTCCTTCTCAAGAGGATTACCCACCCACACAGCCCACACAGCTTCAGGATAACTAACTCACCGATCTCGATCTCCTTTTATTTGCAGAAACTGTTGTTGATCTGCGCATTTGTCGCCGCCGTGGCCGCTACTACCCCTAGCAACAATTACCTGCCCCCCGCATACGGTGCCGCCTCGGCTCCAGTTGCTTCTTACGCCGCGGAGGCATCGGCTCCAGTTGAGTCCTACTCTGCTCCCGCTCAGTCCTACTCTGCTCCAGCTCAGTCATACTCTGCTCCCGCTCAGTACACCGCTGCCGCATCCGCGCCAGCTGTGTCTTACTCGGCTCCAGCTCAGTCGTACTCTGCTCCCGCTCAGGCTACCTACACCGCTGCCGCATCCGCGCCAGCTGTGTCTTACTCGGCTCCAGCTCAGTCGTACTCTGCTCCAGCTCAGTCATACTCTGCTCCCGCTCAGTACACCGCTGCCGCATCCGCGCCAGCTGTGTCTTACTCGGCTCCAGCTCAGTCGTACTCTGCTCCCGCTCAGGCCACCTACACCGCTGCTGCATCCGCTCCAGCTGCCTCCTACTCTGCCCCCGCTGAGTACGAGACCGCTGCTTCCGAGCCCGCTCACACCTTCTCGGCTACCGATGGATACCGCTACAAGACCCAGCGTCGTCGCGTCATCCGCCGCCACCGTCGTGATGTGAGCCATCTGCCATCCAACGATTACCTGCCCCCCTTCCAGGGAGCCGCATCCGCACCAACCTCTGAGTACCTGCCCCCAGCAGCCTCGGCCCCAGCTCCAGTCTACCAGGCCGCTCCTGCCCCATCCTACACTGCCGCTGCTTCGGCTCCAGCTGTGTCCTACTCTGCCCCTGCTGCATCCTACTCTGCCCCTGCTGCATCCTACTCGGCCCCAGCTGCCTCCTACTCCGCTCCTGCTGAGTACGAGACCGCTGCCTCTGAGCCTGCACACAGCTTCTCGGCCAACGATGGATACCGCTACAAGACCCAGCGTCGTCGCGTCGTCCTCCGTCGCCATCGTCGTGATGTGAGCCATCTGCCATCCAACGACTACCTGCCCCCAGCAGCCTCTGCCCCAGCTCCAGTCTACCAGGCCGCTCCTGCTGCATCCTACTCCGCCCCAGCTGCCTCCTACTCTGCCCCAGCAGAGGCCACCTACACCGCTGCCGCATCCGCCCCAGCTGTGTCATACTCGGCTCCAGCTCAGTCATACTCTGCGCCCGCTCAGGCCACCTACACCGCTGCTGCATCCGCCCCAGCTGTGTCCTACTCTGCCCCAGCTCAGTCATACTCTGCTCCCGCTCAGTCATACTCTGCGCCCGCTCAGGCCACCTACACCGCTGCTGCCTCCGCCCCAGCTGTGTCCTACTCTGCCCCCGCTGCCTCCTACTCAGCCCCCGCTGCCTCCTACTCTGCCCCCGCTGAGTACGAGACCGCTGCCTCTGAGCCAGCCCACAGCTTCTCGGCCACCGATGGATACCGCTACAAGACCCAGCGTCGTCGCGTCATCCGCCGCCGCAGATATTGAACGGTTTAGCAGTTGAGGCTCCCCCAACAGACCCAGCCAAATAGAATTTTGGTTTTCGGGTTCTTCAGTCACTTGTACCGATATTGTTAGGGAACGAAATTGATAAAATCTGAAATAAAACTCCTGAAAAATATATCCAAATGTGGTTCTCTTTTTAATTTCATACATTCAGCCAGTTTTAAACATCACAATAAGCATTATAAAACATTTCAATAGAACGCACAAATGTAGGTTCAAGCTCTAACCATACAGTTTACTGTATGGTTAGTGGTTCAAGCAATCGATTGCCATCGCGCACTTAAACTCCTTCCCAGCACGGACAAATCAAAATCCCTGCAACACTGTTTCATACTCGAAATCAGCCGTGACCAAATACAATCTTCAGCTGATCTTAAATATAATAAAGGACACAAAGAGAGTACACAAATCAGTTCAGCGCTCACACGCCCAAACTGCGACTTTTGTCAGAAAAGCTGAAAGCTGCAAAAACTTAAAGCTACGGCAGTCGATGTCTCGACTACTTTTGCTTGCTTTGCCTTATAAATTATATTTTTCAAAGTGTTTGAGTTGTCTAATGCCCTACACGAGTCGTGCGGCTTGCCACTCTCTCGGTTGGCATGGAACTCGAAGAGCGAAAAGCCACCTGAAATCCATATTAGAAATACTTGTATTGTAAATTAATAGGCTATCGGCATCTTATTACTACATTTTCTTTGAAAAAGATTTGGTACTTTGGAGAGGATCGGCAGTGGTCGTTATCCAAGAGGCCAATGCGGGGAACTCGTCGCCTCGTCTGACGCCACAGATATTGACGCACAGATATCTGATGCCTAAGCAAACCCAGCCAAATCAAGTTTAGATTTTCGGGTTCTTCATAAATTAAAATCTTTAAATATATTCCCAAAGTTGATTACTTTCTAAGCAACGAAAAGCAAAAACCGGAAAATAAAAAGTAAAACCTATTAAAACTAAAGATTTGTATTAATTACGAATTGAGAGAAATATAACAATAGAATTCTGTCGTCAAGCAACAACAAGAAGATTACCGGCAGCAAAAGATAATCAAAGTGGTTCAAGTCGATGAAGCGGAAACTAGTTTAATGAATCACAAGTTTATTTTAATTTATGCAGGTGCATTATTGGCTTAGGAGCTGCTTCAAGTTCAAAGCCGCCTGCGGCAACCTTGTTGGTAACACACGTTTTAATTATTATAAAAAACAAGGCATACTTTTCGGACCTTCGTGAATGCTGAATATCAAATTAAAAGTCAATGGCAACCCTATCGATTCGAATATATTCTTGGTAACATGATAACAGAAAAACAAATAATATTGCATACTTACTTCTGCCGCTCAGCATAACTAGCAGACGGAGAGCTACCAATGCACTATGGGGAAAATTCCAATTTTTCGGGTATTAATTAATAACTTCTAAACTAAGCAAGATTTTTCGATGCGGTTTTTTGATTATTGTTATGTACACCCCTAGAAACATTATGGGAAAAAGTAGGCGTGTTACCGCCCACAAATTAAAAAAAAAACAAATTTTTTTTTTAATAATAGTAAAAATTGGAATATTTTTATTAATATTTATTGACTATAATACTCCTTTATACATAAAAATAAAGTTTTACTTTTGGAAAAACTTCATTTTTATGAAATTCAGGAGCTAAAGGAACAATAGTTAATATTGATAGACATTTTCTTAGTTATTTCTTAATTCATCTTCGAAATCCTCAAAAGTTTGATATGGGCCTTAAATTTCACATAATAAGAGGATTTAAAAATCGATGGGAAGGGAAAGGCCTTTATGCTTGCTGCTTGAATCAACAAAGAGACATTGCTCTTGAGTTTTTGATAGAGCTGCTGCTTGTTTTTTTAGCTCCTACCCCTTTAACAAGTAAGCCAACTTTGGATGACCAATTTGTCGATTATTGTTCCTATTTGAGTCGCTTTTGTATAATTTTGTTGTGCTCATTAACCAATTTTAATGATTTTTTCAAAATATTTTTTGTTCCGCATGCATTTTTTCCATTTGGCATTCAAGTTTCGGCACACAATTTGACTTTTACTCTTTAAATATAGCACATGTTTTAAAACATGAATGTTTTTATTAAATCTCTTCCTAAAAAAATCCAGAATCGCATTTTTTTGATTGCATTTGCCTTTTTCCTTGCGCCATACATCAAACAGCTGCGCGTTTGAAAACTTGAAGTCCGCTGCAAAAAATTAATTTGCGGAGATAGTGCGCAAAAGTGTGCATTTAGACAAACTGCCTTTAAATCAAAATTATAAGCTCTACGACATACAATTGGACGTACACTTGTCAACGCTAATACTTTTTTTATATGTCTCCACGAACTTGAAATATATTTCCAAGAAATGTGCTTTGAGAACGTTTCCTACTTTTACAAAATATTAATAGAACACGCACAACTACAAAGTATTAGTACAACCATTACAAAGTTAAAACCCGTGTAATTGCTATCCTTTTTAAATTTCACAAAAAGAATGTTTCGCGTGTGAATAGTGGCATTTTGAAAATAGGCTGCAAAAATATTGCAATCTTAAAGCAAGTGCTTTTCTACAGCAACAGCTGACTTTAACAGCTGTTAGACTTAACAGTGCTATGTTATATAAACATTTTTGGTATTGGACTTTATAGTTTGAAGTTTTCTTAATATGTTACCAAAAAAAAACAATCAATTTTAATACTTTGAGAAAATGACTAAATACCCGAAAAATGGGAATTTTCCCCATAGTGCAATGTGAAGATTAGCACTGGCGTTATTATTACGGTATCCATGACTCCCGCTATTGGCAGTGGCCATCAAAACCAAACCCTGGAATACGCGAGATTTAATAACAATTCGATGGATCTGTGGGTTCGTAGAAGAGTATAGAAAAACAGGAAACATACCCTTCCCTTCCCTCTCTTACCTTTTGGAACATAATCTTGTGGAACTACCATTTACTTGCTGTATTTGCTGTTCTTCTCACGCAAAATTAAGAAGCCGACGATATTACGTCAAAAGAAGAAGCGGGACAATTAGACTACGTAACATCGCGAACCAACGATATCGAAAACGCAAACGCACACGCACACGCAAAGGGATTCGAAAAAATGTTGGGTATATTAATATAAGGTGAGGCCCCAACAGGACTGAAGTTCAAGCTGACACACCAACGAGAGAGAGTCAGATCACCAAGATTTGGAATGCCTCACCCTACAATGCAACACTTGAGATTAGAGAGCGTCGGCACGCTAACAACTCGCTCCTTCCTTGTTGCTTTGCTTCCTAGCTGTAACGCGTATTGCTTGATGGAGTGGGAAAGGGACAAAACTAAGAGTCTGTACATTTTGCATTTTTTGCACACACAAACCACACACACATTGACAGAGATCATGTGACCAAACGCAAAAAAAAATAGATGTATAGAATAGTTTTATATTTTGAATATTAAATTAATAACGCACTAGTTACACTTCACTTTCACTTGTTTCCTTATTTTTCTTCGCCGCTCTGCCTTTTGTATGCCATTTTGCCGACGGCCCGCCGCTCTTGATCAGAAGCTTTTCCTTGCAATAAAACACAATATTTGGATAATTTTTTTTTTTAATCACTGCACTACGCCACTATTTGTACTACCACACTGCACCACTACTTTAGCCGTTGGATTTTGTATACTTTTCCCGTTTTTCGCGACCCGAATCGCGGAGCTGAACTAAAAGCGCGCGCTTGGACCGGCTGAAAAAATTAACGTGTGAGAGCGGTGCGAGTTCCATGCTCTTCCTTTTTTCCTTTTCTTCCTAATTGCTCTCTCATTGGAATTTGACATTTGTTTCTCCTATTTTTGTTCTCCCTCTCCAACTCCAAGAGAGCGAAGGTTTGTGCGTTTGATGAGAGACCACTTGACAGTAGTGGAACAGTTTTGTGCGGGAGTGGGGGCTGCATTCACCATTAGTTCAAATATGTCTAATACTAAGAGTCTCTTTTGCATTTTTTTTGCACACACTAACATTGGCAAAGATCATGTAACCAAACGAAATCAAACAGGACAATTGTCGCCCATTTGTGTAGAACTGAATAAACATAAAAATGGTACCAAAATTCCAATACGAGCGCGAGAAAGTCGGTGAACTAAGTGCGGCGGCGAGCAATGTGGCAAATGGCATTTAAAATGCAGATTTGCTGTGTAAAATCTACGCAAATATGTGCAAGAGAAGCACATCAGTGTTTTGTTTTTGTTTTTTTATTTGCAAAATGTGCGTTGTTGTGTATGTGCATGTGTGAAAAATAGACAAAAAAGGCGCGAAGTTTTTTCCTTCTCTCTCTCTCTCTCTCGGTTATTCATGTAAAAAGGCGCTAGCCGCAAGCATGAAGAGAAGGAAGAAGAAGGAATGTGCGTCCTCTCGCAAGTGTATAATAGTGTAAGGTGAGGCATTCAAAATCTCGAAATATGTCCGCGCTCTCACATGTGGCACTTGCTCTTGATCAAAATATGCAAATATCGTGGGTATTGCTCTTTCCAAATCTATTTACGTGTACATATTTATGCGCAAAATGACTTCGGTCGGCCAAATGACGAAATTCGAGCGCGGCAAAATGCATTCAGATAAAAGTGGAGAATCATAAATGAATACTTGTAGGTAAGCTATATTTATTGTTTATTTGTTATTGCTAAAATCTAGCTATGCAGGTGCGTGCCAAAATTTTATCCCAAAGTCCCAATCCCAAAGTTCAAATAAACACGATTAACATTCACATAGGTCGTTTAATTTCGGCAGCGCTGCGTAATCTTTAAAACATAAATTTAATAAACATATTTTAATGACTAAGTTCGATCGTAGAGTTCGCGGGCAGGACCCTGGTATATCATTAAAAATTAGGTACATATTAAATTAAATTATTACAGTTAATTACAAATATTCAATTTCGTACGTTCCTAAGGATCACTATGCGCACACAGAGGCAATCGTGTCATTTGATCAGTGATTTGGGTATTGTGTGGGCTGGGGAGCGACGGATGAGGGATCAGAAATCAAAGGCGATCGCTGGCTTGGGATAGGAGTAACCATCTGTCTTGGGTGCGGGCGGCGGGAAGGGAATGACTGGCGTGGGATATTCGTATCCCTGCTTCGGCTGGGGTGGGGGGAGGTACTTGGGCTGTGGTGGACTGGTGGGCACAACGGGAGGAAGGTATTTCTGTGGAGGATTGGTGGGTGGAGGAAATGGGATGGCTGGCTTGGGATACTCATAACCCTGTTTGGGTTGCGGGGGTGGCAGGTACTTGGGTGGTTGTGGTGCAGGTGTGGTGGTGGTGGTGGTGATGGGTGGCAAGTATATCTGAGGTGGATTCGTGGGAGGAGGGAAGGGAATTGCGGGTTTGGGGTACTCGTAGCCCTGTTTGGGCTGCGGGGGCGGCAGATACTTAGGCTGTGGTGGGAGGGTTGTCTGTACGGGAGGCAAGTACTTGGGCTGTGGGGGCAGGGTTACCCTAACGGGTGGCAAGTACTTCTGTGGGGGATTAGTGGGAGGAGGGAATGGGATGGCTGGCTTGGGATACTCATAGCCCTGTTTGGGCTGAGGAGGTGGCAGGTACTTGGGCTGCGGTGGACTGGTTGGTTGGACAGGTGGCAGGTACTTGGGCTGCGGTGGGTTTGTTGGCCTAATTGGGGGCAAGTACTTCGGTGGTGGGGGTGGAGGTGGAGCTGTGCTCACGGGAGGAGGTAAATATTTCTGTGGTGGATTCGTGGGAGGTGGGAATGGAATGGCGGGCTTGGGATAATCGTATCCCTGTTTCACTTGCGGAGGTGGCAGATATTTAGGCTGCGGCGGGAAAGTGGGTTGAACGGGCGGCAAGTATTTGGGCTGGGGTGGCTGTGTGGTAGCAGGTGGCAAGTATTTCTGCGGTGGTGGGAATGGAACGGCGGGCTTGGGATACTCATAACCCTGTTTCGGCTGAGGAGGTGGCGGAGGAGGAGGTGGGAGGTATTTCGGCTGTGGTGGGTTGGTGGGCTTGACAGGAGGCAAGTACTTAGGTTGCGGTGGTTTGGTTGGGACAACGGGAGGTAGGTATTTCTGCGGGGGATTGGTGGGCGGTGGGAATGGAATGGCTGGCTTAGGATAGTCGTACCCTTGTTTGACCTGTGGTGGTGGATTCGTTGGTGGTGGGAATGGAACGATTGGTTTCGGGTACTCATAGCCTTGTTTCGGTTGAGGTGGGGGCGGCAGGTACTTCGGCTGGGGTGGGAGTGTTGGTTTGATGGCAGGTGGCAAGTATTTCGGCTGTGGAGGCTTCGTAGGCGTCACTGGTGGCAAGTATTTCTGCGGTGGATTCGTCGGAGGTGGGAACGGAATGGCTGGCTTGGGATAATCGTATCCCTGCTTCTGCTGAGGCGGAGGCAGGTACTTGGGCACTGGAGGACTCGCAGTCGTCACAGGAGGCAAGTATTTCTGGGGCGGGAGAGTGGGAGGTGGGAATGGGATGCTGGGTTTGGGATACTCGTAGCCCTGCTTCGGCTGTGGTGGAGGATTGCTGGGTGGTGGTGGTGGGAAGGGAATGGATGGCGTGGGATAAACGTATCCTGCTGTCGTCACTCGGTTCTGCGGCTGCGTCGGAGGTGGGAATGGCACCGCTGGCTTCGGATAGGAGTATCCCTGCACCAGTTTCGGCTCCTGTGGAATGATCTGCTGCACCGGCGGCCTATACTTCGGCTGTTCCGGTTGGAATGGCACCAATGGCTTTGGATACGAATATCCGCTGCTCACTTTGGGTGCTGGCGGGGGGAACGGTATTGCCGGCTTGGGATAGGAGTATCCATCCGTAAAGGAAACCTTCGGTACTGGATAGTCGTATCCTCCGTATTCCTGTGAATTTATGTGTAGATATTTCTCTTGAGTATCTTGTGGATTCGATGCGGCGGCATCCACTTACCTGTGCCAGGGCAGAGGAACTGAGGGCGATTAGAGCCAGGCAGAGTAGTCGATGTTGCTGCAAAGATGGAGAGCGAGTTGGATAACACAAATCAATTGGCTGTCGAATACCTTAATGATCTTAAATCAAATCTTGGACATTTATGTTTATATTTATCTGCGTGGACTGACATTTACGTGGGCCCTGGGCTCTGGGCCGTTTATGGGCAATTTAGCCGTCTTTCAGTGTCGCTGGTAGCGTCGAAAATTTCCGCATATAATTTGGCAAATGGCCGTGTGAGAGACGCCACCAACAGTCAGCTCTTTTGACACCCGATCGGTTTTTGGCAAATCAATTGGCTTGGCTTTGCCTCGAATGCGACTGCGACTTCGACGGCGGCTGCCAATTGGGTCACGCTCTACGAAGGCAAGGCTCTTTACGCACATTATTGATTAGCAAGTTGAAAGCGCTTAAACGCATTTTTCAACGATAATTGTCGACCCCGATGGCGATTTGTTAATTAATTATGAGCAGAGCACAGACCCAACCCGCATGGTGAGATCTCAACTCAACTATTAGCTGGCCCCCAGCCAACACTCCCGCAGCCGATCTGCTCACAGAGTCAAGGTCAACGCATCTGCCACTCGACATTGGCCACTTGGCTAGTTTGTTGTCGTGAAAAGTTCTAAATACGAGGAGTAGTCGCCAAAGTGTTAATGGCCTGCGGATTCGAATGAAATACTGGAGCTGGAGCTTAATGTGAAAGTCACGGCAACCGGTTCGATAAACCCCCAAGAGATGCTAAAATTAAATTAGAAATAGTTTCTGCCATTTGGAACTATGTAAATGTGCGTCTATCAATTTGCTGCGAACTAATTGAGAGACTGAGGAATACAGAGAGACGGAGAGAACCTTTGCAAACGTCAATCTTTGGAACTGGTACCCGGAATTCCATTTTTCTCAAATTGAAACACATAAATCTGGGCGAAATAAAAACTACACAACAGACACACACAAAGAACAACAAAAAGCCGCATTCTTAAGCGGCATTTAAGGTTTTGCGCCGAGTGCGCTTCAAGTCAAAGTCGTTAAAGTCGCGGCCCATTAAAATAAAAGCCAAACTTTAATTGAATAGAAACAATGGCCAGCAGCCAGCAACAACGAAAAGAAGCCAAGAGCCGAGATTAGATGAGAGCCAACAGCGCATCTCTCAATCAGAATGGAAATAGTTTCAAGCCTCCCACGCAATATTCTTCTTACACATTTTGATTCTAGTTTTTTGTGAGTCTCTCCTTTTTTTTTTTTTGATAAATGGTTATGGAAAAATGCCACTCGACAGGCACTCCATTCAACTCATTCACTCAATCTGCTTGTCAGCCTGTCGGGCCTTAATTTTTAGCGGATTTGCCAATCATCTTGAGACTTGCAACACTCCGAGGGGCAAGAATCAGATTTACCCCACCCCAGAACTAGTTCTTGCTAAAACCGAATATAATACACATATATTTGATGGTTGTTTTGCTTTGCTATTTAGTTGACAACTGTGATGTCCATTAAAGTCAGAACCCAATTAAGTTTTGTGCGCGAGTTGCTTTTTTATGGCCTGTGACTCAGGTGTCGGTGTCGCATAACATGAATAATTCTTTCTTAAAGCCAGGGCAGAGGCGTAGCCGAGAGTTGTTGTTAAAATCTAGTATAGAATGTGCCACAAAAGGCAGTGCGGACATCACCACACAAGTCTTAATCCAAATTAAACATGGATTTATACAAAAGAATATTGTTTGTGCGAGTATATCCGTTTTCCTGCTTGACCTTAATTGATAATTTCATAACAAACACCCGTAATTAAAGCGTCGCCCGTCGCCCCATTACAAAAATGTTTAGTGCCCAAAAGTGCCGCGTCATCTCAAGTGGCATAATTCTGTGGGGCATTACCTAACCTGCCGCGTGTAAAGTGGGTGAGGTGGAGGTGCGCTCGCAATTTGGAGCATGCCAGCCAGCAGAGAATCTCTCGAATCTTGTCAAGTCACACACACACAAAGCATTAGGCTGGCTCCAAGGCGGAAAAATTTGGGCGACAAATGGGGCGGGGCGTTAATTGTCACAATTGAGGCGTGTGAAATCCCATAAAAAAAAACACATAATATACACCACACAGATATGAGTATGTGGTCTATGCGGAACGCGACCTTGGCTGAAAATCTGTCTGTCTGTCTGTCCGTGGCTGGCTGACGTTAATTGGAGTTGCCCAACACTGGCTCTGACACTGGCTGTGTGGTTCTTGGCGCGCTTTGAGTCATTCAAGCGACGACTCCGCTTAATGCGCTCGGTTCAGGCCTTAGCCTTAAAGCGGTGGTTGCGCATGCGCACCACCGATCCACCGATTGCCAAATCTCTTGTCCAGAACGAACACGCGCATGCGTGAAGAGCATCGAAGGGTGGCTGATGGGGCGGGGCCAGGGCGCATTTATGAGCGTATCCGGTCACAGCTTTTTGGAGTCGGAATCGCCCTCGAGTGAGTCAGCCAGCGGAATGAGATTTCAAGCTGGAGTTGGAGTTGGAGTCGCAGTCGCAGTCAATGCATTTGCCGTTGCGGCAGGTCTCTCTTGAGATGGCTGCCAGCTGTTTTCTGTTTTGCTTTTTTGCTGTTATTTGTATTTGTACTTGTACCGATTTTCTTCAATTGTAGCGCCATTTATGCAAATTTACCCATGCGACGACTCCTCCACTTGATTTGCTGTTTTTGGCGTTGTTTGTTTTACGCTGTCGCTCTTCGAAACTCCATTCCGTCGCTAGAGTTGGGCAATTTTGTTTGACAGACAACCTCATGGGATGCCAGTGCCAGGCCAGGCCGGGCCAGCAGCTGCCACGGCAACAGCAACAGCCACTGCCACTGCAACTGCCACTGGCACTGGCACTGCAACTGCACCTCGAAACAAAGTGTGAGTGAATATTTCTGGGATGGATTCTAGCCCCTGGCATCTTGACATCTTTTATGGTTATGTCTTGATTGTTCATACATATATGTACGGTGTACACATGCATATGGTGCACACTTTTTTTTTTTTTTGTAGATCTCGAACACTCAACTCACCATCTTCATTCTCAATTCGTGATGCAAGAACGCGTACGGGTTCGGCTCCACAACTCGCTCAGGCACTTGCGTCAGCACCTAAAATATATTTCTGTACGTTTACAACTGCCTTCATCAGCGAATGTTCTATATAAGCTGTTCAGTCTGTTTATGGCCAACGGCTACCCACTTGTAAGCAAAAATCACACACAAAACGCGCAACGGGCGGAGGTTTGAGGCTGCAGGAAACGCTAAGAAAACGCGCGCGTTTCGCTGGCGACTCAACGACGACGATGCGAACTCGAGCAAATTTGAAGTTCAAATAACAAAAGCTGCGCCGACGCACAGACTATTTATAAGAGCGACCTCTGCGCCGGCGCCGACGCAAAAGACGACGACGCCGCTCGGCTCGCCGTCTACGGTTACGCATGCGCAGTGCAGCAGCAACAGCAGCAGCAGTAGCGAGAGCGAGTGCTGAGAGCCCTGTCTGGCCTGAAGGGGGGAACTGTAGACCACCTGTAGATGGAACTGTTTCGTGTCTGTTAACACTTAGCCGGGCCCTAGGCTGCTAATCGATATTAAAGTTACTCCACCTCCTCCTCCACCCATAATTGCTGCGTTGGCGTTGTCGTTGTCGTTGGTCTAAGAGCTCTGAGCAAACTTTGTGTTTTATGATCTGCAGAAGAAGCTCCAAATTGCCATAATTATGTGCCAAAATTAGCTATGGAAATGACCTTGAGCACTTTACATAGCAAACGATGAAAATATATGGAGCAGAGCGCTGTGGAGTTTTTCTGGGCTAATGGAGAGCTAAAAATGTAGGAAAATACAACAAAGGAAATGCAGAAATATATCTAAAATTTAGCAGAAAATTTAGCAGAAAAATCAACTACATATTCCACATGATTGTTAATTTAAATCTCGTGCAATTCCATGGGCATGATTAATACCCTTTGTGCAAGAGCATAAAAATACTCGTAGCATTGATGTTTGCTTTGCAGGTTTGGCTACTGTTTTGAAGTGGGTTTGAGATCTGACCCTGATATCGAACGAATATCGAACGAAGAGTGCCAAAAAGAACACCCAAATCAAAGCTGGAAGTGATTTCAGTTTTTGGTTTCATTTAGGTTCGGTGAATGACCTTGGCTGCCCCGCTGGAATGGGGCACGGGGGTAGTCAGGGGGAAAAGAATAAACGCAGTGTGAAATGTTAGAGTTTCATCAATCAATTGGCACTGCACCCTTTCATGATTTGGTTAGGGTGGGGGGTGGTGTGGGGTAAACCTTGTTCGTGCCGCTTTTAATGGCTAATTAATGTTGAAACTCCATACTTATCCTTTGGGCTGACAAATTAGGCAATCGATCAACGAACAGTTTCCATTAAAGTGAACTCTATAAAATAGACCCTGCAAGCAAACACAAAACAATGGCAACAAAGAGGCAACAGAAAAGATGCGGGTCGTGTCTGGTGTTCACTGCTCGTCAACAAATAGAAATTCAATTATGAATAATAATCATAAATCGAAAACAAAACCGGAAGATGCTGTGGTTGGTTGTACATCCCATTTGGATGCTGTTTGATTCGCGTCAAGTATTTCAACTTTCAAAAACTATGTTTTTGCAGCCAGCCACACAACAATCATAATGAAATGCCATTAACAACTCGAACCAAAAATCGTTTATTGCCAGCCGATAATTAAAAGCTGGGCAGCCGATCAGCAGATAAGTCAGAGCCCCACATGCCACACAGATGATCTGGAGTTCAGTTTCCGCTGGAAGTTCTGTTTCATAGAGAACTGGAAATTCTATTTGCCTAAGCGGGGCTTAGCACTGAAATCTAATAATAACACGAATGCAGCGTAGGGGGGAAATACTCGAGAATTTTAAGCTTTTTATTGCACAATTTTAAGTGGCTGCTACGCTATTTGCATGGGTGCAGGGTGGGGGCACGGCAACGTGTGGGACTATTACAGCAGCTGCAACTAGGATGTGCCTGGTGCCGGGCTAGAACCTGGTTGAAATTCACACACCGCTTGATCCATAAATAATATAGTTCGGGTTGGAAGTTTTTATGCATTTCTCGCTGTGACAATTTCGCCCATGGCATACAAATGATTCGTCGTCAGAGACACAACGACAACCGCAAGGTAAACACTCATAATACCAACAGCAGCGACCACAGCCGCAACAACACAAATCAGCAGGTGATTCAGCAGCCCTCAATGGTTTTCACCGAAAATAACAACAACAACAAATCCGACAACAGTTCATTAAACCCCAGAGCCTCAAGTCTCAAAAGCCTTAGCAGTTGTGTAAATCGAACTGATACAAAATATTCGCAAATAAATAAATAATTAAATATGAAAAATGAAAGCAGGCCGAGATTTGACACATGCCACAATTTGTTATACTCTTTAATTGGTGGGCTTAAAATAATTGATAGCCAGAATTAATAATATATAATTTTGCTAGCGAAAATATGCAAAATATGCCATAGTTGTTTTTTTTTTCTATTTTTTTTATTTCACGCTAGAAGCTCTAACTATTTTTAGCTATAGTTTAGGTTCTTAGTTAGCTTTTCTGTTCTCTTTTCTCTCTTTGGGCTTGCATTAGCTGTGCACAAACTCTACAACAAAATCAAAGTACTCTCCCTCTCTCCAGCATAGTGACAACACCCTCACTCCCACAAAAGGCAGCATTCATCAATATCTAATTGCATTCTGTGACAATGCGACATCCCATTGATCCCATAATGAATTTAACTGACAAATTTATAGCAACTTTCGGAGCGATTAGCTGGTGAAGGGAGAGATGGATCGGGGCGTTGGTTGATTTTGCATTAAACACAACACACAATTTTTTTTTTTTCGGTCATAAAGCTAACCGCTGTACAACGGGGCGGCGTATCGCAAGTGAAACCGGCAACCATAACAAGTTCAAGTTAATTACAACCTACACACACAGACAGTCCGAGTACGAGTCCGAGACGATGAAACATCTGAAAAGATTTTTTGCACTCTTGTGCCCAAGGTCGCTGCGGCATCAACTGAGAACAGGCCGCAGATCAGACGCTTAATGGCCAACACATGGTGACTGTGTGAGTGTGTCTGGACCCTGATCCTGTTACAAAGGAGGAAGCGAACGAGAGAACTGGTTCTGGAACCGATCGAATCGAGAATCGAGAATGTGTGACCTTAGGGGCACAGACTCGGGCACAGACTCGAGCACAGGCACAGCCACAGCCACAGGATTTTGCCTTTCTAAATCGGTGACGGTTGTTCCACTTCGTTGGCCCTGTTGCTCCCCACGAAAACCTGGCCAATAATTCATGGCTAGAACCGAGGGGAGATGAGAACTTCCTGTCAGCACTTCTGGCTGCAAATAATGGAAATTATTCTGACTTACTTTTGGGCGCTGAGTCTATTGTGCGTTGTGGCTTCCTTGTTCCCAGTACTGGATCGGAGGCGCCGCCGCTAAGCGCTTTAATTAAAGCCTAAAATAGCATAGCAAATCGAAATCAAAATCGAAACAATTGCCATAAATACGTATGGCACTCATAGGAGTTCCTCATAGACTGTTCCTCTCGCAGCATGAGTTCATAAATCACTTTCAGCTTGTTGAACGCACCCACAATGGATACGGATACCATTCTGCCATACTCGTACACGTTCATGGATTGGATAGGTGGATGTGATGAGAGTTTTGTTGTTGTATCTTGTGGCATTCTTTTGGCGCAAATGTTGCGGAAGTTAACAGCTAATTAAATAGCTTGGCTGGAAATTAAATAATGAGCAGAGCAGTCTCCCTCCAAGAAAAGAAAAAGCTACATACATATATATAAATAAATGTATTCTATATCTATTTGGGCACGGTTCTGGTCGGATGCATTTGGAGCGAAGCGAAATGGAGTTCTCCTCGGAGCGCCCACAATTGATTGCCCTTGCCACTCTCCGTGGCTGCCAAGTCGAGCATGCCACACAGATACACAACCAAGAGCAGCAGCTCCCTGTGGCGGCCCCTCTGTTCACCTACATGAAGATCAGATTTTGTGCAAGGTCAGGTCCGAAAAGATTTAATGCCTTTGGTATGCAAAATGCTTACCATTACAATCGGACACAAAGCCATTCCGCTCCGCTCGGCACTCCTCTGGCCTGCCTCAACCACAAAAGCCGCAGCAACCAGCAGCAGCTGCCACAAAAATAGAGAGACAAGAGAGATAACCGAAAACGAGTTTTGATGCCAGTTCAATGGCCAAATTTGAGGGTCAGCTCGCCAGGATTGCGGGATCCAGGCGGAGTTCAAGTGCGTCCAAGCCGCAGCGTCCTTGGTGGCAAGCCGCTCCCTAGAGCAGAGAGAGATTCCGGGACTGGGAGCCTCGTCGATTGTTGCTCGACCGCATACGTGACTGACATGATAATTCCACGAAAGACGAAAGACTTAAGACACGAACCTGTCGCAGCAGGAACTTCTCAGCCAGCAGGCAGCAGCCAGCAGGCAGCAGCCAGCAGCTTGCGAAACGACACCTTTAAGCCCCTTTAAGTCTGTGTCTGTTATTGCCCCTGGCATATAGATTGATAATTTACGACAATTTAAATTATTCCCGCATCTGAGGCAGTGCTGAGTGCGTTATGAATGCAATTGCCACACTCACTCACTAATGATGATCGTCTTAGCATCTAATTGAGATATAAAGCAGCCCCAGCCCACGCATGGCTGAACAAACAAATACTCGGTACGGGGGATACAAAATACAAATCAAATTACTAGTTCAGTTTCTGTTTTACATAATTAAAGAAAAATATAGTCACTATCCACGGTGGCATAAAGTTCAATATATCCAACCAATTTCTGCTCCACAAACTTCAAATGAAATTCATAAAAATTTTAACATAATTTGCCTCACTGTTCGGTGCTTGTGCACTTGAACTCAAGTATCCACTGCCCCCAAAAATTGAATGAAAGACAGACAGATAGACAGAAACAATCACACAAAAAAATACGTACAATAAATATCTCAGGCGGCAGGCGGCAACCACAACAAAGAAGACAATTGAAAAGTGAATTTCAGTGAAGTTTTTCCAGTTTAAATTAAAAATAATTTTTCACCAATTTAAAAGCCAATTTTCAGCGAGAGACAGAGAGAGAGAGAGAGAGAGACAGACAACAAACAATAAAAGATTTATCAATCAGTTGGCCAATTCATCTGGCTTATATCAGGCTTAGGACCCACTGCTGAGTAATGAAAGCGAAATGATCTAAAGATCCAAGCAATTTATGGCCAGACTGTGAGAAAGTGCAATAAATGTCGGGACCGGACTCGGCGAGACATTCGGGCTTAATTTATTTACCAAAATAAACAGAAACAGAAGTCGCCCAAAACTCTAATTAAAACAAGTTTCGTGTCTATTTGGGTAACGATTTAATTAATTTTCGACCTCAAGTGACTCACTTCAATAGCGAAGAGGAGGCCAGTGAGATGGCTAAATCACAAAATTGATGAATAAATAATAATCGTTGGAGGCAAATATTTTGAGCTTGGTCACGCTTCGGAACTCCACAATGAAATGCTAAACGATAATTTAATAGCCAATTTAATGCCATTATTGTCCACACCAAAAAATATCATGCAAATCTCTGGCCATCGAATAAAGATGGAACACAAAGCGATGAATGGAATTGAAAACGTTCTTGATTTTCGACATTTATAAGCCAAAGAGAGATGAACTCTATTGATAAAGAGGTCAATTCTTGGCTACTGCCTTAACCTTACGGTAAAATTTATGCAGAAATCGAAATCCGCTGTGAATTCAAACGATTATTGTGGCACCATAGCCACCGGATAGCCAGCAGCCAGCAGCTAGCAGACGTTGGCCAGCCGTTAATCTTTGGATGTCCATTGTCCATCACTTCCGTGACCTTTCCGAGGCGATGAGCCGCTGACACTTCCAATATCCGATTGTTGCCTTGTCAAAATCCGATCAAGACAAATTGTTTTCGACGTCTGGCTGCTGCCAGTCCAAGTCTGTATGTGTTTTTAGAAATTGAGCAGACAATTGGCTTACACAATGGAAATGCTCGGAGCCAGCGGACCATTTGTTGGCTGGGCTACTCGTAAATTACGCATACGCAGCGTTCAGCCGCAGAAGTCATAGAAAAACCCCGACATTTGGTTGCTGTAATGGCCAGACTTTAAACAAATTCTTAGCAATTTGTACAGTTAATTTGGTTGCTTAAAAAATAAAACCTTAATTAGATTGAGCGAATGATATAAAACTAATGCTTGGATGGGAGCCAATTTGAATTGCAAATTACTCGCTGGGATTTTATGCGTTCGAACACTGCTCCCTGGCATTTGTTTAACGATGGGGGCATAAAAAAAATAGAACCAAAAGTGGCAACAATCAACGGTAGTCGTCGGGTTGAGTTCTCGATTTGGCCACAAAATTCATTCATGTGGCATTCATTTTGTACAAAGTATAACTTTTATTTATTTATTTGTTTTGTTGCTTAATTGAAGCAATTATCCTTGCCCATCTGAGAGCAGGTGCAATTAATCGGTTTGGCTCTGCGATCCGGTCAAGAACGCATCGTGCGGCTATTGAGGCTAGTGCCTCTCTCTATATTTTTGCTATACAATGTATCTCTATATCTCTCTCTTTCACTCTGTTGCTATTGCTCTATTGAAGCTAGTGCCTGGTGATGCTGTCTAAGTGGTGCTGCTGCTAAATCTCTATTGAGGCTGGAAGGGAACTCAGCTCCCCCTTAAAAGTAGTGTCCATAGCCGCCATGATGATGATGTCCATAATAGCCGCCGTAGTAGGGATAGCCTGCGGAGATTGAGAGAGAACACACATCAGAGTAATTGTAGCTGTGGCACTCTCTGCCCCGTGAACCCACTTACCCAAACCACCGCCGTAACCACCTAATCCGTAGTAGCCGCCGCTGTAGTGCGGCCAGTAGCCACCGCCGTAATATCCGCCCAGATAGGGCGACGAGTAGTAGCCATAGCCGAGGGAGGAGGCACCCTCCAGATCCTTCTCCTCCGCCTCGACAGCAGCGGCGCCAGCCTCCAGGTCACCGCCCTCGTCGCGCTCCTCCTGTGGCCGCGGCAGGGCCTCCGTGCCACACAGGAACAGGGCAATGAGGGCAAAGGCAAGCAGCAGGCAAACAGATCTCAGCTGGAACATCTTGATGGGGGTTTAAGTTTTTCTCTCTGGCGGATTTGGTGGAAATGCCACTTGGGGCTTACAGCAACTGAATGACTGACGCTGGAAACTTACATCGGGCTTTTATAATGGCCAACAAAAAAACGCGATTCTTGCAACGCGGCGGCGGCTGCCATCAATGCGCAGCGACAAAACAATTGTCTGAATGAAAAACGGTTACCTCCCCCTCTCCAATTTGGGCGACTCCAGGCTGCGTGTGCTTCTAACAATGCACCACCCCACCACCCCCGCAGCTGCCGGCCACCGCTCAACGAGTATGCCCCGCTCCGAGTATCAATGAAGCGGGGAGCACCCAGAGGGGAGAAGGAGGCTTCTATTTCTTGCATGACCGACTACTAATTACAATGCTTTGGGCCCCAACTTATGTTTGCTTGTTTTACCAGCTTACCAGCAGCCACCCACCCACTCTTGGCCATCCAGCCAGCCAGCCCCTTCTCTGCATCCCCCGCCCCTTATTCCACTCTGTGTTCCAGTGGGGTCAATGTCGCAATGGGGCAGAGCATAACCTTCTTTTCTTTTGGCTTAAAGTTCCATCTCCCAAATCGAAAAATTGCCAACGAAACATTTGCTTACATAATGTCGAGCGGAGCTGAGCGACTCCTTTCCACTTTAATTTATTTGCTTGCCCCGCCAACCCACACCGCCACCAATAATAATCATAAAAAACAGAGCAAACTAAACACACGCTCTCTATAAATTAAGCATCTGCTGTCAAAGTGGCTGGACAACATTCTAAATCCATAAAAAAGAGCATCAGTTCCAAATTGAAAAAAAAGTCTAGCCAAAAATGAAGCTGGAAATGAAAAATTAAACCAGAGAATTGCCCCAAAAGCCAACCCCGGAGTTCCCATAAAATTGGTCACGAACTTAAATGGAGCTGCGTGAGGGAAGAGCCAAATTCTAGCAGAGATCCATTTCTAGTGGAATTTGTGTAAGAAAGGTCACGTCAATTACCATATGTCTACGCTACCTCTTACCCTTTGTCGCGTCGCACTTCCTTCCTCAATTGTGGGGCACGTATGTACGTATATATTTCTATCGCTATTCTCCGTCACTTGATGACCTAAAATACACCCAGAGAAAATGGCAGCACTGAGATTTACAAAATTTATACTAATAGATTTGCACCGAAAGAGTGGAAATTGTAAACAAAAAATCTTACCATTAATATTCAAATATTTGAATGAAATACATTTCATATTTAAAATACGAATCAATAAATTTCGTATTTAAAATACAAATATTTCATATTCAAATCAAATAAATTACATTTTTTTCCTATTTAAATTAAATAATTAATTAAATTAATAAAATTAAATTAATAAAAATAAATTAATAAATAAATTAAAGACTTTTTAATATACTTAAATGCATGTAGTGAACTCTAATTAATTTTCATATTTTTAAAATTTAAAAACCAAATATTTAATTTACATTTGTGTGCGTTTTCTATTCTCTGAGTGTACATATGGACTCTTCCCCTTTCGTGGCACTTGCTTCCTCAATTGGGGGCTACTTACGTGTATGTATATTTGCCCGCTGGCCGAAAATACGTAGAGTTTTTCTCACACACAAGTTTTGCATGTTAGGCGGGGTCAGGGCTTCAGACAATGCGTTTCGCACGTTGGCGGGTCTTGAGAGCGGGTAGGGGCGGCGCCCCACCGACTGGCTAATTGCCAGTTTGGGCCTTATCTAAATTGCCGCATTAGCCAAGAACTTGTGACTGCTGGGCTCTCAATGTAATTAGTTGAATTAAATGCTTGGCTGGTTAGCAAGAATCCCATACCCCCCTGCCCAGTGGCATTGAAAGAGCTGACAGAGCATCCAAAGGTCTCGGGAAAGGTTCTCTCTCTTTATTTCGTCTAACTTACAACTAGATAAATAAATTACATACAAAAAAAAACTACTCAGGGCATTCTACTCCAGATCCAGGGTGGAGTCCACACTGTCATCGCCATTGGGCATGTCGGGAAAGCGATGGAAGAGCGTCGATGAGGGCTTCGTTTCGCTGTCCAGCCGCGTCTCATAGATCTTACCCTCATGGTTGATCAGATACCAGCTGGGCGTGGGCGTAACCCGCTCCAGCTCCTCACGATTCAGTCCAGTGATGGGCGCCACTGTGGGCAATCGCTTGGACAGCTCTGCGAGCTCCTTAAGGTACACATCCAGAGCGCGATAGTCCGTGTTGTTCGGCACCTGACCGGGTGCAATGAACTGGGGTGGTGCTGCCCCAAGGAGTTCATCTTGCTCCTGCCACAGTTGCCGTATATTTGTCATTATGTCCGCATAAAGTATGGAATCATCGCTGCGGGCCACCGATCCACCATTGCGCTTATTATTGTTTGGTGATTTACGTGAATTTACCAGGCGACTGGCCAACGGAGTGGCGGAAGTTGTTGAATTGCCACTCAATGCTGCTGCTGTTGCTGCTGTTGCTGCTGATTTGACTGTAGTTTTTGTAGTTGTTGTTGTTTCTGGTTGCTTTGTCGTTGTTGTTGTTGTCGTTGATGTTGCCTCATTGCGGAAGTTGCGACGCCTCTCCCTCAGTCTCTCCCTCTGCTTCTCCGCTGTTTTGGTTGGCTTGAACAGCCTTTGGCGACGTCGTCGACTGTCGCAGTTGGTGGTTGCATTGCCACTGCACGCCGTTGACTTCTTCACCTCATTGGGCTGCTTTGTCCTCTCCGCCTCTCCGTCGTCGGGTAGATACAGCGTGGCATTCCGCAGCAAATCCCCAATGTGCGCCACCAACTTCAGACCCTGCTGCACATCGTAGGCGCCACTGCCCTTGGCGCTCTGGGTCTCCCGCTTCATGCGCTTTGATCGCTTGTGCTCCTGCTGGTTCCGGCTGAGTACCGCTCGCAGGCGCTGCTGCTGACCCCGCTGGTAGAGCTGCTGCTCCATGGATTTCTGGGCAATAAGCGTGTGCGACTGCCGCTGAATGTGGCGCTGTCGCATCCCCAGAGGCAGCTGCTTCTGCCGCTGTCGATGCAGCAGACGTTCTGTCTTCCTCACAGAGGCCAGTATCTCCATGGGAAGTTGCAGGTTATTGCTGTTGCTGTTGCTGTTGCTTTTGCTATTGGCCAGGGGCATGTTCTGCGTCTCCTGTGTGAGGAGATCGCCTGTGGGTAGCTGTGGGCGTGGCTGTGCCGGCGTTCGATTGCTGCTAAGTTTGCGTGGCTGCTCCCAGACGACAGCGGGAGTGCCCAGTGGCTGGCGCTGACGGAGGCGCTTCAGCTGCTGGAAGTGCTGCGGCGGTTCGATGATCCTGATCACATCTCCCGCATCATCATCCACATAGCCTGGATGTGGCATGATGTCCTGCAGATGCGTGGGTACTCGCTTCTCCGGCTGCTTGGGCGCTGGCCTGGACACGCGATACACAGGCGGACTCGAAGTGTTGTTGCTGGGCACCAGTACCTCCTGCAGCGTGGCCACGGGCATCTCTACCTTAATGCCATGACTGAGCTGTAGAGCCAACAGCAAAAACCACAGTGATTTCCCCATGGAGCTGCGACCTTGCCACTTGCCACTTTGCCACTTTTACTCTCACTCTGTCAAGGCCAAAGCGAAGCGCGTACCGATTTTCCACTGCTAAACTTTTCACTTTTCCCGAACGGCGGCTGCTCCACAACTGTGCAGAAATTGTGCTATCATGGGGCCTTTATAAAATTTCCTCCTCGCCGTTTTTCCAATTTTCCAGTTTGATTGGTCCGCAGCCTTTCTTCGTCTTGTGTCTTGCCTCCTACTCTCCCCCAGGCAGAGGCAGTCGGCAAGCGGCAGCATGACGAGATGTCTTTGAAGTCGTCATCGTCTTCGTCATCGCTCGGCTGCTGCCAAATGAAAGCGAAACTGGCAGCACACGAATGAAGTGACGTTGCCACTTGCCATCCAACTGCAACTTGCAGTGCAGCACTCAATGTTATAACTGGTCAAAGTCGAAGTCACAATCGAAGTCTGCAGTCAGCAGACGGCAGTCTGCAATCGGCAGTCGGCAGCTTGTGGCCAGCTCGTTTCGCTTTAGAAACCCACTTTGCATATGCCCTGCCCCCAGTGGGCACCGCTCTCGGCTGTGGTTCGGTGGCTCGTGGTTTGGCACATTTCAGCCACCAGGTCTTTCTTTCTGTCTCCCCATCGTCTTTCTGCTGTGTGTGTGTGTGTGTGTGTGTGTCAACTTTCTGACTCCACGCGACACACAAACTAGTTTCGTATCGCATCTGCAAGTGTTTTTGTTGTTGTTTTCTCGGACTCTGTATCTCATTAGCGCGTCGAACGCCGCTTGACCCTCAACTTGAACTTCGCCAGAGCCATAAATAAATACGAGTACGAGTATTTGTGTCAGCCGAGCGAAAGGCAAATCCGAATCAAATAAATAACTATTTAGCTTACATTAATTTGGGATAAAATTTTATGTGCAGGAGATTGGGAGAAGATGAAATTTTTCATCTTGCAGCAGACATGCATCTCTGTGGCATGAAGAGTAAGGAAAGGTCGGAGGATGTACTTGGCACAAGTCCGAAAATAAGGAGGAATAAATCACATTCTCATCCTCATATTTACAATTTGTAATATACCCAAAAAAACATCTAAAACAATTAATGGGTTAAAAATATAGTTAGTATTTGTTATTCGTGTCAATGCGACGACTGTACCTGAAGCTAAGTTCTAAAGTTTTCTTCCATTTGTAATGTTTCTTTAACTTGGCCAATTTTGTCAATTTCTTTTGGTATGGTATTCTTATTGTTAGGCATTAATTCCCAACAAATAAGCTACTTGATAATTAAATTGTCCAAGCAATGACCTTTGTCATGCATTTATTGATCTTTCATGTGATATTAATTTCATATTACACCAAGGAATACTTGATTTGACCGTTTAAAATGTGCCGTGGGAGACCCCTAAAACCATCTCAAAGGTTGAAAGATTATCATTAATTTAATATTTAATTAATTTTTAAGTTTAAATATTTTTTAGAATTTTTTTTTATTTATTTTTGAAAATGTTTGCTCTTCAGTTCCAGAGCAGCAAGCTTCTTAGTGTAAGCAAACAATCATTAGTGCCAAAAACAACCGCTGATATCTGCTGGAGGCGCCACTAAGACGAAACAAATGAGAAACAGTGGAACATTGGAATGGAAACAGCAACGGAAACTGCATAGGCAAAGAAATGAATGTTTTCGAAGGTATTTATGTACCTTTATTTATTCCTTTACCTTTCCCACATTTGAATAGCCAAAAAAAAACAATTCCGAAAATTTCCATAAATTATATTTTATTGCTAAAACTCTTGCGACCACTGGACGATCCCCGAAGTTGGGAATTCCATTCACTACACACTACCAAATAAATAAATAAATAGATAAACATAGAATGGGTTAAACATTAGAGGGGCCGGCAACATGGGGCATGGGGGAATTGATTGGGAGATTAGGAGAATTGATAACTGGACCAACTACTTGATTATGCTCTCCCATGGAGCCTAGGAGGGGGCGGGCAAGAGAGCGGCAGAGACTACGGACTAAAGGTCATGGACGAGCACACGATTCGTGCGCTGTTAATACGTTAGGGGAGACGGGGGTAGTAGGGGGAATTTCGAGTTGGAGGCAGAGGCGGAATCATGCGACTTATATTAGGGCGCCACAACCATCGGCTGCCAGGCATTATCATTGGCAAAGCCCTGCCGGCCGCCACCCAAACCACCAGCACCACCAGCACCAAAGCCCATGCGACGCTCGTGGGAGGTTGTGGGAATCGGAATGGGATGCTGAAAGACTCCAGTGGCCATGCCTGTGTCCATGCCCATGCCCATGCCCATGCCCGCAGGCCGCTGTGGATAGACACGCTGCTCCATGAGACGTGACTCCTCCATGTCGTAGTCTGTCAATCCTCCGGGTGCTGCAGTTGCCTGCTCTGCCCGCCTGCTGCTGCTGCTGCTGCTCTTCTCGAAGAAGTCTATGATGGGATGGTAGTTGTAGTTGATGCGTTTGGTGCCATTACTTGGCCCAGCCGAGGTACCGTCGACGCTGCTGCTCCCGCTGCTACTCCCGCTGCTGCTGCTTGTGTATATGGAATTGGAGTTCACATGGTAGACCCCGGCCGGCGGCTGTGGAAATGCCGTCGACTTATGCTGCTGCTGCTGCCCGCCCGGCTGCTGCTGCTGCTGCTGCTGCTGTGTGGTGCGCTCGGTCGGAAGAGTCGACGCTGGGCTGGCTGCCACAGAGATTGGTGGGATTGGTGCGACTGCCAGGGGCGTGGTCGCTGGGGGTGCATAGAAGCGGGGTCGCGACTTGCTACCGCCGACGTGCTGCTGATTGCGCTGGATGAGGGCAGGCTGAGATGTCGCAGCTGTTGGGGATGCAGCAGGGAATGGTGCTGCAGCTGAGGCTGCTGCTTGATGGGCATGGGTGGCATGGCCACTGGAATGGGAGCTGATGGCTGCAGCGGTTCCTGTTCGGGCTGGTAGGCTTGTGGTCTGTGGTACGCGAAACCGGACTCCTCCAGCGGACGATGATGTGGATGATGAAGTTGCGGCTGCGGCGGCTGTGTTGGGGTGGGTGGAGGTATAAATACGCTTGCGATTGATGGGCAGACGCTGGATGGGCATCTCTGGGCCAGCAAATAGGTTTACGTTTACCTCTTGGTCCGTGTGCATCTCACTTGGCGCCAAATCCAAGTCCACTCGCGCCTCATTCTGTTGCTGTGGCTGATGCTGATGCGGCCGTCGACGGCTCACCTGGCTGTAATATTTCTTTGAACTGGCGCCCGGACTCTTGTGACTGTGGCTCTTGTAGCCACTGAAGCGCTGCTGCTCCTCCCCGACATCATCATCGGGCGGACTCAGATAGGGACCGACACTGGTCGAGGCGCCGCGCACCTTCTTGCTGCCGCCGGCGTACAGTTCGTTGGTGTCGCGCCCATTAAAGGTGGGATAGCGCAGGCCCAGACCCAGCTCATCCTCCTCGCTGTCCTCGGCATAGTCCAGATCCTCCTCATTGATGGTGCTGTAGCCATTCGAGGCGACACTCTCCGGCTTGAAGTTGGCCAGCGGTGAGTAGTCCTTGGCCTGAATGGAGGAGAGTGGCGGAAACTGCTGGCGATAGCCATCCACCTGGCAGGAGCAGCAGGTGGGCACCTTGAAGATGTCCACATGCAGTCCACGCACCTTGTCCCAGCTGAGCAGGCGATGGTAGTTGTACACCTGCGAACAGTGCGAGCGGTAAGTCTGCGCCAGGTACGAGCAGCTCTCCCCAGGATTGCTAGTGAGAGGATCGGGCATTGTTAACTGGGCGTTGCCAGAGATCCAAGTGTCAGTTCGACTCACCTGCACTTCTCCAGTCTGAGGGTTTGGGTGTGCTGGCCCGTATTCACGATGTATTTCCACTCCCCAGACGCGGACTTGGCCTTCTGTGGTCGCGCATAACGCACCACGCTCAGGCACATGCCCCCAGCGCTGCTGCCCTCGTCCTCTCGACTGCCAAAGAGAGAGATAGCGTGAGAGATAGAGAGTAAACATTAATTATGATAGGGGTGCTGGTGTCTGGGCATCCACTTACCGCTTTTTGTTGAGGCTAAAGTCATCGAAGTCATCGCCTAATTCCAGATTGTTGTTGGGTTTGTCGTAGAACTCGGCTAGCAGCGCGGACATCGCGTTCTTGTGCCGCCGAATGCTGCCCATGATCTGTTCGCTGTTGGAATTGATTTTATTTGTTTTTTAAACGAATTTCAAGTCTGCTGTGAACCACCGAAAACCACCGTAACCGGAAACTAAGCATAGGTGCATCAGGGGATTATCAATAAGCGGTGGGTGGGGGGTTGTTCCATAAATTACTGTTTTGTGTGTGTTTTTTTATTATTATTTTTAAACTAAAATCTCACTAAGCTAACGACTAAAAGTAGGGGACCGTGACCAGGATCGAGCACCAACTACAGCTACAGGTAACACATCTTACAGCGGATAATCATCGGTGCGGATGCACATGTTGCTGGTGAAGCGTTCGCATTTACGCAGTGGCGCCACCACTACCGGGGATACCGCTTGCGGCTTGTGGGAGCTGGCCGAGGTCTTGGGCCGGTTGGCCCTGTTGGCTGTCTGTAGCCGCTTTCGCTTAACGGGCGGCGGCGACTTTTGGCCAGGCGCTGGCCGCTTGCCCAGGCGATAGCGTGGACCGGCAATCAGTTCTTCTGGATTGGGCAGTGGCTCCTCCAGCAACGACGCTTCCTCGCCGCTGTTGCGCTGCAGATCCAAGCGCTCATCGGCGCTCAAGGGAATCACCTCGGTGCCATTGAGACCGGCAAAGGCAAGATCCTCAATCTCCACATAGGACTGATTGGAGATGCCGCTGCCGCTGCCGCTGCTGCTGGGCTGCTGAAACGACGTTGTGTTCAGACGAACGGTGCGTCCTGCTATGCCGCCCAGGAGCTGCTGCTCTGTCACCGAAACGGGCACGGAGCGGGTCAACTTATGGACAAACTCATTGGCCGATCGTCGCACCCGCTTGGCATTCTCATTCGAGGAATTCTTCTGCATACTTGCCGGCTGCAGTGCCTCATTGATCATCTGTGGATCGAGCACATCGGACTGCATCTCCTCAAAGAAATCCTCCAGAGAGGCGGCATCCCCTGGCCTGCCGCTGACATCCCCTGACTTGCCACTCACATCGATGGTGCCCACACTATCATCCTGCTCCGTCTCCGCCACCGTCAGCTGATGCTGCCTGCGATTCAGCGATGGCGTGTGAAGGAGTGCCGAAACGGCAGCCACATCGGAACCCAGATTGAGGTACTTGCGGGTGGAACTCTTCACCAGATTGGCCAGATCGTAGACAATGGGCAGGATGAGTTTTTTGTCATTGCCAAACATCATGCGGACCTTCGAAGGTAAACAAAAGCAGAAAGTTATGGGGGGACTTGGGTTGGGGAAAGGGTTTACCAACCTGTTCTAATCTCAGTTCGTTTCCCTGCTTGGCACTCATCTGCGCAGAGATGAGAGCGGACAGTGCCAATCGCTGCTGGGAGGAGAGCACGCGCAGAATGGGCATCACCTCGATGAACTTCTGGCGCAGTCCCTCATCGGTGAGCGCCTTGGCCAGTGCATGCCGGAGTACATTTTGCCTTATGTCGAACTGCGGCACCTGCCGCTCCGGCTCCGGCTCGTCCAGATCCACGCTAAAATCCAGCATATTCGATTCCAGCTTTTGCTCCGCCTGCTGCTGCTGCTCATCCAAGTCGTCCAGCTGCCAGTCATCCGTAGCGGCGGGATCCTTGGCAGCCGCAAAGTCAAAGTCCAGCAGCTCCTCATCGCTGCTGCTGCTGCTGCTGCCACCGACGAGATCCAGGTAGAGCACACAATAGAGCAGGGCCCAGAAGAGGCAGCCAAAGGCGCGGCCAGCTTTCATTTTTATTTTTATTTAATTTCTGTTTTTATTTCTGTTTTTTGTTTCTGTTTTTGTTCGTGGCTGTGTGGCTTTTGTTTCACTCGACTGCCAAAAAGTGGAAAAAGCAAACGAAAGTTAATGCGGGGCGGTCAGTCACTTGCACATTTAATTTTCCAAAAATAATAACAACAACAACAAATGACAGTCGGTTAATTGTTTTATTTATGAACGCCCCTCCATTCCATTCCACTCGACTCACACGCTTTCAAAAAGTCTTGCCCAAGTTAATTCTTAGAGTTTTTCTTTGTTTGTTTGTTTTGTTAGAAATAAATGTACATTTAAGCATTCAGTTTTGGTTTTGTGTGTGTGTGTGTGTGTGTGTCTGTTTGGCTTTCCTTTGAAAGTAAAAGTCATTAACATGAGCATAAACTATTATGGGTTGGTGTGTGGGGAAGGTGTGGGGAGGGGAATAGGAGCATAAGCCATGGCTATTACAGCAACTTGACTCTGGCTCTCCTCTGACTCTCCAACTCTATGGCTATGGCTTTTAGGTAATCGCGCTCCAGTCATCAACTCATCGCTCACTTCGAGACATTTTGTTGACTGCCCAACAAGGCGTGAAGCACCTGGAACCACCTCTGTAGCTGTTGCTCCGGTTGTTGCCACTGATATTATTTAGGGGGGGCAGCCATGACTCTTTTGCGGTAATAAAGCCACACTAAAAGGTCGTGTGATTGATATGTTGTTGGGTTCATTTGAATAGAGACATTTTCGCGCATATTGTGACTTGCTTTAGAATTTCTCTTCTTGTCTCAATGCAAATATCTGCGATGGAAAGCTGCTGACAAATCTGAATGCTAACTACTCCCAAGGGGGCTGCTGTCTGCAGCTGCATCCATGCTGAAGATGCTGTGACCTTTTGTGCCGCATGAAAAGTGAAAATTCGGCACTGCCACAACCACAGCAGTTGACAGTTTAGAAAAGGCAGCCAAGGCCAGCCAGCCAACCAGCCAACCAGCCAACCAGCATTGGAAACTTTTAGAGGCAGACGTGGGCTAAAAGATTGTCGAGAGATTCGTTTGTTTTGTTGCAGGCTTTGTTTTGGGCCCATTATGCTGGCACCCAAGTGGCAGCCAGGAGGCAGGCCCGGCCAGGCCAGGCCAGGCCAGGCATTCAGGCAGCAGTCAAGCCAACAAATAATTGAATGAAATGATGCGCAAAACTTGTGGCACGAACGTGAGGATGCTGCCGTTGTCATAGAGCCAGGCGGCGCGCGCAATGGCTTTAATTTATTTCGCACACCTGCACATAGAAGACCCATCATCAAATGCGCTGCTAATGGAGAAGAAGAAGCGAGAAGGAGACAAGAAACTGGGGGAGAAAGAGGCGCAGCGTGCTTCTGGTTTGTTTGGTGTGCGGCCTTTTGCATATGGCTGGACCAAAAATCTGCGGTCTGTGGCTGGGAAAGTGCTGCGATGCAATACATCAAATTAAGCCAATAAGTCGCCTAGCCACAGGCACAGCCACAGGCGCTTATTTCCCATATTTGTACGAACAAATGGCGGCCATTATTTCGCCAGTTCCCAGGCATCGCGTCGCATCGCATCGCAGCTCAGCAATTTGGCGTGGGTGCCTGCGCCTGTAGAAATTGTAAATTGGCAATGGGAATTGCAATGGGAATTAGCTAAGAGCAGGAGAGTTGCAGTTGCAGATGAAGATGCTGCAGCTGCGCATGCCATTTCTCTCTGCAAATTCTTTGGCCACCTTAATTAAGCTGTAATTTTGCGTGCATTGCTCAGACAAACGAAACGGGGCCAAAGACGAACAGACGAACAAAAAAAAAAAAGAGTAAACCACAAACAAAAATTAAAGAAAACAAATTAAAGCGCAGCAAATGGCAGACAGGCAGGCAGCAACGCAAGAAAGTCGTCGCACAGACAATCTCCAATCGACTGCAGTAAGAGAATCCTACTAAGCAGTCTAAGCAGCCTAACTAAGCAGAACTAGGTGCTAACCGACTAACCTAGTAAGCGAACTCGCTGAACCACTAACCAGAGACGCGTCAGGCCACCACCAAAGCCACCGCAGCCACCGAACCAATCAAGAATCAATATCTACGCGGCAATATGTCGGCGATTGTCATCAAATCCCAAACCAATTTGGAGGGCTGGGCCCTAAACGAAAGACTTAAGACGCAAACTTCAGCGTTTTGGAACCTGGCAACACGCACACACTTACACACACGCCCATAAATAAACACACACGTCTGTCTGCAGGCCTTAAACAGCTCTCGGACTGACACAATTTCCTCGGGCGTAAAGAATAAAAAGAATTCAAATTTTTGGTGCGTCGCTGTGTCGGTCTGTTGAGTGTTTTATTTTTGTTGTATTTGTATTTTTTCCATTTAGAAAGTTGTTTCCATTTCACATATTTGGCTAAAACACACACGCACACATAACAGAAAAAGAAATAAACTTATTTATAAAATTCCAATTTCGATTTTATTCCATTTTCTGCTCTTCGCTTTTGTATTTTTTGTATGATTAATTTATAAATCTGAGAGACTGAACCTCTAGAAATCACCTCCTATTTGATATGCTTTTCTCTTCTCTCTCTCTCTCTCTGCCGCTTTAGACTGCTCCTCTGATCCGCAGTTCTGCTGCTGTTAATTCCTGTTGCAATGCCCAAGAACCACAATTTCCACTCCACTTTAAACAGATAATTTTCACTTTTCTATGGGGCGGTTTGCTCTTCCGTTTCGCTGATTTTGCAGCTTGAATGCCCGATGATTTTTCACACTTTTCACACGCGCCTTAATTAACAGATTTTCTACTTTGCCACACTTCTTGATGGGCTGCTCTCGGCATTCACCTTCGCTTGGGCTGGCCTGCTTTTTCCGCTTGCAATGTCTTAGCGCTTTCAACACTCGCCGCAGACTGATTTGCTGGCTGTGTGCCTCAGCCGCGCCGCGGCTTTCTGCTGCTGCTGCTGCTTCTGCTGCTACTTCTGCTGCCTCATTGCCGATGCTACAGTTGCTGCCTCGCTGCTTCTGCGGCTGCTGCGGCTGCTGCGGCTGCTGCTGGGTATGCTGCCAACTCTGTTAACGTTCTGGACCGGGACGTGTTTTGTGCATTGAAAATGTCTTTCGGCTAATTGCTTTTGTTTCTGCAGGTTCGCAGCAGTTCATTGAACCGTTAGCTGGCTTCAATTTGCATTTTGCAGCCTGCCAATGGGTATTATGCGGAAACCAAACCGATCCATCAGGTATTCGCATCAATAGCCACTTGCCAAGTTCGTGTCTTAAGTCATTTGTTTTTGTGTGCTTTTTTTTTTTGGCGGTCCGTTCGCAGTGGGTCAGGAAGCAAATGGCCGTAAACGGAAGCACGGTAAAATATATTTTATATATTTAAACGGCTTTCTATTGGCTTCATTAGCCATGGCAAAACATTTTGGCCACTTCACGGAGGAGTCCCCTAAACAGCCGGGAGGTCAAGGAAAATTAATTTCACAGGCAACGGTAGGCAGGCAGGCAGGCAGGCAGGTAGGCACTTTCGTTTTCCACAAGCTTATGGCCCTCGGTGGCAGCTTTGGGCAGGCTGTTAGCGTCTCCGCCTCTTGGCCAGCCAACACAGCTTGCACAGTGGCACAAAGCACACGGGAAAACAGTTAAGGAAAATTTCCAAACAAAAGAAATTGAAACAACATTTCACATGGAATCTTATGTTCCACTGTCCACTGCGGCCACTGCGGCTATTGCACTGCGTCTGGTAATGGCCATTCGTCGTTTCGGTGTTGTGCGCCTTTATTGTTATTTCTTCATCATTGGTTAAAATGATTAACTATTCGGCAGCAAAGTGCTGCTGCAGGGCGGGCAGTTCCACTTTCAGTTGCCACTTCGGCAGAGCATTTTCTTCACACTTTCGTTGGTAATCACAGCGCCAAAACGGCTTTGGCTTTGCCTTTTAGCTGGGATTTTCATTTCACACGCGATGCGTTCCACGTTTTAAACGCATTTTATCTTAATGTCCATTTGGAGGCATTACCGCATCGTTGGTCGTGTGCTTTATTGCAGCGTCATCAATCAGTCGTCGACTGGCGGCCGGCCGGCCCCCAAACTGTCGCTTCCAGCTGCAGCACAGCATCCATCCTCACTCACATTTTTGCATATAGGGGGGGATAGATCTTTCCGCTATCGGCCATCAACCAGCCGAGAGGTTGGCCATAAAAACCGCATGCAATTGGCTAATTTGCACATTACACATTACACATTTTTTTATATTTATATTTCCCCTGCTGTAGCTGTTCCGGTTGGGCAGTGGACACACTGACCACACTGACCACCGGACCACTGGCGTTTGCATCTGCAAAGTGGATGACCTCTTTGGTCCATCCGATTGGTGGGAGTTTTGACATTGACAATGATGGGTTTTTGTTTTTCCAATACTTTATGCGTTTTATTTGGTAAAATAAATAAATAAATTAAATAAATATAAATATAAATAAATAAATACCAAATATGGACTAATACAGAGCTGATTATGCGTAAATACACGTTTTAAAGTGGAGCCTATGCACACCTATTCCAGTTTTCCCAGCTCCCACATCAAGGTTTTCTTTCAAACATTTAAATTTGAATAACTTTGATATGGATGAGATATGCTAAAGATGCTGGACAAGCATTTAAGCGGAGAAATACTTGAACAATTTACCAATTTTTTTATCATTCTCCAATAACTCAACCTACAATCATTCATACGGTCAAAGTAGGGTATATTTTCCTAGTAAAATAATAAAACCCAAATGCCCAATAAACTAATAATCCCATTTGAATCGGTTACATTTTGGAAGAGTTTTGCCTGGCTATAAGCTACCAAATATTGATACAAAATGTTTACTTACTCTTTAAATAAACCGCGCACTCTGATGGAATCAGTGAAGCGAACTGGAACTTTCAGTAGAGTTGCCAGATATGTGGACACAGCAGAAAACTTAACAGAGTATAAAAGCCAACACAAAAGTTGCCAGATTTTTGTATAAATATAAAACAGCGCAGCTTCTGTTGTTTAGCTTATTTAATGGCGCCAACGAGAATAATATTATTAAATATTATTGGCCTCTTCAATGCGTTTTAAATACATTTCATTTTCCAATAAATTTTAATTATCTACAATAACTTTGCTTTCGGAATTATCCACAGTTTAAGTGCTTGCCAGTGTTATTTGGGTTTGGCGTATTTCAAACGTTCATGCTAATTGTATAATATTTAATTTAATGTTTCCTTATGTTATGTATTAAAAGAATAGGACGATCCCAATCATATCTTGTGCCATATATGGAAGAAAATTGAGAAAAGCACTAAGCGAATTTTCATATGAGAATCGGAACGGGCTGTACAGATTAATAGGTAATGATATAAGCATGCGGAGATCCGTTTTGCAGTAATCATTCATTTAACAGCAGATAAACATACACATAAAACAACTGGTGTGGTATAATCATAATTATATTTCGTGTTTAATTAATTTATTTGTACAATTCTATAGCTATATATCTAGATCATATCTATATCAATACAATTACATAGTTCCTATGCGATAACGATTAATATTACACAACTGATGGGAGCTCTAAGGTTTTTGTTTTTGTCCTCTCTTGGGGGTGCAGTCTAACGTAAATAACGGTAATAGCTCAACTTGAAGATGGGAATATTTTTAGATACAGACTAGAAGAACTAAGTGACGAATACTCTCGCATTAAACTAGGCATAGGTAGCAGCGCCATTCATTAATTAATCGTAAGGCCTAAAGCATTTAAGCCAACAAATAATAAATATTTACAATGAAAGAAAGAAACTCTCCCTCCGGATGGGGGAATGGGAAATGGGAAATGGAAAAATGGGTCATAAAATATTTAAATATACTCGTAAAATACAAATAATACTGCTCGGACAAGCACGCCAAAAATTAAGAGAATTTCGTTCGAATCGATTACAGAAATTAAAAGTACAGAGAGAGAGAGAGACAGAGATTGGGTTGGCGGTGGACGAGTTGTTCTGGGATGAGTAGATTCGATGGTGGGAATGCAGAATGCGGGTGGGGTGTGGTGGGGGTTGGTGTGGATTCAGTCAGCGTCATATTTCGCATTCAAACTCCGAGATGCGATGGTTGAAGTACACCACACCATGTTCGAGATCCTCACTGAAGCCGCTCACATCCATGTAGTCGGAGGCGGCCGAATCATCGTCGACCCATTTGTGCAGGGATCGTGTGATCTCCAGCCGTGACTGTGCAAACGAGGGTCGCATATGCGGATCCTTGTGCCAGCAGCGAGACATCAAATTGTAGAACTCATGGCGGCTCTCCTTGGGCAGCTCCGGACGCAGTCCTTGTGGCACGCGGCGTATCACCTCGCGGCCCGTTTGCTGTGAGTACGGCGTGGAGCCTGTCAACAAAAAATTCAAAGATTTAGCATTACAAAATTTAAGTGAAAGAAAGACAGAAAGTTCTTTCTTACCCAATGTGGCAATCTCCCAGAGAACAATGCCAAAGGCCCAGATGTCCGTTTCGGTGGTGAACATGTGATACTGCAGACTCTCGGGCGCCATCCAGCGTATGGGCAGCGCATGCCGCTTGCCAATCGTGTCATGGCCATGTGACGACTTCTTCTCGCTGCCATGGGCGTGATGCTCCTTCGAGCAGTGGCCGTGACCGTGGCCGTGACCCTGGCCCTGCTGCGCGCCGAAGGTGTGCTGCCAGTGCTGCAGAATGTAGCGACTGCCAAAGTCAAATTTGAACTTCAGCGCATTGCTGCGCAATATATCGTTGGCCGCATTCTTCTCCTGCTCCTTGCGCATGCGCTCCGCATCCAGATCAATGGACATGCCAAAATCACAGATCTTGCACATGCCATTGTGATCGAGCAGCACATTGCGAGCGGCCAAATCTCGATGAACAATCTGGGCGTGGAGAGAGTTTAGCATTTTGATTTTGTTTTTTAGTTTTACTGGTGATTTTTCTTACCCTTCGCCCTGCTATGTACTCCATGCCACAGGCAATGTCCAGGGCAAAGCCTGCCAGCGTACGCGGGGAGAGCGGAGCCAGACTGCGTCCACCTGGCACTGAGGCAGGCAGGATGTTCGTCGCACTTCGAGCTGCCCTCAAGAGGGACAGAAGACGGCCACGCATCGCATACTCCATGATCAGCATGTGGGGTTCTGCCAAGGGAAGAGAGGACAGAGATTTAATATAAAAATATAAATTTCAGATGGGATGAGAAGGATGATTCTTACCACTCTCAACGCAGGCTCCGAGCAGTGTGACCACATTCTGATGGGAGCCCAGCTTCCGCATTATGTTGGCCTCATCCTTGAGGCTCAGCTGGGCACTGCAGGCGCGTATCGTCTTGACGGCCACAATGCGCGTGGCACCAAAGTGGCCGCTGAGATCGTCCGCCTCCGCCTTCCACACCTGCCCGAAGTTGCCCTCGCCCAGGAGACTCTTCAGGCGAATGTTGCCGCGATCAAAGTCCTGATACTCGCTGGCCAGCGATGTCTTGTCGTCCATTGTGTAGCGATTGTGATTGGCATCCCGCGATGCCTGCGCCATGGGCATGGTCTGGTGATGATGCTGGTGTTGTTGCTGCTGTTGTTGCTGCTGTTGCTGCTGTTGATGATGGTGATCCACCTCATCCTCGTCCTCGTCCAGCTGGTACTTGGAGTCGACCTTCTTCACCGGACTGATGGGCTGCTGGTCCGTGATGCACACATCAAAGACTTCGCCATGCTTCTTGGCCCTGCGACGCACCACATAGTTGCGCACCAGATAGAGAATGATGGCGGCCAGCGGTATGACGCCCACGGCCACCAGCACCAAGGTCACGAGATTCATTCGCCGCAGCTCCAGATCCACATCCCGCTCGTTGGCAATCAAAATCGTGGAGCTAATGTCCAGCGGCGGCGTGGCAGAGGATGAGGATTCCACCACGCCAATGTAGACATCAGCGGGTGGTGCAGCAGCAGCAGCAGCAGCTGGCGGGGCTGCTTGTGTGGTGCTGCTGCTGGTGGTTCGGGGATGCACTGTGGATCGCACTGAGGTCAGCACTGTGGTGCGCAGTATCCTCGAGCTGGAGTCGGTGGTGTGCGACAGCTGTGTGTGGGTGGTGCGCGGCGTGGCGCCACAGTCGGAGGTGTTGTTGCAGAATATAATCAGATTGTTCTGATCCTCGATGTTGATCTCTTGGGTTAGCGCTGGACCCAGGGCGCGTATCAGCTCCGTGTCCTTCTCGATGATGCTCTTTCGCTTCGGGGTGGTTGGAATGACAGAACGGATGGTTGTGGTGCTGGTTGTTGTACTTTTTTCTGTGGTTGCGCTTGGAGATTTTGTGGTTGTTCTCCTGGTGGTGCTGCTGCTAATTGGTGCTTGGGTGGTTGTTGTGCTCGTGGTGCTCGTTTTTGTGGGCTTCGCTGTTGTTGGGCTGCTTGTGCTGCTGGTTGTGGCCTCTGTCTGTAGTTCTGCCTGCCCCAATGTTGTATCCTCCTCCGCACTCAGCACTGTGATGATGAGCGGCGTGGAGGAAGAAGGGTGCGGCGGTGCCTTGGGCCCCACCACCCGACGCACCATCACAGGTGCCTTGGCCAGCTCCGTTTCGGTCTGCAGTCCCGCTGTGGGTCGACCCGAGCCCACATATCGCGTGCGGCTGCTCACTGGCGTTGCAATCACAGCGGTGGATGGCGGTGGTGGGGGGTCAGCTGGGGCTATGCCTCGTTCCCGCATGTGATATTTGTAGCGGCTGCGACTGCGCTCCACAGCGGTCAGGGGACGTCGCGTGGAGACTGTGGGTCTGCTGGCAGTGGCAGCCAACGGCATGGATGTGCTGCTCGCTGTCAGCGTGGCGCTGGGGGTGCTCTGCGCCACTGAAACTTCCAGCACACGCGGATGCTCGTCATCCCCTTCGGCTGCCTTGATGGTCAGGCCAGCGGGTCTAATTGGCGGCAGTTTGGCACCGAAATAAACGTACGGCTTCAGCTCGTCATCTTCCTCATCTTCGTCCTGCTCCTGCTCCTGCTGCTGCTGCTCCATGGATGTGGACGTGGCCTTGCCACGCAAAGCCTTGCCCACCACGGGAGACTTGGTGCCATCCGCAATGTGGTTCAGCGTGTCGTTCTGCTCCTTGGCCACCACAAAGAGGCCGTGGGAGGACTCATCGCTGAAGAGGATCTCGTTGGTGTCGCGATCCCCGGCGCCACCTGACGCCGCTCCACCGCCACCCACTTTCGTGTGGGATCCCTTGGGCACTGCGGAACTGTTGCCGCCCGATCGCTGCTCCATGGTGCCCGCCATGGCCATGCGGGTGAAGTTGGCGCACTGCCGCATGCAGCTGGCGGTGGTGCGGCGCGTAAAGTTCTTGGTGCAATTCCTGATGCACACGGACCGCGGATCGCTCGGCGACTTTGAGGTGCTCTCCACCGCAGCAGCAGCCGCCGCCGCCCCGGCTTGCGATATTCCACTGCGTCCCGTGGTGCCGCCGATGCGGCTGCGGAAGCCACCGCGATGCAGCGCCGTACGCCTCGCGGCCAGCACATTCATCAGCTTGCGCTCCCGATCCTGCGCCGAGTTGAGGGGCGGCGCAATCGATGGCCGACTAGCACCCGAGGGTCGATAGGTGGTCGGCTTATCGCCGACAGCATCTGCAAAGGAGGAGGAGGGGAGAGGCGAGATATGAGTGCGATGTATGCATAAATTTCCATTCTCGACGCCAGATCGTGACAAAATATTGGAAAAACAATCTCCCGAGACTGCGACTAAAACAACAACAGAGCACGAAACTCGTTTGGAATGCGATCTTTTGGCTATGGCTATGGCTATGGCTATGGCTATGGGTAAAGGTAAAGGCCTCGTCATCATCCCACAGCAGCAGCATCTCGGCATCTGTTTGGGGGTATCATCAGCCATCAGCAGCAGCTCGTGAACATCTTTGGGGCCACTCTTTGGGCGCACCATTAATCATCTTGTTTCAAATGTTTCTTAGCCTAGAAACTGCTACAAACTGGTCCAAGTAAGCCCACCCCCCTACCCGCGTCGCGAACTGTGGATGCAGCCCACTAATTAGTTGTGGCTGGCTGATGGCCTGATGGCCTCACGGCTGGCAGGCACACAATTTGTGTTCTAGGCGCCTCGGGGCAGGCAGCTGGCCATTCTCGCTGAATTGAGCAATGGGCCTAATTCCATTGACTGCCGCTTGGCTGCCTCACTGCCTCACTGCCTCATTGCCTGACCCATGAATCAGTTGCAAACAAATACAAGCAGGCCGAGACTCGCAGAGGCTTGCACAATTGTTTAATTTTCACGTTGCCAAAAACAATTCCAAACAGAAAACACGGTTGTCGCTGTCGCTGCTGCTTTTCACAAACATTTAGTTCATTGGCTTGCAGTTTGGGCCAAGGTTACGTGGCTGACTGGCATCTCAAGCGCGGCAACAGCAACGCAACGCAACAACGGCGTCTAGAACAAGTTGCAGATGCCTCCGCTGCTGCTGCTGCTGCTGCTGCTGCCGTATTTTGGCCACTTGTTGCTTTTTTGACTGAATAACTAACTGACTTCTCCCGCCACCAGCACCAGCACGGAGCCATTGAGCGATTTGTCTTTGTTTTGGCCAAGTTGTTTTGCCGTTTGCTGTGTTTCTATTTACCATAAGCTTTTCGTATTCGTTTATTTTCCATATTGTACAACACTGTGCGCCCCATTTCGGCGTCTCGTCACGTTGCCTGCCTTCAATGAAACGACAGGCAGCCCGCACGCCGTCCAACGGTTGCCATTTTCAGCCGCACTCACAGACAGTGCTGCGACTAGGCTATGGCGATGGCGATGGCTATGGCTTTGTACACTGTCTAAAGGTAACTCAACTAAAGGGCGCAATAGGGAGTGGGGACTGTCCACGGAAATCTCTATCAAAACTTGTAGCTAAAAAAGTTACACCAAAGCCCTGCCATCAGGCAATCCCTTTGTTGTCTCTCCAGCAAAGAGTATTTCCCAGTCGATGTGTTAACTTTTTGGTTTCTGCCTGCTTATCGTATTGGGAACTATGGCCTGGCCTGGTCTGGCCTGGCCATACCGTGGCCTGTGCGACTTCTTGGCATTAGCCATGCTGCTGCTTCTGCTGCTGCTGCTGCTTGTTGCTGCTGTTGCTGTGGCCATCGTCTCTCCATGCCGCCGCAGTCGCTTTGGCATGCGTTGTGGAATTTTAATTTGATTTTGGTCATATATACACCACGACTTTTGTCGGCTGCCGGGACAGAGACTCAGCCTTAGTTCAGGCCAAGCTGAGCGAAGCGAAACGAAAACCAAAACGAAAACCCCAACGAACCAAAGCCAACTGGCCAACAGAAACAGTTTGTTCTCCTACTCCAACTCCTCCTGCTCGCTCCTCTCGCTCCACTTTTGGGGTGGCATTGCGATCTTCCAAAAAGCAACAACCAGAGGGCAGATTTTGGAGATTTGGTTCGGTTCGGTTCGGTGTTTAATTCTAATCTTTCTGTTTAAAAGTGCTTACATAATGCCCCAAAATTGTGCAGCTTTTGGGCAGGTGATTAATCGCTGACTGTGTGAGAGCGAGAGAGAGAGAGAGAGAACAAGTAGCCAAACGGATGCGACGGCATGACTAATGCCCAGGCAGCTGTTGCTTCTACATTTTTTGTTTGTTGTATGTACTGTGAAATTCGGTATCGAACTGTGGCCCCCCGCCCAACCACAGACAGTGGCAGTGCCAGAAGCAGAGACAATGGCGTAGACGGAGACTCCACCCCTGCCCAACAATTCTGTTCAAAAAGCCAAGTTTATTTGGCAGCTAATGAGGCATCACTGCGGCCAGCGCACAATGCCCCATCAAGGTAGCCGCCAGAGCAGCAGCAGCAGCGGCAGCGTCTGCCACTCCTCCTCCTCCTCCCCTTAATTGCACAAAGCCATAGATAATGTCCGAATGGATCACAGAAATAAACTAAAAGTATGGGTATGAGTAGGGGTACGAGCATGGGTATGGGTATGGGTATGGGTATGGGTTTGGGTATGGGTATTAGCGCTTGAATGAATCGCATGTCTTGGGCTTTTGTTTAGAACTTTTAATTAAAAATAAATTACTGACACGAGTGGGCAGCACTGACAGTGGCAGATAGAGACGCAGCTGACTTTGCAGTTTGTTTTATTGCTAATTGACAAGCAAAAACACACACACGCACACATGCGCATACACAGTGTAGTGTACTACACCCTCATAGATACACACACATACCCTATCATTCTATTAGAGATACAAACTGCACTGTGTTGATTGGTGTGTACCTACTGCCGCTGACAGCTGTGTTTGATTCGATTGTCTAAACTTATTTAATGGTGTCACACACTCGACTTGAAAAGTTATGAAATATCCATTGAATGAGCGGAAAATACATAACAAAATAATCATATGGCAGCCAGGCAGGCAGCACGGGCCTGGGCCTCTGGGTCTGTGTCTGTGACACAAATGTCAATCATACGCAACGTTGCACAGGCCGCCAAAAAAAAAAAAAAAAACAAACACAAAACAAAAAGCAAATTGACAGCGAAAATTTCGAAATTTCCGTGCAAATATAAAGAATGGAAATCATTAAATGCAGTTCAAATAAAGTAAAAGAACATTCAAATGTTTTGTAAATGAAGAAATAAATCAAATCTATGGATTAAACTTCCATTTCAAAGGCAGACAAATGGCTTAAATTATAGCCTGTTATGGCATCCAATTAGTTAACAAAACGCCAAGTCGCGTATCTGCTTATTAGAGTCACTTTTGGATATGGTTTACTGCTATCAAACTGCTGGCAGCTGTGGGGCAGGAAGTCGGCCAGTTATCTAATGGAAATCGGTATGAAAATTCACTTAGTGTTTTAGTGTTGTTTTTCATTCGAGCTATAAAAGGAAGCCAATGGTGGCATAAAATCGAAATAAAGATCCCGTCAATCAATTGATTTTCAGTTAACAAAAATCGAAATGGTTATGGATCTGTGGCAACAATCGAATGGTTGCCCCTGTGTTATCGTTTAGCCATCGAGCTGGTTAACTAGCAATTAATCGAGTCATGAAAGGCAAAGACTCGGCATAGCCAACACTTGAATCTTACAGTGGCGAAACGCACTGTTTAACTGGTGACCTTGAAGCAACTCTTTCTCTCTCTCTCTCTCTCTCGCTCTCTCTGTTTGGTTTGTTTCCTGGCCAACGAAAGAAAGTAATCCAAGCACTCAAAGAAATGCAAATCCAATCGCTGAAAACTTTCATTAATTCGTTGGCACTAATTCCCGCGGGCCGCGGCACAGCCTCACTTTTGCTTTTTGGTTTGCACACACACACACACACACAGGCAGATACAAGTGCATACACACACAGATACTGCTGCAGACACAGCTCATAAATACAATTTTTTAAATGCCGCCTTGGCAGCAACAAAAACTTTCTCCGCTTTCGTTGCATTATTTCTTGGCTGCTTTTTCTCTCGCTTTCGTTTGCTGCGCTGCAGTGCTGCACCCTATCCGATCGGATCGCACATCCTATCCCCCATGCCATGCCATACCATACCGTTCAGACATCCCCCACTGGCCCACGTTTCATGGCTAAAACGTGTTTTGGTCATTTTGTTTGTTCGCAAAACAGCCAGAGGCAGTGGCAGTGGCAGAGGCAGAGAGGCACAGCCATGCAAGACATGTCTTGGCCAGTCCGAGAGAGCCGCCAATCGAAAGCATTTCTAATGTGAAATCGAAGCATGCAACGCAAAAACAGCAAACGGCAAACGGAAAATGCCAAAAATCGAATGCCTACGATGCCAGCGACCATAACGAGAGAAAGATTCCGCCTAGCGGGGGTGTATGCGATACGAGGGAGTGGCCAGGTAAATCAGCGGTGCCAGTAGTCCGGTTCAAGCAGGCGACATTTTACCCATAGATGGAGCCAATGCTTCGGGGCAACTCCATCTGCAGCGCTGCAACTCAGCCACTCTTGTGGGTGCCGCCAGAGACGAATGCAGGAAGTGCATTGCGATACCAGAGACGACAACGACGTGAGAAAGCCAAAAGAAATGGCAAAGGTACTGCCAACAGTTAAAGGAAAAGTCAAGGAAAAGCCATGCCATGGCAAAAGCCATCGCGGATGTCAATGCGGAAATGCAGCTAAAAGCTGAAGTTGTCGTGAAATGCCTCTAAATGAATCGTTTTGCTTTTGGCTCTGGCTCTGGCACTGGCACTGGCACTTTGAGTCTTTTAGTTGAAGTTTTCGTTTGAGTTTTAGTTTTACTTTTAGTTTCAGTTTCCGTGATGGTGCTGTTAACCCTTGGCTGACAAACTGCTGACGCCCCAAAACAGATAAAACAGCACTCAACGCTGGCGCCAAATTGTAGGGGAAGCCTCCCGTCTGACCTTTTAATGGCGCAATTACGTAGACCGATTTCCACCTTGTGGCAGGCCCTCACAAAAGATTTATATATAGAAACACATATATATATGTATGTATATATGGATGAATACCTCTTCTCAATCGTATACATATGTATGTTAAATGTTGGATAATTGCTAAGGTTTGTTTTTTGTTCGTTAGTTTGTTTTTCCTCCTGCGCTTTTTTGTGTGTGTGTGTTTTTTTTTTTTTGCTGCCATTGTGCGCGGCTTCCGTTTTTTTGTGCCTCTCTGCCTGGAAAACTTTTCAATACTCGTCGTTCCCCCACGCAGAGTAGCTGTGCATTGAGGCGTTGCAAATGGCTGTGGGGCGTGGCACATGTTCATCATCATCAGAGGCAGCGGCAGCGGCAGTGCCAGAGCCCAGAGGCAGCTACCAGATACCCAGCAAAGTCTCTCATCAGCGCCAGCTTTTTTTTTTACGCAATGCACTGCGATCTTCTCTGCCCCTCTGCGCACCCTTCTCCATCATTAGTTTCGGCCACTTTCTTTTGTCCCAACGGATTTTTAATTAAGTCCCCCACTAAATCATCTTCGTTGCGTAACCCCCGTAAACCTGTAAACCATTCCCCCACCCCAACCCCCCCACACAGTTGTGGGTCAGCATTTGGATTATTAATCACGCAAGAAACACAACAAACATTAAGAAAGGGGAAATTAGCCAAATGATGGAACTGCTGGAGCACCTCCCCAGGCCCCCAAAAAAGGGTTCATTAAACCGCCACAAACGAACAGCAGCAAAAAGCAAAATTTTTCGCAACGAAAGTTAATGAAAAAGAAATTATAAACATTTTATATATAAAAAAAAAAACCAAAAACTAAAAGCCAAATTGAAATTCACCGCGACCACCGCGAAACACACAAATTGCGCATTTTATTTCCTTTTCCTAGCGCCAAAAACAGCACTTAAAAAACTTAAAAAACTCAACCACAACTAGCAATGCGAATGGGAATGGAAATGAGGTCTTCAAATTAAATTCAGTTCAAAAATAAAAAAAAATGAAAAAGAAATGTTAATGTGTAGGAAATAAAGTGAAAATTGGTTGATTATAATATGAATAATTTTGTTTTTAATATATAATATTTACTATATGTGATATTTGGCGAAATAATTTGATTCAATTCGAATTTGGAGTTTTTAGAGCGTGAAAAATTTGAGGAAACTGTACTAACATTGGGGGATTCCCTGTGTCCTTCAGCAAATTAGAGTAAACCAATTTAAATATAGATAAATCGAATCATCTAATGGGAGAGCCTGGCTGCTATCTGGTATATAAAATCATTTTTCATGATGCTCAGTTTTTGGTTTTCCCATATCTTTAAAATTGTAAACTCCTTAAGTACCGCGTAGAAAAATCTCTTGTACAAATGCAACATATTCAAACATCGATTTATTTTATCTGTTTTTATTTTTTATTTGTTCTTCCAATTCTTATTTTTCCCATTTATCTTTTTCGAAATGTTTAAACAAAACTTTACATAATTATATGTAAATAATTCTTGGCCTTGCCATCCGAACACCGACTCGACTCCAACGATTAGTTCCGTGATGAAGATCTATTATAAAAAAAAAATGAACCTACAGCCGTAAGCCGTGTAGCTATGTTTACACATGTGCGGCTCCAGAGGCCCCATCAAATAATGAACAGGGCAAATATTTTGATTGAATATTTGTTATTACGAGTACATATCGAGAGCAGGGCAGCGAGCAGAGAGTCAAAGCAAAATCCCAAAATCAAAGTACGTAATACGGTAGGGCCAAAAATATTTAAACAGTTTTCGGTCGATGTGTTGCCCCCTCTGGCAACAATGATTCAACTGATTTTCCTTTTATGCCTCCTCCATCCATCCATCCATCCATCTCTTACCATTTCCCACATCGAATGCACGCCCCCATATTGCGTATACGCCCTGGTCTCAGTGGCAGCTGCAGAAGACGCTGCCTGAATGCACTTGGCTGCCTGGCTGACTGGCTGGCTGACTGGTTGGTTGTGCGGTTTTACCTGACTTGGCCGACTCTTTGTTGACTTTTTAGATTTGCTCTTTGCGCTCTTCTTCTGCTCGAAAGCCGCCTGCTAAATGAGTGGGATTACGCAATGGACGCACATGAGGGGTCTCTCCAAAAGCGAAGAAAAAAAGAAACAGGTAAACGTAATGAGCACACCAGCACCAGCCGAAACACTAGAGGCGGCCAAAACCACACCAATATTGATATTTTTCGGCTGAGGATTTCTTTTTTTTTCTCAAGTATTCGGGGCGACTCTCGAGTGTCCGGCAACGACACCTACAACTTGCAAGGCGATACGAAAATTGCATTTCGTAAGAGCCAGCCAGATAGTCCAAAGAAACCGAAAAAGATACAACCAAAAATATGCCCATTCATCGCACATTTTTAATGTGCATAAATTAAAAATAATCAAAATGCATTAACATTTGTTTAGTTAGCTCAGGGCACGGCCAAGACCCCATGCTCCATGCTCCATGCCCCATGCCCATCGCAGAGCTCCCAAAGTGTTTATGTAATCCCTTTGCACTGACGTCTGGTGTTTTGGGGTCTACTGGGGTCAGGCCATCAAAACAACACAGAGGAAGAAAACTATACAAAAATGTATACATAAAAAAAGGTTCATGAATAAAGATGGGGCAGATGGGGACGCCCTTTTCGTGTCAACACTTTGCCACCAACAAAATCTGTGATCTGTGATATGAAAATTGAGGGATTAGCTACCCTTGGACCTCGTACTCGTACTCGCACTCTTACACTCCAGTCTAGGCCTAACACTCGAGGGAGCTGCTCAATTGAATTCCAATTCGTAAAAACTCAATTTCCATTTCCATTTCAAATGCAAAAGATTGACCATCGACCATCGACGAGACGCCCACGAGAGACCATTTTTGAACTTAATTGTTTATGAAAATACTTAATTGAAATAACAATTGCTTTAAGCATTCACAAGTGTGAGGCAGCCACGAACAAAAGAGCTCGTCTAATCAATCTCCACACACACTTGCAACACACCATTTTTATTTTTATTTGTATTTTTAACGAGTGCCAGTACGGGCACGGGTACGGGTATGGGTACGGGTATATGAAAGGAAGGCTATCTTCACCTCGACATTTGCCCTTGCAGAACAGTTTCATATTTTCGATCGGTTGCAACCTGTGGATGGGTTCGCTTTATTTTTGTGGGTTTATCGCTAAAGTTGTATCTTAATTCAATATATAGGCACTCGTATTTTGAGATTGAGGGAAGGTTGCAGATAATTAACATGTCTGATAAGTAGTTTGAAAGTAGTGTCATTTGTTACCCCTCACAACAATTTGCACTTTTTTCTTTCCAGCTTGGTAAAAATAATCAAAGTTATTAACGTAAAGGAAGCCCCCTTATATGGATTCCCATTTATTATTTCAGCAATATTATTAATCCTTACAACCGGCTCCTTTTTGTCTGATCAACAATCTTTTGCTTAGAAACAAATATATCTTTGCAGTTGATGTAAGCAAAGATTATTTTTTAAGTAATTCCGCTTTTTATTTTTCTTTTTTAGAGTTTAAAATCTTTTATTTAATATATTTTAAATTTATAGTGAAAACCCATTTAACTGATCTTAATTTTATAAAGGTTCTGCTACGAAAAGCATTTTCCCCTAAAGCATTTTCCTTCAGTCTCCGCTACACACTCCGCTTTAGCTTCTACTCGAATGCCATAAACCATTCCAGACAATCCCATAAAACCATTTCCTTTCTCTGCCGCAGATGACAAACATTTTCTGGCCCACTTGAAATGCAAAAGATTGCCCAATGCTGATGTGGTTGCGCCTCTTCTTCGGGCCACATTTGGCCTGGCCGACCGACTGCCCGGCTGGATGGCTGGCCAATTGTTTTTTGTTGGCCAGCAACCTGAATGTTTCTTGTGTTGCCGTTGCACCGGCGATTGTTGCTTCGTCTGCTGGCAGTTGGTAAATAATTGGCATAGATTTATTTTGGCTAGTTGGCAATTTTTTTTTGCCCGTGAGTGAATTGGAACCGGGGTTTGGGGGTTGGGTGTTCGGTGTATGGTGTGGCCCGTATGTACGGGTAATATATGCTGTAAGTATGGCTGGAAAACTTACCCACATCGCTGGGGCTTAAAATTTCCGCTGAATTTCGGCTTTCCCCGTCACCGACGGCGGCTGTTGCTGCTGCTGCTGTCGCATTTTGTTGCACTCCCAGTTGAAGTTGCCTAGGCTCTCTGCCTCCCTCTGCTCCCGCTACCGCTCCCGCTGCCACTGCCACTGCTGGCTGTCTAATTGCACCATTTGTTGCATTCGTCTGCGTTTCACTTACTGTCGTCGTCGATGTTGCTGCTGCTGCCTCAGCCACCAACAATGCCACCAAAAACAACAACCAGCAACAGCAAAATGATTCATTGCTTCGATGAATTTTCATCGTAAGCCAAGCATACAAATAAATATCCCAAAATTATAGTTGGCTTTTGCTTTTGCTCTGCTTTGCTGTTTTGCTGTTTGCTGTGTGTGTTTCGTTGATTGTTTTCTCTGCTTGCTGATTTTCTATCTGGTTTTCTATTGTTCGTTTTGCACACACACAAATACACACACGCGGGTTTTCCAATTTTCCACAATTGTCTTGTAGAATGGAGCTGCTCCTCCTCCGCCTCCTACTCCGCTGCTCAGCTTCTCCCCTTTCTCTGCTGTTGCAGTTGCTGCTGCTGATGTTGCCGATGTTGCCGATGCTGTTGCTGCTGCTGTTGCGTGCAATAATTCAAGTCGTGCTGTCGACTTATCTGTGCTGCTGCTTTGGGAAATCGTACGCCTGGCCGTTGCTGCTGCGGAAGAGAAGAGAAGAGACGAGAAGAGAGAGAGAGAGAGATCGGAGTACATTAGTGAAATGTCGCTTATTGGTACACAAATAGTTGAAAAGGAATGAGAGGGAAATCAGTGGAATAGAAAATCTATTTTATGCAGGAAGCTAAGCGGCTATATACAGTGCGTTACAGAACTATAAATGTGGTTTTTAATGTACTAAAAATTAGGTAGATATTTGAATTGAAACAGTGTTGGAATGACTCATTAAATGAACATTTATTCACGTACTTTAAATGTTGTAAATTAATGAACAAATTTGGAATCATTTTCCCCAAATAATAAATCGCAACAACTAAGAAAGTCAATGTTAATATATTTATGTCACTTTCAGTCAGCGAACGAGCATAGAATTATCATTAGCATAAATGATCTAACGTCTATCGCACAATTGCAATCATCAGTCAATGAAAAACATTAGAAATATCGCAACAATTTGATTATCTATTTAATTATCACATTATTCAATCAATTGCCAGAGTTATACAAGTTATCCAATTGTGTAATTTTCACGCTTCTACATTACAGTAAATTGCCTGGGGTTTTTTCCCCTTATGGTATTGAAACGCACCTTAAAAGATTGGCCACTTAGGGTCAGATTTATGTTGCTTAGATGTACACACATATTTGTACAACATACAAGCCAGAGATAACCCACAGCACAGCAGCCATCACTATACAGAGCTCTATAAGCCGCTTGGCACCGACTGACGGACCGACGGACTGACACGCGGCCATCACAGGGGCAGTCAAGCCAACCCAAGCCAAGCCAAGCCAACCATCAATTATAATTCGCGGTAAGTAAGAGTGATAACTGAGGTCGCCGATCCGATCCATGCCTGATCCAAAGTAACAGCCGCCTGTACAGGCCAGCGGTTCAATAAAATCCCAAAGCCAAAGCCGAGGCGGCACGCATACGCCCTGTTGTACATACACACGAGGTTTGACAGTATTTTCAGCTTTTTGTTATTTCGCTGCGTCGTCGTTAGACCATTAAAACATAAGCAACTATGTATGAATTTTTTATGGCAATGTGTGTCATTGCCTGTTGGGGAATCAATTAAAACACATCGTCGTCGCAAAGGAGAAGCCCAAGTGTTTTGGGGGCCTTTTTTTTTGGCTTGTTTGCAGCGCGGCTTGCGCAAAATTACGTTGAAAATTTCACTCGATTTGGTATGCGGCATAAATGGCACTGGCTACTGGAGAAGAGAAGACTCCGCCATTCAGTGGGTGCGGCCAGGTGATTTTGCGTAATGTTTGAAAGAAAGAAAACCACAAACAAGACCATAGTGAGGGTCAGCGTTTAGTCAGCATTTTCTATTCTATTCTTTGTCATGCTGATGAGCAACACGCAGCGCCAGACAAAGTCCCAAGTCGTAGTTATTTCTATTCTTTTACATCCAAAGAACCTTTCTCGCTGATGAGCAAAAGCGTAGAAACCAAAGTTCAATGCACGTTTTAGCCATAGCCGAATGTCTTGCCAGTTCTTTGCTGCCTTTGGCAGTTCCCATGATTAATTGAGGCAAGCAGGATGCTATGGCTATGGCTATGGCTGTGTAACAAAAGTCGAATAGAAAGAAATTTGCATGAGAGATTATGATGATGGGGTTATGATGATGATCAAAGAACAGTCGCAAAAAGACACGATAACCATTTTTTAAATTATATATTTCTCGTTATTCTAGCTATAATTTTGCCTGGCGGCTCATTAAGTTCGCTCCCAGTTTAATTATAAGAAATGCCATTGACTCGCTCGTTCTCGGTTTCTCTTTATATGATTATATACATATATTTTTTTTTTTATTTTTTTGTTAATTTGTTATAACATCAGCGTTCTAAACTTAACAACCACAAAGCGCGCAATAAGATTACAGACAAGTAAATGGCTGACTGGGTGGAGGAGTGTGTGTGTGTAGACTGGACTGGGGAGATACCCATTGATGGTTAACCGGACAGGGGCTTAAAAATTCTATACAGAGTCGGATATGCCTCAAAAAGAAGCTGCGAAACATAAGGAATGCCCCAAAGCTCCAGCTTAGAATCATTTTTTTTTTTTGTCAAAAAAATACTTTCGAGTGGCCTTACAATTGGATGAGTTCCAAAGTGGTTCTCCGGCTGTTTGTTTCGGACTCTTACGATGATTGATAAAGTGACAAAATGAAGGAACCCAAAATCAAAAAATTTTGTAAGTCCATTTGGCCACACTTGAGAGAGGCCGAGGCGTGCGAAAGAATTTTTTGGTTCGGTCGAGGTGGGCCATAATAGAATTCCCCCCATCTCGAAACCGCCCACACAAACTGTTCCATGCGATGTTGGGGTTCGCTTTTTGTTTTGTTGTTGCTGGTGGGGCCCTCTCGCTCTGTGCCATTGTGTTAAACAATGGGTTAAACTTGGCCACAGCTGATTAAACATGCAAATTGGCGCTTGGGAAATCGTGGACGAGCAGAGACACGACACGGCCGGCTAAAAATGTTTTTATCAAACGAGCGATTTTATCAGTCGGCGGTAGAGATCGCAGCGGATCGCATAAGACAAAACAAATGCAAATTTTATTGCCAGTTTCTGAGGCAATCAATACCTCAGCTGTGAGTGCAAGATCGCAAAAAAAAAAAAAAGGAGTGAACCGCTTAGTGGGAGACGACACTTAGTGGGGGCGTAGTGCCATATTTAACTAAGATTTGCTGGATGGATTAAGTACGCTAGTCAATCGCTGGCATTCCTCATTGTTTGTTGGCTATGCTAATTGGCAGGCAGGCGCCGATAAAGTCTCTACCGGGAATGTCTGGCATGTGGCGCTGCATCCCATCAATTATTGATGCGGTGGGGTAAACAATTAGAAAGCACCCGACAACAGTTGGCTAATTATAACCATGCAATACTGCCGGCCGGCCATACAGCGCCCAAAGGTCAGGCTTAACCAGCTAAGATCTGCCTCTTATTAGTGCTGGAAAATTCAATTAAAAATTTCCATGCAACTTCCTTTCGGGAAAATATAGACATTAAACTTATAAACTCATTAAAAATTAGTCGCAAAATTGTTGCCCAGAGTGTCTGTCTTGTCTGACTATTTCGAGAATTTTGTCAGCCATGAAGGCCTGCGTTTTCCCTGAATGTTTTTTTTTTTTGTGTCTTTCCAAGCCACGCATGACACACAAAATCGACAGAAGATGTCGTCAACTTCCTCTTGCGCGTAATAAAATAATTATGTAGAATAAATATGAAGTAACTTTTGAGTACTGAGTGTTGAGTGTGTGTGCCGACATACATTTAATAATACAAATAGTGCATAATTTAGTCATACACTCGGCGTACTATGGCAGCACTCAAGTCAAGTCGAATCAAGTCGAGTCTCAATCTGAGACCGAGTCCAAGCGTGCATTAGAATAATTAACCCTGAACCCAGGCGGCGGCACTGGCACTCACGTATTCTTATGAGAATATACTCGTAATACTATGCCTGCTCGCCCCATTGTTGTTGGCCCACTGTCTATAATGGTTTGACTGGCGAATTTTTACACGTTTGATTCTCGGAATCGAGGCATGCTCTCCCTCTCTCTCTCGCTCTCTCTCGCTCTCTCTCGCTCTGGACTGTGTGTAAAGTGAGCAAATATTTGGCAAGATTTTTCGGGTTTTTATAAGTGGATTTTTGCTAATAACTACGGCAAACTTCAAGAAGTTGGGACTCTCCCACATGGTTGGGTTTAATATTCGCCCCCTCGGGGCCTGTACTTTTCGTTGCTGCGTCCACAACTCCTGTTTGTGCAAGAGTTTAAAAGGCGCTGAAAATTAATGGGCAGGCACTCAACAGTGTTTTATAGCGGGGTATACGGAGGGATACGAATTTGATTGAAAATGACAGTTAACGTGCCGGAGCAGTCATTACGGCAAATTTGCAGTTTGCGGTCAGGCAATGTGTGTGGAGTGTGTGGAAAGTGGATGCTGATGTGGATGATGATGGGCAATTTGCGTGTGTGTTATGTAAAGGCTAAAGGAAAGCGCAAGTGACAGCCCCAAGGGAGAACGAGAGAGACAGAGAGAGGGAGAGATAATTATCGGCTACGATTAGATAACATGCTCACCGCAAGAGCAGGAAAATTGAAACACAATACCAAACAATATTTGATTACTAGCTAAATCAGCTGGATAAATTAATCTCGCATATGGCTAGCAGCATAACAGAATTTATGACAGCTTAAAAGAAATTAAGACACATGCCTCTCCCTCTTCCATACATAGCCTTTCCAATGATCTAAGACCATCTCGATTTAATGTGGGTGGAAGTGGGACAGGGAGTGCTCTCCATGCACTTCCCACAAAGCATTTTCCCGCTCTCCGTCTGCTGCAATTTGCGTATTCTTTTGTCAAGCTCAAGGCTCTCCATCCAACCAACTCTTTGTGTCGCTCGCATTTTGCATTTAAGGTGCCGCTCGAAGAGCCGCGTGGGTGGATTTAAGAGAAGTTTTTGCTCAAGTGGAGGCTGCTTTGATCGTTTTACTATGCTGACCGATTTATTAGGAATTTCTAGACGCGCCCATGAGTCACCCGCCTCGAGCTAAAAAGGTAATTAAGCTAAAATACCCATAAACACGCCCGTTAGCCCGTTAGAGTCAGTCGGTGGTCGGTGTGCCAAGTCGCTTAATTAGCGCAAAGTGCACGTGCCGCGCCCCAGCCCAAGTGCCATGTGCCCTCCTAACAGTACCTTATCGTTTGCATAGCCAATTGGCTTGCAGGCCACTTCAGTGAGTCACAAAGCAGCAGCAGCAGCCACAACAATCACTGTTGCATAACGAAGACCAACAACTGGCGGCTAACTAGCGACTTAATGCTCCATTGGCGTCACATTAGCAGCTCCGTTAGCATCCATTTCCAATGCAATTAATGCTGCTGTTGCTGCTGCTGCTGATGCTCCTCTCCGATGCAGCGCTGGCTCCGGCGTCCGGTTACCAACAAAACAGTTGATCCGTTTTCCATTTACCGGTTCGGTTCGAAGCGGTCTCGTCTCTGAATGTCCGTCTGGCTGTCTGTCCCATCTGTCTATTTGCAATTGCCACTGTGTTATGGTTATGGTCAACGGTGCGGCTGGCCAAACAACTTTTCAATTTCAGCAAAATGTTCACACAGTTTTCATTTTGCATTCACTGTCTCTCGCTCTTCTACCTACCTCTCTGTCCCCCCTCTGTTCTGTTCGTGTTTTTCCATAAGTTTACACGATTTATGATAAGTTTATTTTTAAATGTTAAACAAGCTGCCCAACAATGCAGTGCAAAGTTCTAGCTCTAGCTTCGCAGTGGAGGCGTGGCAACCCACCAACTCCCCAGTGACCCAAGCTCTGATCCGGGCTAATGAGCTCGACCTCTGGCCTTTGTTTTCCCTACGGCCCATACAACTGCGGCCCGGCTCTTGGCAGACACATTAGCTACGCTCCAATTATTGCAACGATCGGTGGCAGTTGGCAAATTAGAACGGCAAGGTGATTCAATTTGCTTAAAGCCAAAGACAGACCCAGAGCGAGACCCAGAGCCATAGCCATAGCCATAGCTGTAACCATACTCCGGTTCCAGTTTCAAGCTCTGGCTGGCAGACTCTCGGAGGTCACCGGGGAAATATGAAAAAAATGCATTGGCCATTAATAAGTTTATTGGCGGGCTCTCATAAAAACCCCAGAAACACACTAGCACGTACAGAACAAATAGCAGCAACAACGACAACGACAAAAACAACATGGACTGGCGACAGCGACAAGATTAAACCTGTTCTGCGACAAGTGCGCCTTGGTACGCGACTGTCCATGTCCATTACAGTTAGAGACATGGCCACAGAATGCACTCGACCAGGGCACAGTGGGTCAAATTTTCAATGACAGTTGAGACCAAAAGTTGGAATGAAAATGCGAATAAAAATAAATCTATTTTCGCTCTTAGAAATTTATGGAAAAAAATAAGTAGAGAAGAGTAGAGTAAGCTGTAGTGCTCCTCTCTTTCTGGCTACTTTCGCTCTCTCAACTGGTCAATTAGCAAACAAACTAAATGCGTAAGCAAGAAAGTAGAGCTTAATCATCTTTTCTCCCTTTCTCCCGCCAGTCCCTCATCCCGCCACTCTCCGAAAGCACTTCTAAACTCTAAATCCATTCCAGAATTTCGTTGTGCCACTGTACCATCTGCAGTATGGCCTGCTGCAACAGTTGTTTTTGCCTGGAACCTTTTTTTTTGCTTGTGGGCCCGGTTTTGGTCTGCTGTTTTTTGTTGCTTTTTTACTGTTTTGTTATGTATTTTTTGTATTGTTGTTGTTGTTGCTGCTTTTTGTTGCCAATTGCTCATTGATGTCTGTTTGCTTTTGGTTTTAGTTTCGGCTCTGGCACCGTTACAGGCTTGCACTCTCCCGCTTTAAAGTTCAAAGGTGCCAAAGTCTGTCTGTGGGGATTGCTGTGCTTTTAGTTGTTGTTGCTGTGTGTGTCGTGAGAACCAAACGTTGGATTTGGCTGGCTACCCGTGCAGTTGGTCAGTCCTTTGAGAGTGCCTTAAAATATGTTTAAACTCACTTTAGCTGCCATTTGTGGATGCGCGAGGGGTGTCCGCTCAGGTGTCCGCCAAGTGCAGGGGCCCGTCCGTGCACACGCATTCAGTGCAGACAGTTAGTCATTTGTTTACTCTCCACCTCTCTCTGGTCACCTCTTTCTTAGCCTAAGCCGAGCTTTCGCGCTGCTCTATGAAAGCGCCGGAGCGGGACGACAATAGACACTCTCGGGGTGGTGCCCAAAAATAGAAGACGATACGACGATACTCAACTCCGCAACGTTGCTTTACATAAACTTAACCGATTTCTGCGCTACGGCACAGATACAGATACGAGTACAGATGCACTGCAATGACAATGCTGGCTGTAATTAATTTCGTTTCAGGCCAAACAAATAATAACAAATTTCGCATTTCATTTCGCTTCGTTTCATTCACAGCGAAATCGGGCTGGTTTATTTATGCATTTGACCCGCTTTGTGGCTTTGACAAAACAACCGAAACAAACCGAAACGAGTTGCAACAATACGATTCGAAAAACACGGCTCTGCTGGCTGCTGGCTGCGGCTGTTGTTTTCTTGGAATTTCGATTCTACGCAAAAAAAACTTGTTGCCCGTTTTGTTTATGATTTTTCTTTTGCACTTGCTTTCGGTTAATATTCTGGCACACACACAAACAAACACAACCACCATCAATGCACAAACACACATACACACACACACACACTCTGATTGATACGCACGGATCAGGGCCCGCTCTTGGCTAAGATATATTCGTGAATATCGTGAGGTTATTCGGTTGCGCCCGCGCTCTTTCAGCACCCACGAAATTTTTTTTTTTTTTTGTTTCTCTCTCACGGCGGTAATACTCGTATCTCCATCTGCATATGGATATTTTCGTATTCAACGGAACTACTTTTCTGAATTCGGAGCAAAATTCGGCACTATTTCTGTTGTTACTTGTCCGCGGCCCGCTAATAGATTGAATTCCACAGTGCTTCCATTATTCCCACTGTACCACCCGACGGATACGTCATGTTGCCCAATGCTACCTGCATGTTGCTCGGAATCCGTACTCATGTTGCTTCTAAACCGGTTTACAGTCCTAGGTATTGTTGAGTATAGAAATTTCTATACCCTATCTGCTCGAATTAAATTACAAATCCCCCTTTCCCAGCTACTTCTCAATAACGCAATAATGGATCTTTGTCAGATAGCTGTGCTTATTCATGGAAGAAGGTCATAACAAAAAAAGATTTCCTTGTGATAGATTTCCAACTGGGAGACTATTTTGCAGACGCGTCTATTCATTATCGAATATATGTATACGTTTTTATTATATATATATATACATCTTATGGTGGTCGACGAACAACTCGACTTCATACCATCCTCTGTTTTCTAGGGTATTCAAATGTTGCCCAAAGATGCGGGAATGAGAGAGAGAGAGAGAGAGAACACGCTCTGAGAGAGCAGCTGATCTTTTAGTGTTGAGTAGCACCGATCACATGGCTTTTGGCAGAGCGGTCTCTAGCGGAATTAATTGGTAACTAACAGCAAAGCTTTTGGCAGTTGTAAATTGAATTTAATGATAAGTCCAACTCTAGCATTTCAAATTAATATGATGGTATTCAAAAATAAAAATAAAAAAATAAAATACATATGTGCATAATTAAGCCGTCGGCAGTCCGTAGCGCCGCACCGTTCCGTTATTTCCATATAAACACTTAGAGTCGCCGATTTGTGAAGACAAAGAAAGGGAAACCCCATAAATAGATACATACATATGTACCTACACTACATACTTATACACCACACATACAAATCTAGAGAGACGAGTGAAGGGTACACAAATCAGAAGGTATGGTCACAATATGAAGCCGGCCTAATTATGCTGTTCAAATATATATGTATAAAAGCACCTAACTCGAGTGACCATACCTTGTTATAAGTAAAGCCTGAACAAAAGAAAACAAAATTCTCGCTCTCCAATACGTTAGGTCCCTCAAACACACAACACACAGATCGAAGGCCACTGGAAAAAAAGGTTGTGCTGACGCTGTTTTTTTACAGTCCGCTGAAGGCGAAAGAAATATCATTTTGAATTAAAAATTGAACGCGTTCGGTGTCGTCAGATTCGGGTTATTAAATATCCCTGCTATTTTGAACGTAAGTTGTCCGCGTACACAAAAAAAAAACTGCAAAAACTGCTGTACTTAAACTATAAAACTCCAAAGAACAAAGACCCCCAAAGAATCAATGGTATTTAAATTGATTTAAATAATTTAAAAAACGAATTAAAAAATGTAAATTTAATCGATGTTTAGATACAATATACCGATAGGTCGATATAGGACTCAATCGATGTATTGAAGCCGCTGCCACATTCAATTGAAAGCGTGGTTAAATACAAGCTGTGCGCATTAAGGAAGAAAACATCAAGAAAACGAGGAAATAAAGTAAGTTTATATACAAATAAATAATAAATAATACGTACATAGACATCATGCATTCCATGCACAGATATCCAGCTACGAAAATGAGCGCAAATGTAAACGAAGCGTCTTCCCCAGGTACCACGATGGGTACCAGCACCGACGACATCGATCTCGTGGTGCTGGATATGGGACGCCTCTGCATGAACGAACTCTACTCGGACGTGGAGTTCTTGGTAGAGGAGCAGCGGCTACCGGCCCACCGCAACATTCTGGCGGCGCGCAGTGAGTACTTCCGTGCCATGCTCTACGGGGACATGGCCGAATCAAAGGAGCGGGAAATTCGATTGGAGGTGCCAGTGGAAACATTTAAAATGATCATGCGCTATATTTACACGGGCACTCTGCCACTGTCCACACTGGCCGTGGAGGGCATTATAGGTGTGCTCGAATTGGCCCATCTGTACGGATTGCAGAACGTCGAAGCGGCCATAAAGAAACATCTGCAGCAGAATCTGGCCGTCAGCAACATCTGCATGATCCTGGATGAAGCGCGCCGATATAGTATGGACGAGCTGACCAAGGAATGCCTCAATTTTATGGACCGCCATCCGTCCGATCTGCTAAACCAAGAGTCCTTTGAAAGGCTGTCTAAGGAATCACTTGAGAAAGTCCTACAACGGGACACCTTCGTTGCTCCCGAAGTTGAAATCTTTAAGACTTTATGCAAATGGAGGCTCTTCAATCCGAGCGTGGACATCAAGACTGTGATCTCACACATACGTCTCCCGCTAATGACTTTCAAAGAGCTGGTGTATGTGGTGCGGCCCACTGGCTTATTCGAGCCGGACCAAATACTCAACGCCATTGATCAAAAATGTTCCGGAAATATTCTGCCCCACCGTTGCACCAAAGACTCTATAGAGTGTTATAGAGACTTTGGTTGCACCGTGCTGCCTGGGGAGGAAGTAATATTCCACGGGCGTTATAAGTATGTAACTAAATCGCATCTCGAAGAGGGGTCCGTAATCAACTGTATGACCGTGACTGTTTCTGGTGAAGGTAAATGGAAGGTATTTGTAAATAGCTCCGACATCTGGATCTTGGTGAATACTTTCGATTCGGGGCCCAAAGGACTCACGAAGGAAATCCACTTTAAGAAGCGTCCCGTAGGCAAAATTTCTATTTATAGAATTAATACAAGCTCGAATACACTACCTGAGGTGAAGATCATTCCCAAGTATACTGTGTAGTTCTGTGACTGTAACAGCAGCGACTCCTGGAGTGAGGGTCTGAGCTCTGGCTACCCTTTTAATATATATAATTTCTTATTATGATTAAGTTCAAGTTACTGTAGTCGTGTGAAGTTTCAGTGGAGTTAATTTTATAACGGAGCAGAGGCAGTCTTTCTTTTATTTTCTTTAGCCAGTTGCGGAGTTCAGTACGTTTAAAATATGTAACTATATTTTTAAGTTTTCTCGGCTATTTGTGGACGTGCCCACGCCGTTGTGTGACCGGCAGTATAATTTTTTTATATTTATCCTTTTCCACGATACCCCAATTTCGGGTGTATTCGTTTTCTCTGCCCTTTGCTGTGCGTGCTTTCAGCCCTATGCTGAAACTCGAAAGGCTCGAAATAATGCCCGAAAACCAGATGGCCTCCGACCTTAAAGACAACTCAGCTATAAAAAAAAATAAATGGTATAAATCCAATTAAAAATATATTTTAAGAGCGTACAAAATGTACCCACAAGTTAACCTACAGAATCCTGTAGTCAGTAATTAAGCGACGCAGTCAAATAAAATTAATCCAAACTTACGCAAATGTTGCACAAAGTCTTAAAATAAACCATGATCCCATCTTAAGCGGAACCCTCTTAAGAAACCACTAAAAAAAACTACCGTTTGATTAAAGCTTTTGAATAATGGAAGGCAAGGGCCAAAGAAAGAGCGGGAGCAAGGGTATGGATTTGCGTGTGCCGAAGTCGAATTGGATATTCGGCAACGAAAGTTCCAACAAGGGAGTCTCTCTCTCTCTCTCTCTCTCTCTCTCTCTCTATTTCTCTCTCTGCCTGTGCACCTTTTGTTGATCTTGAGACGGAATTCGAAATTCCAAATTGTTGATTTATCTCTGAGGTCTCCAGATCTCGGGTGCTGGCTGCTGCTGCGACTGCGCGTCGACAGCGCAGTCCACTCACAATTGACCAGCGGGCGACCAAGTTTATAAAACTTTGAGCCAAAATGCAGCCTCGCACAGTTGTTTCCAAAACGCCCGATGCACGCGTTGTTGTCGTATGTCCGTTGGCCCTCGTTGAAATTTAAGCGAAAATGAAATTCGGTTAACGTCAACGAAAAACGAGTTGCAGGGCCACAAAAAGAAGAAGCAAAAGGCAGAAGAAACAGAAGCGAAGAAACAGACAAGTGGCAGTGGCCGAGGCGAAGAGCTAATCTGTTGTGCAGTGCGTTTTATCAGCGGCAGCAGCAGCAGCAACAGCAACAGCAACAGAAACGAAAACGAAAGTCGAAACACGCGGATCTTTGCTCTCGTAATGTCTCAATAAAAAGCCAAAACAAAAAAAGAAGAAAAATCCATCTCAACTAGAGCCGGAATGTAGTTAAAAAGTGAAAATAAATCAGAGGCACAAAGTGCTCTCCCCAATTCCCCAAGCAACAAAAATAATCAAATACTATACAAAAAAAGTAAGTGTCTTGAGTGCCGGAGATTCTAATACGGGGAACAGTGCTCTCTCAGTGCAAATACAACATGTTAATTGATGGATTCTATGGGCAGGCAGCATCGCGAGTGGGCAGACAACAGCCAGTGTAAAATCAGCATCTCCACTCTCTCTCTCTCTGTCTCTGTCTCCCGACTCCACTCAACACTACACTCCTCTTCACACACCAATTCGTTATGTAAAATGCAGATCAAACATATTTCGAAATTCCCCCCGCAACTACTAAACAAAGTCCATCAATGGGCGTCTCAGATTATGCAAAAGCCAACTTAAAAGAGCGCCTCTGAGGAAAGCGCTAACTATGCAAATTCGTTTAAAAGATCTCAATTGAAACCGTAACCGTATACCGCACCCGTATACCGCACCCGTATACCGTAACCGTATACGAACCGAACCGAACCGGAGCACAACCAAAGCCAAAGCCAATGCCGGACCACTGTTCGCCTAATTCTTGAACCGCATTTTTTTTTTTTTTTTGATTACGCTCATTATTTAGTCAAAATAATAATAAACAATAAGCATTTGGGCATTATTACGTACTTGTGAGAGTGTGAATGAATGAGTGAGTGTGTGAATGAGTGAGTGAGTGAGTGCGTCTGTCAAAGCCAAAATTGAACAAGAAAGATAGATAAGTCGCAGACTTTGATACCCTTAAATATGAATTGTTCCTGAAATGATTAGAGAGTGTAGCAAAGATTCCTTCAAAGACTTTTGTGAGATTAGAATCGCATACAAAAATCCCATAACTGCATCTCTCTTCTCATCCTTTGCCCACATCCTACCCAAAAATCAACATACCCTCCCCGCCAAGGGAATACAAAACGAAAGGCCAGCAACAACACGCTACAGATTGTGTGTGGTCAGGCGGCGGCGGCGGCGGCGCTGTCCGAATAAATGGAACTGCCTCTGCCACAGCACGCGCTGCAGCAGCGTCGCGTCGCTGCCCGTGCTCCCTTTTACACATGCACGCAGGCGCTGTACTCCACTCACTCAATCACTCCCAATCATAACCCACTCAAAGGCAAACAACTCAAACGGCGCTGGCGTCGCTGGGCGACCAATCAATTGAACCTTAGTCCCGTGCCCGGGGGTCTCTCTGTACCGGGGGTGTATCGGGCCTCTCAGTGCCGTCGCGCTGCCAGCCGGAATTGGGTTGAGTTTTGTTTATCTTCTTTTGTGGCATTTCGAAAAAATAAAAACAACAACAACAACAACAAAACTTTTACTCCGCTGGAAGCCAATATACAATAACAATAAAATGCAAAATTATTAACGCATGTGTTAAATGTTAATTATTGCATAAGCAGGCATGTCTCCATCTCTCTCTCTTTGAGTCTTTGGTTAGCGCCAGCTAACCAGCATATGTGTGTAACCCCGAAGCGGGGTTTTACGACTATTTAACCGGTAAACGAACCTCCAAGCCGTATGCGTAATATTCTATGAAAACAGAGGTGTGAAGGCTTCAGCGTAATGTTCTAAGACAACAGAGGAGTGGACCAATAGAGAGATGGCGAGGAAAATGGCACAGAGAGGAAGGACGGGTAGAGGTGCAATGTGTGTCACTGGGAAAATACTCGTACTACTGCGAAAACGTGCTTACCGCTTTTGAATGGTTTTTTTTTTGTTTTGTTTTTGAACGAAAGTTTTAGCCCCCAAAATAAAAATATTCAATTGGCAAATCAATTAACAAATATCAATAACAAATAACAGTTAGCCCCTGTCAGTGGCAGGACGGGGTGAGAGGTGAAGTAAAGTGAAGTGACCTTCAAACAGCAATCAAATAGCCAAACAAAAAATAAACGTGGCCCAAATATCAGCCAAAGCCAACCAATAGTAATACCAACATCAAATAAGCCAAGTAATAAGCCAAGGTAACATCCAACCATACAATAAGTACCTTGGCAGCAGAGCACATCATGGAGATCAGGCGGCGCACCTCTATGCCATGGCTGGCACTGATGCTCTGGCTGTGGCTTGGAACAGGCACTGCCAAGGGCGACATCAGCAATCAGAGCTCTACACAAAACACACATTGGCAACAGCAGCAACAACAGCAGCAGCAGAGATATCAAAGTCATCTGAATGAATCGCATACTTTGCCAGAGGAACCAACACCAACGATATCGATTGTGAGCTCTCCCCATGAGATGCATTTGACACGCACCTCCGTCATCTTTGGACTGACCAAGGTGCCCGCCAACGACAGCCAAGTGAGTCCCAAATGCCAGGGACAGCTGCGGCAGGTGCAGCGAGGAATACTCACCAAACAGCCATGGGCCATGAAAGGTGAGTGAATGACTGAGTTTCCATGTGGAAAATTGTACTGAGATTCCATGCAAAACACTGGGCTTACCCTAAACATGAGGGTTCCCCTACTGTATTCATTAGAAGAGTGATCTTCAATGATCTTAAATCCGTGTACTCCCAGTAAATATAATTGACAAGTTGCATTACTCAGTTTCAAGTTCATTCCATTGCCCCAAGTTTTATTGCAGTTTACTCCTTTTCTCCTCTGCGATGTGCGATCTTTAGTTTTACCCATAAATCAACCGTTTTCTCCCCCCGTATCTCGTTGCAGTTCTCGATGCTTCTGGAACGAAACCGTCTGGCTTTGTGTATGGCCAGAACTACTGGCTGGGCAGTCGTGAGGCGTGTCGCGGGGTGCAACGACCCGTCGGTATTACCCTCTCGAAGAACTTCGAACGGGTGATGCACTATGGGATCATCACACAGCAGGCGCCCTTCGATATGGACTACCGTGTGATTTACCTGAGTCACAGCTCGCCCTGGCAGGTGGAGATCAAGCTGATGTCCGAGCAGATCATTCACATTGGCCTGTGCCTGCCCAGGGCCTGCAGCTCGGAGGAGGTGAAGCATCTGGCCCAGGAGTATGTGAGCGGTGGGATGTTCACCGAGAGCGAGATCTTCGACATTCGCCCCCAGGTGGTGTACATGAAGGATCTGCAGCTGAAGGAGGTTTTCTTTGAGCGCCCCAGTTTCCGCTTGCTGGTGGCCTGTGTTCTGGCCACGGGCGCCTTGATGCTCTGCGCCCAGCAGCTGACGGCAGCCATAAAGGCACCAACATCGACTGTCGATGATCCTGGGCTACTGGCGCCGGCCGAGTCCGAACTGTGGCGGGCACTCCACTCTATGCTCCAGTGGCGGCGACTGCAGAAGTTTGTCGAGTGCTTCGATGTGCCCACGAACTGGGCAAAGATCTTCGCGGTGCGGGAGAACAGCCCCACTGAGATACCGCTGATGAACGGGCTGCGGTCAGTGTGCGCCATCTGGATCATGGTCTTCCATGTCGTGTGGTTCATGTACTTTACGGTGCACAACAAGACGGTTCTTGTATCGTATGCGGAGCAGGCCTTCTTCCAATACGTCTCCTCGGCCCCGCTGCTTGTGGATGTCTTCTTTACCATCAGGTGAGGTCCTTGATAGTCTGTGAATACAGAAGATACTTATTTATGCCCCCGTTTTAGTGGCTTCCTGCAGACCTTTAACTTTTTGCGCAACTCCCAGCAGATGGAGGCAGTGCGGCAGAATAGCCTGCGGCAGAATCTGAAGCTCTTTGGCAAGCTACTGTTCCATCGGTACCTGCGCCTGGGCCCGCTCTATCTGGTAGTGATGGCCACCGTGGATCTGGTGTACGCCTACATTGGGGATGTCTCCATCTACCACATCAACGAGCGCTTCGATGAGATGTGCTCCAGGCACTGGTGGCGTAATCTCCTCTTCATCCAGAACCTCTTCGATCACAGGGATATGTGCGCCAACTGGAGCTGGTCCCTGGCCTGCGAGATGCAGTTCTTCGTGCTGGCCAATGGACTGCTATTCCTCCATGTGAAGTAAGTGATTGATTGGATGTTTGGGACTAAGGCATCGCTTTAACCTCTTTCTTGCAGGCATCCCAAGGTAACCAAAGCTCTGGTGGCCTCCGCCCTCGCCTCGACCATTGTCTGGTCCTATGGCATCGGTGTGAGCATCAAGTTTCAGCTGTCCTTCGATGCCGCCTTTGCCACTGGCACTGAGATCTACACGTCGCCCTTTGTGCGGGTCCTTCCCTACATTCTGGGCGCCATCACAGCCTGGTGCCTCATGGAGCGACGCCTCCAGGTGGAGCTGAGCGAGTCCCGCGAGCGTCTGTACTGGCACTTCGCGCTGCTGGTCTTCTTCGGGTGCATCTACTCGACGGTGAGGCGGGATCTGGGCCCCCTGATGGCCATCACGCTATTTGTCATGGGCCGCCTGTTCTTCTCGCTGAGCGTCTGCTGGATGATAGCGGGCAGTGCCGGTGGGCGAGGTGTCTGGTGGTCACGCCTGCTGGAGGCCAAGGGCTTCCAGCATGTCAGTAGGCTGTCGTACGCCATTTATCTGCTCAATCCGTTGGTCATAGCCCTCTTCTACAGCCTCACCAGCTCCAGCACGCATGCGGATCCCTTCATGCTGGTAAGTGTTGATGGTTTTTGTGAAGGATCGCCACTGATCTCCAATGAATGATCTCGTTTCCAGTGCGTTGTGACCTGCGGCTTTGCTGTCATCTGTTACCTGGCTTCGATTCTCTTCTCGTTGGCTTTCGAGCTGCCGTACAGCAATCTATCCAGCCTGCTGCTGCGGCGAGACAGAGCCAGCACCAGCAAGCCGAAAGACGCCTAATAGATGCTAGCCCTTAAGTTAGATCGTTAAGGTCAACGCACACGCCTCCATCATCTGACAATTGTGATCGCTTTCATGTACAACTAAACTACTCATCATAATCGAAAACCTTAGTGTCTTAGTCTCTTGTCTTAGTCAAACGTATACCATAATAGGTACTATCTATACATATATATATATATATCTCGTAAATCGTACAGCGTACATCGTTCATGGGTGGCCAACATACTTAATACATATTTGTACGATTACTAACGCACTAGCTTTAGAATACATCCAGAACGTTATACGTATTATATCTATATCTTAATATACAATACTCGTATACGTATATTTTATGATCAGCCCATTAGATATACATATACTCTGCTTGCCACGTTACCCTTGGGTCACTTATTCAGCAACTCCTTTCTGATGGACTTTCCTGCGCCCTCAGTGTCATATGGACCATATGACCTGGATCTTTGAAGCTGTCGGTGCTTTAGATTTGCTCAATTGCCATTTGGTTGTCGTGGCCCTTGTAGGACGCTGATTGAGCGGAGATACAGCTGATTTTTTTGCACTTCGTTGGCGCTGCGTACGGGGTCCGGTCTGCCCCGGGTGGATGCGTCAATGCACTAGACCACCACGGCACCATCTTGGCAAAGGTGCTCATGCAACAGTCCTGTCATTATCGTTCTAGTTTGTGTTATGTTATCGTAAGCCTTCAGGGCAGGGACGAACACTTCCCACTCATCCAAGCTACTTTTATCCACATAGACTCATGGAACAGTCCCGGCTGCTGCTGCTATTCCCTTCACTGCTGTCAGCTAAAAAGGTAAAAATTAAATTATAAAACAAATGGAACGCTTTCTCGGAATCTGTTTACGTTCTTCCCAAAAGGATCCCACAGATTCCAGGTGATGTCCTAGCCATGACTGAGAATAACTGCTGTACTTTCCGGAAGGTGAGATTCAGTGGTTCCATCCTGCTGAATGCTGAATGTGTTGATTGGTTTTATTGTTTTCTTTACCTTAATAATTTATTGTACTTTTGAAAACAGCTGGGCTGCTGCAGCCCAGCATATCGATATTTGTTTGCCATCCCTAGTGTGGTATATGTCTATATGAGGTAAGGTCAGCGCGCTCCAACGAGCGTGAGTCGTAACACATGCTGCAATATGCTCCCGAAAAAAAGGGGCACGCACAAATATTTTCTTCAAATACCATGTATTGACAGGCAGAAACTTTCTTGGCGCAGAACTTTCTCCATTTCCCATATAATGGGAAACATATCGATGTGCCGGCCAAACAGGGCTATCGAGGCACGACCACCTTATCGATATTTGCATGCCATCGCTTTCTTTGCCTGCTCTCTTTTTACTTGACTTGACGCAAACGAAAAAGAGAGCGGGAAAGAGAGGTTGAATTTATTGGTCCGCGCGGTTGCTGCTGTCGTGCCGCGGGCGTTTTTTGTTTTTGTTAGAATATTCAAAAAGAAGAAACAATAAACGGTATTTTAGTGCAATATCAAACTCGTATCGTATTGAGAAACGTTTAGTGAAATTTAGCAACAAATTAGCGACGTGCAAAAGAACAGTGCGAAGGTGCGAAAAATTCCACGTACAGCATCCTTTTAGCTGCTGCTTCTTCTCATCATCTTGTGCATTCCTTTTCGCCTGCGTTTGCGTGAGTGTGTGTGTGTGTGTCCTCCAGCTTGGATGTAGGCATGCTCCCGCCTACCCCACCCTATCAAGCCGCAAGAAATCGTAAATTATTTTAGTGCTGCCAATAAATTGATGCCAAAATCCAAATCGGAACTCGCGCGCGTGTGACCTGCTGTTCTCGGTCGGTGGGTAACCAACGGCGTTTCAGTTAACTGTTACTTACGGTTACAGTAACTCTCTCTCTACCCCAAACTTGTGTGGTGCGCGTGTCGTGTGAATTTTCACAATTAATTAAAAATGCAAACAGCCTGAGGAGCAACAACAACAAAAACAGCACCCCTGTGCTCTCAATTTGAATTTCGTTCTTGTCTCTGGCGTGTCCTTGCCGCATATGCGTGTGTGTGTATATACATGTGTGTGAAACTGAGAGGATTACAACTGAATTTGATGTGCCAACAAGAGGAGAGAGAAGAACAGCCGTTTAAAACAACAGCAACAAAGGTAAGTGTCTGATTTTAATTAAGTAATCAGTGGAGCCGCTCTCTGGCGCTCTGCTGCTGCTTTTTGCCTGCCCCTCTCTCTGACCAAAATTGAGCAACACCTTTTGTTTATCCACGTACCGACTAGTACTTAAGGCGTTTCTTATCACACGACCCCGACGCCTGTCGAGCATCATCGAAGGCCCATTGTTGTTGCGTGTCCGTCCCCGCGGTCGTCTCTCTTTAGTTTCACTCTCTCTCGCTCTTCTTTGGCCCCATCGTTTATTGTTGTTGCTACTGCTGCTGCTGCTGCGCTTCTTTGGTGGAATTTGTTCTCCGGCTTGCTATTTCCCTTACTTTTAACTTTGGCACCGGCTAGCGCGCCCTCTCCCTCTCTTCTGCTCTTTTCTTCTTTTTTTGTGTTTGTTTTTTTTTGCATGTGGCTGTCGTCGTCACAGGCGTCGCATGGATTGACCTTGAACAAGTTCAGGCACGGTGGCACGCATGCTTATTCTTGTTGTCTCTGTGGGCTCTGACTGTTCCTTGGCCTTGTCTGCAGCTGCCTTTGGCCCAGCTCCACGGTAACACCCACTGTATTATGCCCCACTCTCCACTCTCTCGATCGCCCACTTAGCCAGGCGGTAAATGACGGCACTGTGGAGTGTGTTTGCTTCGGTCCACATATGTTTATGTGTATGGCGTCTGCGTGTGTATTTATCATTCACTCCTCAATATGCCACAATTTTAATCAATTTGTGTGTGTCTGTGTGTGTGTGTGTGTGTGCCTTATATATTTGCACTAAAAACGCTAAAAATGTCTATCACATGGTCTCTGGCACCTAAATAAAGCTTTGCTTTTTTCTGGTTTACAGCAGCTTCCGCGTTAAGCTCACACTCTCTCTCTCTCTCTTTCGCTATCTCTCGCACTCACACTCACACTCGCTCTCTTATTATATTTTGGAATTTGTTCACTTAATCCCCTGCTTTTGCCTCTGCTTTGGCTACTGCTCTTCTTCTGCCACTGCCACTAATTCTGCTTCTGCTCTTCTTCGCATTCTTATGCTCTTCGGGCCCACCCCACTGATATCTGGCCAAACGGTGGGACCACTAGACGGCGGCAGTTTTATTAGCGCGTACAGGTACAGTGACCCCTGCGCGTACCAGCCGCTCGACAGCACGTCTGCCTACGTCACAGGCCTAAGCTTGGGCTTTCTCTTTTGCCGCCTTATGATGCAGCCGGCTTTGGGCGTCATCTTAAACGAACACTTAAATACCCTGCCCGACACTTGTTCACACTTTATCTGGGTGAACTTTCAAAAAAGTGCCCGTACAGAATGCCCGAAAGAAAGCAAGAAATGACACTGCTCTCAGGAGCACCAAAGAAACGGAACAATCGACCAGCAAAGCCACTCAAAGCTCTCTTACTATTCCTATTTATTCTCTCCTCGCAATGAAAGAAAGAGCACCGAATTGCTAGGGTATTACAAATTCGACAACGCTAGCTTTAATTTACATTTCTCTTTTGAAATGGGAACGTTGCTTTGCTACGACTTTAAATTTCTATAAAAGCTTAATCAGCAATTAGCACTAGACGACTAGACGACGGACAGCCAGCGGAAAAATTCTAAATATAGACGATAATGAAAGTGACCCTGTGATTTATGATAGCCCTAAGACCCAATCCTTCAGAAAACGTTTTTAACGCACAGAAATATAATCAAATTCCAATTTTCAAGCACTTAATGGAGTGCACGCTCAATGGATTTTTGCCACCGTATCGAAATAATGCCCCACATTAAAAGTTTTCAATAGAAAAGGCCAGAAATATATGAAAATTTACCGAGAATTTCTTATTTAATGTAAATAAACAAAATTTGTTTAGCAGTTTGTTCCAACAAGGCATTATACAAGTATAATCAGTGTATACTTGTATAATGATTTTTAATGGTACAAGTAAGAACAAACTGCTGAATGGTACAAGTGAGAATAAACTGCTAAACAAACTTTGTTTATTTAAATTAAATAAGAAATTCTCGGTAAATTTTTTATATTTCTGGACCTTTCTATTCTCACCTTAAACGTTTTGGCTCATAGAAAACTTTGTAAAAACATTTGGAAAATGTAACTTAATATAGCATAGTAAAATAGCAATATAGCATCATTTTTGCTTGGAAAGAGTATCCAAAATTTTGGTACCCTAAAAGCTAGTTTCCTTCTTATGTTCTTTTGATGGTTTCTGCACTTCTCAGCAGTTTCATCAAGAATTCTATTACTTCGATAAAAAAAAAGCATATATGTACATATGTACATGCATGCATACACATATTATTACATTTATGTATATTTTGATATCTGAACATTTTAATTTCTGGGAGCGACTGTGAGTCATCCATCGCTTGGAAGCCAACTTTTTATTTCGCAATCACTTCTCTGCCGCCGACTGTCAGACAGGCACTTATTTCCATATTGTTTTTATTTAATTTTCCTTTCTTTATGGAGGAGATACACAAATATTTGAGGCCCCAATCCCGTGTTCCGTTTCCCCCCTGTTTTCTCTCTTCCCCCCAGGAAGGTGCGTGCATGGAACTCGTTTTGGCCGGGGGTTCAGCGGCAGACTGGACTCTGGTCATTGACTGCGACTGCGACTGCGGGACTGGATCCGTGAAAAAACTTGTAATTAAATTTTCATTCGCTGCTCAAGGAAAAGGAAAAGTTAAGGTATTCATAAATTATTTAGCGTGTGCCAGGGAGCGACCGAGCAGCAACCAGCGACCAACCCCGGACGTACATACCCTGGATAAACTTGTCCACTTGGGTGTGGCCTTCCTTTATCATCATCGTCCACTTTCATCATCATCCCTCACTTTTGTTGACTTTTGTTGTATATTTTGCATTTTCCCTCCTATTTTCCCTGTGCTTTTTAATTGGCAATTTATTGTGGCGCCACCAGTTGGGGTTTTGTCATTGAAAAAGTCCCGTAAGTCCGTCAGTCAGTCTGTCAATCTTTTGCTCTTCTCTCTCCTCTTCCTTCAATCAAGTGAAATGCATTTGTGACTAGAGTATTCCTCACCCACTGCTGTTCCTGCTGCTGCCTCTATTTCTCTCTGATGCCCCTCCCTGCTGCCACTCTTTTCCTTCTGTTCATAGACAGGACACCGCATGGCCTGAGCCTTGCTTGGGGCATCCGTTTGTGTGGGGTTTATGAGTTCTTTATGGAAACAGAACACACACAAGAGAACCATAAGGAATCCACAGAGCAAGAGTTAATTATGTTTTTTGTGGGGCGTACACAGAAAGAAAAATCGATAAAATGACAGGACTGATTTTTTACCTCAGATTAATATTAAATTTTTCTCAAAGGAGCAGATCTCGAAGAAGCTTTTACAGTACAATTTCATGATACATCTGGGATCTAATCATCTACCGACTGTCTTTCCCATTTCCTTTTAATCAATTCCCGAAATTTCTTACAGTGTATGGCCAGACCAGAACGGATCCAGTCGTTGGATTTTGGGGCAGATTGCATCCGTTGTTGTCTGTTTTGTGGGGGATCAGTGTTGTGGGATGTTTAACAAGTTTGCATCTTATTGCATTGCCATCCACCCACACACACACACACACATAGAGTACACACACAAAAACATAGAGTACACACAGATACACTCGCTAAATATCTATACGTCTGGCATCGTTATTTATGTAGCATTTCCATCCAACGAGAGCCGCATAATGGGAATGGCAGGGGGATTCCCGTGTTTCCCTTTTCCGTCTGTCATTTTTCACAGCATGCTGTTGGCAGCCTGGGCCTCGCGTCTGGGTATTTCCTCTCTTTTTCCCCCGATTTCCCTCTTAATCTGCGGCAGAGGACTCCTTTAAACCGCAGCCAAATCTGCCGCTCTGCTGACTCACATTTTTCGAGAGTACACTCCCACAGCCCGACATCTGGGACATGTCTGGATATTTTTTATATATATATATATTTACATACATATTTGTGGCATGCACGATGGCATTTGTGTGTGGCAACATGTGGGAGACATTTGTCTCGCCGTCGCCATTCTCGGCCTAATGGTTGCACTCTTGACTCTCCATTCCGAGGACGGGGTAGCGACAGGATGTTAAGTGGGCCTTTGAATGGGGCACTCACTTGAGATCTTGAGCCTCTGACACATATATTCCTTTGCTCCATAGATAGTCAACCATTCATTTCAACGCTGCTGCTGCTGCTGCAATTGCCGTGACCATTTGTTCAACATTTGTATATGTGTATACATATATATAGAACCACAAACAATACCCCCGCATCATCCCAATAACAAAACCGTTGTTCCCCGCCCGCCCATATGTGATGCATTGAATTCAAATGAATTGTAATTGTTTAATTGTTAAACGTTTCAATGATGATTGGGGGGTGATGGTGATTATTCATAATTGCATGAGAATCTCTCTCGGAACAAATGAAAGATTTTAGGAAGTGCAATGCTTAATTATAGTCACATCTAAAGCAAAGATTCCACTTGATTCTGGATTATAGTTGATTTATGAGCAATAAGGCAGGCCAGGCCAGATGACATTTAATTGAAATTCCAGTTCATATCTGATGGGAGCCAACCTCGGATCTCTTTCCAATTCAATCAATATTTGCGTACATCCTCCATCGCTTTCTTCTACATAGTTATATAGAAATGGTGATCAGCAATACTATAGAATAAGTAGATAATAGATAATAAGTAAATAAGCAGCCGATAAGAACAATGATTATAGCAAGCAGTTTTGGATATATGTATATGTATATTAAGTAAATACATATTACCAGTTTTATTCAAGCCGAGGCTTTAGCCAGCGGCAGTGAAAGACTTATTTTTGTATTATCTGGCTCAGTTGAAATTGAGAATAAATCTAAAATACAGATACGAAATAGGAAAAATGATATGCTTAAAATTGCCCCCCAGCTTGGGCAGCGCTGCCCGTGCAGCGGTCCCCAATTCTGCCGCCTTGAGCAGACGCTGTTGATGACCGGCGGATGTTTATGTAACATAGTAATACGATGCCGCCCAAATACTTTAGGGCGGTATCAGCGTTCTTCCAATTTGGAATTCCTCTGATACCCTGCAGCTGGTTGGGATTGTTAACTTATCTATTTCTATGCATTTTAAATTAAATTTCTACTTAATATCAAAGTTAAAACCTAACTGATTTATAATGCAAGAAAAATAGTTGATTTCCACAATAAATGGAAGGGGAAATGCAATTCCAATTACCAATTCCCCCAACCGGTTTTACAGTCATTCGAGCCAATGTTGGCAATAACTTAAGAGCGTAAGAGCTTATAAAAGCCATCTGAAAGCCAGACACAGCCACCACAATATTGCAACTAATTTCCACCACACATCGCAATTGCAAAATATCATCATTATCAATGGCTAAATGGGTAGTATTGCTTGCTGGGTATATTGGATGCTGAATGCGTATACGTAATGCGATACTAGGGGGCCTGAGTGGCACAACAATTTGCAATTTGTTGTCATTGTATTTTGTAGTTTGTTTATTTTTGTGTGAGATTTTTGCACACTGTTTCTGTTCTGGTCTGTTCCGATTCGCTTTCTGCTAATTGCCGAGGCGCTTGTAAACTGCCTTTCAGAGCCACTCGAACGTAGTATCTCTCACGTAAATACAGATACTATAGATTCATATATGTATTCCAGTAATATTTGTAAACACATACATATGTATCTGTATCTGTTTATGTGTGGTGGGGTCAGCACCTGGCACTTTTCGTGGCTGGAATTGATAGCAATTACCATACGAAAAAGCCACTTGAAATATCATCACTCAACCCATTCCCCAGTCCCCAGTCCCCATATGAAAGTCTGCCCCCTGCCATACAGTTGTACGAATATATTTACTATATCTCTGCTTTGGCGGGGGGAGGGGAGGGAGAAATTGCATTGTATCTAAAGTGAGAGACAACCTGACAGGCATTCAAAGTGTTTTTGGGCAGCAGCCAAAAGTTTTCGCGCTGCCTGCCATTCAATTGAAAGCCACATGGGGCAGGGGCATCTACTTGCTGCTGCACGTCTGCTGCTAGTGCTGCTTCTGCTGCCTGGTGTGTGCAGTGTCTGTAACTAATCAAAAGCCTCGATAAACAATAGAAGACCGACTGCAGGCAGACGATACCTTTGTTGCTGCTTTTGTTGCCGGCTGCTTCTTCTGCCTTTTCGACCGCGATAAAATTTAACCTTCGACTTGAAAAACGTTGTTTTTGGGCCTGTTGTTTGTTGGCTGTTGGCATTTTATCGACTGCAAAATGCCAGCAAATGGCAGACGTACCACAGACCCCCCCACAGACCCTTGGCTGACACACCATTTGGATGCCCCTCTACACCACAGACCCTGCCCCTTTTCCCACTGTGTCTGGTCTCGTTTTGGGAGGCCTAAAGAGTACTTCTGCGAGAGAGAGTTGGCAGGAAAATAAGGGACATTTGAAACAGATTGAAGCGAGATTTACATGGCAGTAGCATAGGAACAAAATTATCACAAGATTAGATATGATATTGATGCATTTTAAAGCAGTTGAAGAATTCTAAGGAAATTCCCTGGTCTTAAGCGCACAATCAGTGGGATAAATGTATCTTTTTGTAGATTATAATATGGGTCCCTTTGTAGTTTGTTCCTTTAATGAAAGGCTTTGTATCCTTATTTCTCTATAAAACAACTCTTGTGGCAACCTTCGCACCTCTTAGTCGCAGAAGTCTACAGCAGAAGTTTATTATTGCATTTGCCCCAACGCCCTTGGAAGTTGCAGTTTTGCTTTTGAGTTCTTTTAAGCCATGGCGATGGCCCTGGAAGAACGAGCGAGCGAGCGCTGGCAAAGGTCAAAGGTTCAGCAGTAATTAGTTTTGTTTTTTTTTTTTGCATAGCCTGAGGCAGGTCTCATCCATCACTACACTGCCGTACTTCGCTTCGCACTCCACTCTGGCGTACTCTATGCGATATAGAACCCTGATCACTGAGCCCTGCTGCTGCTGCTGCTGTTGAACCATTGCGTGCTTAGGGGCAACCCTCCCAACAGAAGTTGCACGCCCAACAGCAGCAAGAGAAGGGGCAGGAGCAACACCAGGAGAGGCAGGAGAAGAAGGAGCACCAGGACTGTGTCCGAGGGGTAGAGTACTCGTAGTAGTAACAACCCTTTTACATTATTAACCATGTCTGTATGAAATTATTATTGGACTCTGGCGAACACCGAACGAATTTACATGAATATAAAATGTTTATTAACGTTTCGTGTTTAGACCAGACCGTTGACGTTTCGCTCTTTTTTGCTACTTTAATACCCGCGTTCCAGTGGCTGTTTTATGCCCCATTTCGAAGCCCCATGCTTTATGGGGTTTTGAGCGTTCTGCTCCTGATATTTTGGAAAGACTAATCTAATCGCAGCTAATCGAACTTCCCTCCGTTCTACCCCCTTATCTAATCGTTGGACTGACATTCGACATTTATCAATAGAGGGCTCCCCTGTTCTGGTGCAAGAAAAACTGTGGTAGCACCACGTGCTGCCTGCCCATGGACATTGCACATTTCAATTATGTGGCAAGGCACCAAGAAGGTGCTGCACCGCAGCACTTTTTTGTTGCAACTACGTGACTGGGGGTAGGAGAAGTCTTTTGTCTCTGCCTCCGGCTATGGAGTGGAGTGCAGTGCAGTGCAGTGACAGGAACTGGGGAGCTGGTGGAGCAGTCTATCTACGGACATGTGCACGAGTGCGTCTTCCGGTTGCCTTTAAAATACATATACGTACAAAATATACGTATCGTACGTGCACCATAAAAGTGGGTAAAGAAAACCTTAAATAATGAATTAAATTATGACAGGAGAAGGTTCAATGGACTTTGTAGATAGGCAAGTGACACCTTTGTGTCTGATGGTATATTATATATTGATTGAGTAAATATTTTTTCGCTGATTTTGCTTCTATTTGAATGTAGATTTGATTCCTACAAAGGTTTCCGCCATAAATCAGACCAACAGACGAACAAAGTGCATTGCAAATCATGTCCATGAACGTTTGCGATAGATATTTAATGGTACAACAGAGCTTTGAACTGAACAAACGATTGCACTTACTGAAGCAATAAATGTTGTATTGCTTCACCTTTTCTATGGTATCATATGATATTCAGGGATTATCAATCCAACGCAACAGTTGCATTATTCCATGAATGTGAAGTGAAATATTTAGATGACAATTTGGTAGTTGATAGTCGGTAGCTGCTATTATAAATGCTATTATCGAGTGCACACACTACACTAATTTAAAATAATAAATAACCGATGGGTGTGCGCACTCGTATGCTGCCTACTCGCTCATTCACATCGTTAGACAGACATCGTGGACATCTCATTTGTCACCTTAAATCAATATTTTTTAATTTTTGGCCTCATCTATCATACATCTACAAACATAGATAAATGTTTCTTTACTTCATATAGGGTTTATAATCTTTGGGTACGAAGCAATTTTAAAGAACACTAACCGCTTCGATTGCAAGCACTTAAAATCCATGTTTCTATGCAGCAGTTAATGCCACTGCTGTACCGATAAGGAAACACTCTCTTCTTCGCTCGCCCTCTCCAATCAGGGTAATCTACGAATCCGACGTCATCGGCATCGACATTGATTCAGATTCCTGAAACCAAAACGATAACAAAGTTGCTGATTATTGCTTGTTTTTTCTTTCTTTTTTCCTGGTAGCAATGCTTTTGCTATCAACCGCCAGCAATAAATCAATAATTTCTAGTTATCTGCGTTTCGATTGCCCCGAATTCACGCTTCAATTTCAACTTTCGATTATTGCCATAAAGGTGGCCTTTTTTGTTCGCTTTACAGTTGAGCTTGTGACCCGCAAGGGAATCCATCAGGTGTGCGGTCTCCCTGGGCGTGTTCCTTCTCTGTGTGCTCCTGAATTAATTATGCCTCAGGTGCGTTTGTTGTGTGCGGTTAGGTGCTACCGCACTACTGAGTACCGAGTGCATCGATTCCATGACGTCCTCAAATATTGTTCTTAAGGGGATGACCCTCTAAATGGCGGGTGGTGGTCATCCGCTGACAGAGGTCAGCCGCTGCTCGAGTGCGACCTGTTGACACTCGTGTGTAGCTCGTAACTTGCAAGCGAAAGCAATTTAGGAAATTGAAGTGCCTCGAAGTAGCGCATGGCGCCAATCAATTATACTAATTGCTGATTCCATTATCGCATTTGCTGCTATCTGCAGCTGAGCTGGGGCTTCCTTTGGGGGGATGGACAATTCTATTTTTTTTTGTGTTATTAACCGAAAAACCTTTTTGCCATTCTACCTATGCCATTGCAGTCGCCACTCGGAGTACCAATTAAATGGCAAAGCCACGCAGAAAACGCTTCCGTTTGAGTCTGTGTCTACGTCGTTACAGCAAGCACAAGATCCATGCCACAACAGAAGCAGCAGCAACAGCATCAATACCGCAACAGCAACAGGAGCTACAGGAGCAGTAGCAGCAGCAGCAGCAGCAACAGCAATAGCATGATGGATAAGCGATCCCTCTGCCTGCTGGTCATCTGCGTGAATCTCTGTCTCGTGATCTGGCTGGTGAGCGTGCAGCAGCCCCTGATGCTGGAGACAGAGGCCCCTGCCTCAGCAGTAGCCTTCTCAGGAGGGGAGAAGGATATGGATGGGAGCAGCGGAACAGAGGAGTCGTCGCCGCCGCCACGAAGTGCCAATGGAAGAGTCGGGAGAGAGAGCAGGAGCTGGAGCAGCAAACCAAACCAAATACACGACCCTAGTCGCATCCCTAGTAATAACGATAGCTTAGATCTAAATCTGACAGTCCAGCCTGTGGCACCGCGGACAACCGTAACCCAGCAATCCACCAATCTGATGGATCTGCCCAATTTCTCGTATCTGATGAATCAGCCGCCCTGCGATGCCCATGTCCAGGCCCTGATACTCGTGCACACAGCCCCCTTCAACCACCAGAAGCGGTCACTCATCCGACAGACGTGGGCCGAGCGAAAGTACATCGAGCGGACGCCCCTGCGAGTGATCTTCCTGCTGGCGGACGTGTGGTACGAGCGGCCCAGCTGGCAGCATTTCCTCGAGAAGGAGAACGCCAAAAACGGAGATATGGTGCAGGGGAACTTCAAGGACGACTACCGCAACATGACCTACAAGCATGTGATGGCCCTCAAGTGGTTCAACGAGAACTGTCCCCAGGCCCAGCTGCTGGTCAAGGTGGACGACGATGTGTACATGAATACGCCGCAGTTGGTCAAGTACTTGAAGGATCCCACACGGCCAGAGCATGCCATGCTGCTGGAGACCGATCTGCTGCTCTGCAGGCCCGTCAATGCCCCAAGGGTTAAGCGATCCTATCGCGTGAGTACAGGAGGAGGAGATGCATATCCCTTTTTGGGACAGATTCCAGTTTCCAGATTCCTAATTTGAGTTTATTTTTCCAGTCCAAGTGGCGGGTCACGTACAAGGAGTATCCGCATCGATATTATCCGGACTATTGTCCAGGATTTGCCATCGTCTACGCCCCAGAGGTGGCGCGGCGGCTGTTCAAGGCCGCACAAAAGGCCAACTACTTTTGGGTGGACGATGCCCTCATCACGGGCGTCCTGGCCACGGAGACGCACACAAAGATCACCAGCCTGCAGCATGTGATTGGCAAAACGGACACCATGCAGCTGATTGCCGGACAGATTGGCTTCGATCACAAGGAGTTCCTCTTTGCCTTCCATGGCATCCAGCCGCACATGTGCCACAGCCTGTGGGATCTCACTGTGGAGAGTAACTACACATTGGAGGCATCTGCCTCATCACCTGCTTCTTCCTCCTCCTCCCCTGCGCTCAGTGCAAGTACCTCTGCTGCCATGAGCACGGGTCTTAGTTAGTTTTAATTGCGCTTAATTAATTACTTTATGGCTGTTCAGTTTTTAGGGTTTCCTTTGTAAGTCTTTAAGTTTTATTAATTATAATAGTGGATTAGTTAAATGTTTAGGTAGCATTTTTTCATGGAAGTAGGAGCAGTAGGAGGAGGAGGAGGAGAATAAACAAAAGAAGCCGAACAAACGTCAAGTGAAACCACCACCCAACCACCTGCCTACAATCATTCGTATCATACGAGTATAAGCTAAGCGATTATACAGATATAGTCAAACGCAAGGGAGTGCTGTGGCCGTGGCCGTGGCCATGCCGTCTCCTGGTGATAAGAAGCCACTCTCGGACAAGTCGGAACAGCAACAGAAACAGCAGCTGAAAAGCAACCACAAAATGCGATTACCTTAAGCACAACAACTCTATTTAAGTCGTAAGAAGACGAATAAAACAAATATACCATATAGTACTTAACAAAACACCATAAAGAACAGAGCAGATTCTCTGGCAGTGTTTAAAGTTTGAATCATGAATCATCCCAGCCCAAAACCAAATAATGAATGAATGAGGTGAACCGAATGTGACGTACAGAATACTCTCGATACGGGGGGTGAGGGAGAACGAGGAGCGAGATGCGAAGCGAAGTGAATCGATGCTTTAACTATTTTTTCTATTGTGTAAACATTTTTATAGCCCATCATCTCTTGCGCTCTCTCTCTATATATATATAAATAATATCGATAGGAGCTGATTAATATACACCATAAATTAAATAGAATAAACAAAATACAGTACAGTAAAGATAACATAAGAGGGAACACATGTGTGCGATTATCAAAAACAAAAACAAACAGAAAACACAGCAAACAGAATACAACAAAGCATTGCAAATGAAAGAACGAAAAATGTAACAAATGAAATTTATAAATATGTAATGTGAAAAAATTAAATTAAATGTTCAAGTTTGTCAGAAATTATATTGAAAAATCATTACAAAATACAAATAATACGAAAAATTCAGTCAAAGGTTTGTTTTCTATATGTGAATTTCCCATTTGAATGCACTGCTTGCATGTAACCGCCAGCAAGCAGGCCGTTTTCCTCATTTAGAATTTTAATGCATTGTAACAGCCAGCAAGCAGGCTACAGTGTGAGAGACAGGGACAACTATATGATCCGACACTAAATGGCATAGCAGCCAGCATTGGTCAGGCCATAGATATTCAAATGTTGGCGGGAACATGGGACAATGGGAATAACAATTCTGTAAATATGTGAGGAGGCTTAACATACATTTTACACATATTTACATACCTTTGTCATTTATTTTCGCAAACTAGACCAAATGACGTACGTACTTTTAATAATTTTTCTGTTTGTCCAATACTAAGTGGGGGCCGCCGTAAATTATTTAATGCGGGTCCGGGTCCGGGTGCTGGAACCAAAACCACATTTCAACAGCTGCGCTCAAGGATATTTGAAAAAGTTTCTATATGGCCACGTTGCCATACGTTGAACAAATATTAAATTGCGCTAAATTTCAATTTTAAGTTTCGTTCCGTGGCACTAATAATCACGGCAGGGCAGGACAGGACAGGACAGGGCAGATGGCATGGGTGTATGGGAATGATAAGTGTGCAAATGACAACAAGTTTTTGTTCTTTTCCCACGTCTGACGATTGGCCATGGCATTGGGTGGGTGGGTTGTGCAGTCACTTAGGGCCCCACGATGACGTGTGTCGTGGGAGCAGCCAATTGTTGCATTAAGGCCACAACCTAGCATTTGGCTGTCCCCGGCACTCGATGATTAGCTGTGTTCCCTTTCAGTGTGTCCCGACTGGCCAAAGCGTGCGGTCATAGTTCAACTTGAGAACTTTTCCTAGAAAACACCTCCAAGGATGGCAGAAATCGAAATGGGTTCGGTAAGTCAACAAATGAGAGCCATAAAAAAATAGTACTTACCCGTTCCATGGGGAACAGAATCGATGTAAAGCGGTTTGTTTGTGTTTCTCTGTTGGGTTTGTTGGGCGGGAGTCGCCCGTGATAATTACCAGCCTGACAGCAATCGATTAAGGGGGGGGAGCATTCTACGTAGATCTGCGTACTACTTCCTTTGTGCACTTTTTAAAAACAATTGAGGCAACCAGAAACATATCCTCCATCCAGGCAGCCAGCCAGCCAGCAGAGGAAGCAGCCAAAGCAACTGAAAGAAGAGCCAGAAGAGAGCTCTCCAGCCATTCCTTCTTTTGAGTGGCGCCGCCTTCGTTAGCTGCAAATTATTTACAAGTGCATGCAAAACAACAAAACAACATGCAACATGCAACGCACACAACAGGCACTCCACTGCACTCCACTCCCCACCCACTCGGGCGGCGCACAACTCCAGCCAGAAAATGGCATCCACACACACAGCCAGCGATTGGATGCTGTTTTCAGTGTTTTGTTGGCTCCAAGCTCCACAGCAACTTCAAATCTGTGTCAAGTCGAGGGGGTACATACAACGGGAGAGAGCGAGTGCCCGAGTGTGATGCGACGAGGAGTCGCTTGCCCCTGCGAGGAGCGCGCCGGCGCTTCACCAAAATGTGCCACACATTGGAGAAGGCTAAAGGCTTCCTTTATTTTTTATCGGTATCCCATTGATGGAATGGATGCTGCCAAAGCCACAGCCAAAGCCACTGTGACCATTGCCGTTGCCGCCTCGGCAGATGTCGAACCTCCTGTGGCTAGTTTTTAGTACATCATCCGTCGTCTCGGTCTTCGGGCCCTGGTGCTGTTGGCCTGGCTATAAATGTTTTGTTTTTCTGCAGTTTGTTGTTAGTGCTGAACGGTGAACGGGCAGCGTTTGGTTGCCGGAGACTCTGACAGACGACGCACAGCAGCAGCCGTAGAACAGCAACAGCGAAGGAGACATCGTCATTTTGGCACGACGACTGTGGCCCACGAGCAGAAGATTCTGTGGCACGCTTGAGAGCATTTGCCTCAGTTTCAGCTTCATCTTCAGCACTCAATTTCCAACCATTTTGTATCCTTCGTATCTTGCATCTTTTGGTCTTTATCTTAGCCAATTCTGACTCTGTGTGTGCGTGTGTTTGTGTGTGCGAAAGTGTGAGAGCCTTCAAATCAAGTGCCAAGTGACCAGGAACCACCCTTCCCTCCCCCCTTAATGCCCAAGGGGCCAGACAATCACAAAAGACAACAAACGGAAAGTGCAAAAAACGAATTAAGATTAAGGGAAATATCCCCGAGAAATCCCAAAACCGGAAACGGAAACGAAACTAACGAATTTCACGACACAAACAGCAACAAACTAAAAAACAACTACTAAAACAACAGGTGTTCTAGCTTTAAGATTTTTGGAACAAAAGCTGGAGAAATATTTTTGGGAATTTTAGAAAGAATTTTTTTGACTCGAAATCGTGGAAAAAATACTGCAAAATTGCATGCGTGCCAAAGAGTTTCTTTCGTTGAGTATGTGTATGCGTCTAGCACCCTGATAGTAGTAGTAGTGTGTGTGTGTGTGTGTGTGTATGTTTCACTGTGTATAATTGGTGTGCTCCGGCGCACGTGCAGCGAAGATGGTCGAGGAATTCCTGGAGAAGTTGCCCGAAATCGACACACGATACGAGGTGAGTGCCCCCACCTCAAGCCACCTTCCCCTCTGTAGCCTATCCACCTTTATAGTTCCCACCCCCCGTCGAAATATGCTCCATTTCCCATTGTAATAACAACTATAACATGCCATACTTGTACCACATAGTACTCGTACCCATGGCTGTGTGTTGGCTCTGTGCTCTCGTTTATTTTTTAATCACATTGCCAGGGCTTTGTTGTGTCCTCCATTGCTGCATCCATCCACCTGCTGCTGATGCTGATGCTGCCTCACTTTTGCCTCTCCCTTTGGCTGCCAAAGCAAATAACCAACGGCGGCTTTTGTTTTTAGCCCAAGCACCTGGCCAACATCCTGGCAGTCAGGCAGCCTTCCTGCTGTTTGTTCTGGTGTTCAAATTACATTTCCCTACACGAATTCGCATTATGCCGAGCACAGACCGCGGGAGATGCCGGATATTTAATCAGTTCTGCTACCTGGCTGACTGTCTGTCTTGTCCGTCTGTTGCTGCTGCTGCTGAAGCATAATGCACTTGAATGAGGGGCTTTTCCAGCACTCGTTGTCCCAAAGGAGCCATACAGAACACAGAATCCTCCCTAAGCTTTCTCAAAATATTTGGTTTGCCATTGACTTGGCCACGGATATCGCTCTTAAGTCCAGGATGGGGTCAACAGCCAGATCTGTGGGCTAAAGAATTTCACATATGATATGTGATAAAAAGGGATTATAAAACGATTCACATCAAGGATAGGATAGGATGGGATAGGATAGGATAGGTTCAGCTGCTGCTGTCACACGCTAATTATGACCTTACATGGGGCAATCCTTCAGCTAATCTTCTGCCACTCATGCAACACAAGTTTCCCATTACACTTGTTGTTCCGGTCTTGGGCCAAGAGCGTGCATACATGCCCAAGAGGGTTCTGTTCTGGCTCTGGCCAACAACTTGAAAGGCAATTAGCGCACTTTTCCTCTCATTCTCTCTTGGGGACTCTGGGCTTGGCCTGGATCAGTGGGGCATGGCTTTAGGTCTTGGGCTGTGGGTACGGGTTCGGAGGTTCATGACCAACAGTTTAGCGAGCACATTAACTTTATTAGCGCGATACAATTGGGTGGGTAAACACACACACACACCCCTCGCTGAGGAAGTGGTTGGCAGTGTGTAGGAAATTATGTGGCACACACAGTGTGAACAATAGCAGTTTATGCCCCACAAAACAAGCCACAGACAATGGGCTCGAGGAAAAACTAATAAACCAAAACTGAGACATCACACAGGACACGACCGTCAACGCCATTCGCCATTCGCCATCGCCATTGCGATCAATAAAAATTAATTATTCAATATACTTTTACTTGTACATAGAGGGAGGGGGGGCGGCATACATGCCACATGCCATACGATTTTCCTTCACACTAATCTCACCCAATGGCTTATTTATGGGTCTGCCTCCTTCCATATGTGTGTTGTGTGTGTGTGAGATTGCGTGTGTGGCATAGGCCTATCCTTTTGTGTGTGACTTTCAGTTCCAGTTGCGGCTGCCAGTTGTCCTCGTCGTGGTCGCGTTGTCGCTACACTACAGTATACGTCCGTTAATTTGCATGACAAAGTAGCAGAGCAACGCCAACGCGCGGAGAACCCAGGAGCCTATAAGCCACAAGCCAACATCCTGAGCCCAGAACCCAGGGAAAACCAGAAAGAGAGAATACGGTTACAGCCACCAGCGGGGGGCAGGCAGCAAAGATGGGTCCAATGGTAAGGGGGCCAGCGACGGACAAGTAAATGAAAATGTTTAAATTTACACAGGCAATTCAAACAAAAAGAAAAAGAGACAAAAAGCGAGTACAAATAGCGGACAGAGGGAGATGTGTAGGGAGCGTGCGAAAAAACCTCAATTTCTGATGGACATGGGACATTTATAGCCGTGTATTTGCCCTCGTCAGTGGAATGGCATTTAATTAAATCGGAGTTCGGAAATGAAGTCAAAATGGAATCGAATTGATAGCAAAACTTTTTGACAGACATCATCATCATCATCAACAGCAGCAGCAGCAGCCGCAGATGGAGCAGCGCAATCAAGTGAATTCGAAGGAGTGAAAGGAGGGAGAGCAGTGATTGCAATGTGCTGACATACTCTTATCAAAACTTTGCCAAGAATTTGCAGATCGGATTCATGCAAATTGCAAACAAGCCACAGTGGCTACAGTGGGAGGCGCATAGCCCGCATCGCCCGTTCGTTGCTC